TTCATGACAACTCCCATCTTACATTTCTGTGAGATATATGCTATTCCTCATGCAATGGGTAATTCAAGTTAAGGTTTATAGACTAAGTTTATAAACTCTCGAGAGGAAATGGTATGGTGTAACCTAGGAAAGTATCTGAACAGAAACATCATTGCTCTGTCAGAGCTACCCTGGCAAAGAAAAGCAGTTATAACTGAAGACCATGGCTAATTTGTAAGTGAAAACGCAGTATTCATGTACACTCTGCATGTATCCTAGCACGGTGGAGGTGAGATAACAATCTCTGTGCCGTTATGTGTGCCTGAAAAGCCAGGCCAGTTACCCTCGTAAGTCTAGATATGGCTACTGGGAGAAGGCATAAATGTGAAGCCTCTTCTCCATTTACCTAACATCTTGGCCCTGCTAAGTAACTTAGAGCAGAACATTCTAGGTAAATAAGTGACGAACTTCCTTCAAAGTTACAAAACCAAATTCCATGGCTTCTTTGAAAAGATCTGGTCAAAAGCGATGCTTGGTGTGAAAACCTGCAGCGAGGCAGGGACTGGGAAGGTGGATAAGGAAGCTGTCTGGGAGGGTGAAATCGTCCATAGTTTGACAGGGCACATGTGATACAGATGGGGCCATGCGTGTGTCAGCGGATGGGGAAAGTCACAAAACTCACGGTGCGAAGTTACTAAGGTTTTGGCATTTTGTTGTGTGTGATCTCAAAAGCAGCCTGGAGTGACAGACAGAGCCTAGAAGGCAAATGTACCCAGAGGAAAATGGCTTCTGCTGCCCCCAGTGACAGCAGCTACTTCACACAATGAACATAGGTTAGCAACCGGGCCGGACACGTCCTGGCTGTGCTTCACCCTAACTGGACAAATACCTAACGAGCTTGGCCGATGTACTTGGGCTTCAGTGACGTTTTCTAAGAGCTCAGGGCAAGGAAAGATGCTTTCTAACCCTAATCCACTTTCTCCAGCAGCACCAGAAGAGGAGGGCTGGTGGCCGACTGAAGGAAGGCTGGAGGTCTAGTTTTCAAAGGTTCAACACAGTGAGAACTGACTGCCACCAAAACAAGGGACCTTCAGATCTAAACACAAAGTGGGAGGCCTGTAATTGCTCTACCGTGCTGGGATATAAACCGAGGGGGGACAGAGAGAGTGACTTGACTTCAGGTTGACAATCCGCCAGGACGAGCCCCTGCTGCTCTTCTCATTAACCTTACGCTCTGCCAATCTGCTCCCCAGCAACGGCCTTTGTACACCTTCGGTTTTCCCTAACTCACTTTTCTCAGGGTAGGATGAAGCACAGAGCATGCCGGAGGATGCCTCTGGTCCTTCCCTGCTTCAGGACAGGATGGCGGCAGAGTGAAGCTGTCCAGTCGCTGTGTAGATTTAATGCAGCTAAAGACCCTACCACACAGTTCAGCCACCGGATAACCCATCAGAACGACTGAGAAGTGGCCACGACACCAAAAAGGTTTTTGGGAAAGGGTTCAAGTGTGTGAAGGCAATGAGAATTCTCTACCAGAGGGAAAATGTATTTCCCGTTACAAATGCAATAAATATTCATTAAAGATAGTTGAGAAGGGCGGTGGTGGCACACGCCTTTAATCCCAGCACTGGGGAGGCAGAGGCAGGTAGATCTCTGTGAGTTCAAGGCCAGCCTGGTCTACAGAATGAAATCCAGGACAGGCACCAAAACTACACAGAGAAACCCTGTCTCAAACTGCCCCCCCCCAAATATAGTTGAGAAAGGCAGAGTATAGTTATAGACACGGTATTTTATCACTACACACAACCCAATCACCATGTTGGCAGCCCTCCTCCCAGCCGTGTGGAGACAGTCCTGTTATCTGGAGAGTGCTCCCTGACAAAATGCCCACAACACCCGAATGAAGACCACCACAGGTTACTTCACTCACTCTCTAGATTAGGGCTTTCAGGTGGTTTCCCATTTTTCTTTTTCAAGGAACAATGTTCTGCACTTGCTGGCTTCTTTTTGTGACTGCACATTTAGAACAAAGTTGGCTTAGAAGTGGCATCAGCAGAACAGTGATTCTGGATGTGTGAGCCCTCTGATGCACTCGCTTTTACAGGGCTACATCTGAAGTGCTGGGCTTACAGGGAGCCCAAAAGGTAAACAGAAGAAATCCTTTCTGGTGTTCTTGCTAGCAAACTCCTCCTGACTATCAAGTTTATTATGCTCTCAACACAGTGAACCATGGAACTCAGCTGGAACACAAGAGACAGAAAAGGGGCGGACCAGTCTCCACAGATCACCATTTCATTTCCTGTCTACCGACACAATGAGATCAGCTGTCTGGAGCTCCCACAATAGCTAGAGGAGCTCACACCACCACGCCTTCTCGGCCGGGATGGCCGGCTCCTAGAACTGGCTGCCAAACAAACCCTTCTTCAAGTTGTTTCAATGAGGTATTTTGTTATAACAAGAAAAGCAGTTAGTGAGGTAAGCACTATGGGATGTGAGAGAGAAATGGGCTAAAGACACTCACATAGGAAGGGGCTCTGATTCACGCTAATCAAGTGCGCTGGGAATGCCTTCTGGGGAAAACTATGCAGAACTCAGAAAGCAGCTTAGTTCAGTGACAGGAAAGCTCTACACTGAGCTAAAAAGTTTGGCTGAGGTCCTGAAGACCATGGAGACCCTCTCCAGGAATACACACACACACACACACACACACACACACACACACACACACACACTTGTTTTTTGTTTTTGTTTTTCGAGACAGGGTTTCACTGTGTAGTCCTGGCTGTCCTCGAACTCACTCTGTAGACCAGGCTGGCCTCGAACTCACAGAGATCCACTTGCCTCTGCCTCCCGAGTGCTGTCTAAAGGCGTGAGCTACCACACCAAGCCCACTGAAGGATTTTAAATGGGATTTAAATGACACAGCCAGCTTTACAAGAGAACAGCTTGGTAGTAGCACAAAGAATAGATTGATAAGAGCTTTTGAAAGAAATAAAAGGAAAGAACTAGGTAGGGTGTATGGCTCAGTAGCAGGTAACTTGTCTGGCTTTCATGAGTCTTGAGGTCCAGCCCTAGCACCACCAAAGAAAAAACAAAAACCAAACCAAACAAACGAGTGTGTGGCTCTCAGAAGCCATCCCTGCAGCCCCTTATTTAAACCTTAAGAACTTAATAAAGGGGCTGGAGAGATGGCTCCGAGGTTAAGAACACTGGCTATTCTTCCAGAGGTCCTGAGTTCAATTCCCAGCAACCACATGATGGTTCACAACTATCTATAATGAGATCTGGTGCCCTCTGCTGGTCTGCAGGCATACATGGAGGCAAAATGTTGTATACATAATAAATAAATAAATAAATAAATCTCTTTAAAAAAAAAACTTGATAAAGTAAAACCAGAAGCAACGGAACACCAGTGAGATCTGCTGTTTAGGACACAATGGGATAGCTGGCTATCACCGGCGGCTGTCAGCTGAGAGCATTAAGAAGTCCTCCCTCCTGCAGAGCGGCAACCCTGGTCAGAGGGTCACAGGTTAACCGGAGGAGAGGCAGCATGTATCCAGTCCTGACTGCTGTGAATACAGGACTCCGTCAGGGACTGACGGACTGGGTTTGAACAGTTAAACATAAAGATCCTGCCCAGTGAAGTGTGAGAAGAGAGAGAAAAGTTAACAGCAGGACACAAACTGTACACTTACTAGGATACATATTATGAGTAGAAACATGTCAGCAGCTGTATTCCACCGAAAGAATACTGAAATGGTCCAAAGAAGTGATTAGCTTACAGAAGGTGGAAACAGGACCAGTAAGTTATCATTTGAGAATATAACAAGGCCTTAAACACTACCTGGAAAGTGTTGCAGCAGCCATGCAGGCTGCATGCATGTGCACTTTCTGGCCTGCCTTCTCCATCCACTTTGAGAGATTGTAAAACCCAGAGGGGAGCTAGTCATCTGTTTATTCAGGGTAGAGCTATTCATAACATGGAAAAAAGGAATCCAATAAAAGTAATAACAGTGGTGAATGGACTGTAGGACAGCAACATGATGGTCTACCACACAACCTGCTTTGTTTGTTTGTTTGTTTGTTTGTTTGTTTGAGACAGGGTTTCTCTGTGTAGCTTTGGAGCCTGTCCTGGAACTCGCTCTCTAGACTAGGCTGGCTTCAAACTCACAGAGATCCGTCTGCTTTCCAAGTGCTGGGACCAAAGGTGTGCACCACCATGATCCACACCACACAGCTTTCTAAAGGACACTAGGGAGCATAAATAAGTCAAATGCAAAGGGATGAACTCAAATCGTTACTTTTGGTAAAACTTGCACGTGTAAAAATTAACAGTGACTGGTGCTGGGCGACAGTTCAGTTGGCAGAGCGCTTGCTGGGCAAGCGTGGGGACATGAAGTCAGTTTCCCAGAACCTCTATAAAGCCAGGGGTGGGAAAGAAGCCACGTGTCTATACTACTAGTGCTATGAAGCCAGAGAGACCCTCCAGATGCTTGTGGGTCATCCAGTCTAGTGGGCAGAGGCTGACAACAGAGACCCTGTCTCACACAAGATAGAACAGACATCCATGGTTGTCCTCTGACCTTCACACACACATTGTGGCATGTGCATACCCAGACACACACCCATACTCTCTCCCCCACACACATACATTCTCTCTCTCTCTCTCTCTCTCTCTCTCTCTCTCTCTCTCTCTCTCTCTCTCTCTCTCTGTCTCTCTGTCTGTCTCTCTGTCTCTCTGTCTCTCTTTCTCTCTCTCTCTCTCTCTGTCTCTCTTTCTCTCTCTCTCTCTCACACACACACACACACACACATCACAAATTAAGAACTACAGATAAAGACTTTTTGGTACACTTCTATTTTGCCAAGTTCCAGCGGGCCCTGGAACCCCTAGACTGCTATCTCAGAACTCCATTAAGACAACACAGTCCAGCTGGCACACTCATCCTCTAATAAGTGCATCATAAGAATATAGTCTCTGCTTCCAAACAGGTTTCTGGAAAGAGAAACAGCAGGCTTACTGTGAGCGTGGCAAGTGACATGAAGCCGATCAGGTTGTTCCACACTTTATCGATGTCCTTCAGCAACTGCTGGAGTTTCTCACAGCACACAGCAGTGGCTTTTATCCCCAGCTCCACACGCCTGGTTACTCGGTACACTTCCACGACACCTGGTGGGGAGAGAGGAGGGAGTGAGGCGTGGGAAAAGCAGGCAGGGCAAAGCAGTGCTTGCTGATTACTGATTAGGAGGGGCATGACTGCACAGAGACAGGTCTGTGAGTACAGACATGTGCTGGTTACTTTCCTGTTGCCTCGATTAAACACCACGACCAAGGCAACTTAGGGAAAAGGCTTCATTGGGCTTATAGATCTACACTCCATAACTGCAGTGGGAACAGCTGAGAGCTCATATCTCATACTGCAAGCTGGAGGCAGAGAATGTACTGGGAATGGCAGGAGGCTTCTGAAGCCCAAAAGCATCCCTATCCCCACCACCACCTCTTACATTAAGGCCACACCTCCTAATCCTTTCCAAACAGTTCCACAAACTGGGGACCAAGTATTTAAACCTATGAGTCTATGGGGGTCATTCTCATTCACACCACCACAAGGTGCAAGCCTCCCCGATCAGACAGTTCTGTTCCTGTGGTCTTCAATGAGGCCGAACCCTCCCAACAAGAAGGGGTGCTGAGCACCTCCTCATCTAAGATGGTCACGAGACACATCACCAGGCCTTCACTGTGGCTGTCACCAGACCACTGTGCTACCCAATGCTGCTGGAGGCTTTTAAGTAGAAACACAGATTCCAGAGCTATACACTATGAGCTCAAATCACTGCTTCATCTCTTACCAGCCATGTATCCTGGGGCAAGTTATGAAGCTCCCTGTGCCTCAAGTTAAGACAGTAGAGCTCTTCAAAGGACCAGGGAGAGGATGGCACATGTGAACGCTGTACAAGGCTCATAATAGGGGTTTTTGAACAGGAGACACTATGTGAGCTACTGGGCTGTTTAGCTCAGATTTCTTTATGAGTTTCTGGCTGAATCAGGGAAATCCCATTAACTGACTGAAAATGGAAATAGAGCTTTAAAGAATCTAAATGTTAATGTCATCACAGAGTAATCCATACTGAATCCTTTTAAAAAACACATTGTTAGGCTTCTATGTGCCATAAATTTCAATTTTTAAAATTACATTTATTGCCAGGGCTGGTGGTGCACACCTTTAATCCCAGCTCTTGGGAGGAGGCAGACACAGGTGGATCTCAGTTTAAGGCCAGCCTGGGCTACAGAGTGAGTTCCAGGACAGCCCAGGCTACCCAGAGAAAGCCTGTCTTGAAATATCAAGTAAAATAAAACAAAATTACATGTATTTATTTGTACATGGGAGGGTGGCACAAGTGCCACTCCAGAGGTCAGAGGGCAAGCTGCATGCACTGGTCCTCCCACCATGTAGGTCTTGGTGATTAAACAGATCATGAGGCTTGGTAGCAAGTGCCTTTACCCACTGAGCCATCTCCGGCATTGATTTTGGGTTTTAGCTTTGTTTGTTTGCAGCCCAAGATGGTCTGGAATTCACTATGTAACCTACTGGCCTTCAACTTGTAGCCATCCTCCTGCCTTAGCATCCTTAGTGCTGGGATTATAGGCATGAGCCTGGCCAGGACTGTTCTTTTCCTGTGGTCTCTGATGAGGTTGAATTCTTTTTCTCTGCATAGGTCCTGGCTGTCCTGGAATCCACTTTGGAGACCAGGCTGGCCTTAAACTCACAGAGATCCACCTGCCTCTGCCTCCCCAGTGCTGGGATTAAAGGTGTGCGCCACCATGCCTGGCAGAGGCTGAATTCATTTTTGTTGTTTTTTGTTTTATTTATGTGCATTGGTGTTTTGTTTGCATGAAGGTGTCTGGTACCCCGGAACTGGAGTTACAGATGTCAGTGAGCTACCATTTGGGTGCTGGGAATTGAACCCGGGTCCTCTGGAAGGACAGCCAGTGCTCTTAATTGCTGAGCCATCTCTCGAGCCCCCAGAGGCTGAATTCTTAAGCAAGGAGAGGCACCAAATTCCTCCTCATCCTAACGGTAGCCAACAGGCCCCATCACCTTGCACACCACCATGGCTTTGCCTCCTCTCCTCCAGATGAAGGGCAAGAGTGGCTGTCCACCCTAACAAGTAAGGTCTGTTCCAATAGAACCTTCCATGGATATACTAGGAATGCTCCTAGAAGGGAAGGCACCATTTCCTGGCGGGCAGTGGGTATCAGCTAATGAGAGAACTATGGCTGTGTGAGCAAGAGACTGGTACAGAGTCAAGGGGACCGACCGGCCCTCCATCATAGCAGCTCATCGGCCAATACACAGTGTGCTCTCTGTGCCAGGAACTGGGACGGGGTTTGGAGGGGTGGGGATGAACAAAACAAGCCCCAATTCTTGCCAACTCAGAGGGTCACCCTAGTGAAGGGAGGTAGTGCAGATGGTAAGAAGTGTAAGATACTCAAGGTAACAGGGCTAAGGAGTGGAGATGGGATTCTGAGAAAGAGTCAAAGCCTCTTGACAAGGGGACAGGAAGGAAGGTCTGAAAGACGTCAGGCTCCTGGGCTTGTGGCCCAGGCCACAGGGCAGCCCGAGCTATGGAGGGATGAGCACTAGATCAGACTGGGGCTCCAGGTTCGGTGTTAACAGCTGAAGACAGCCAGGAAGGTAAGTCACTAGGGACAAAGAGGAAGAACACAGAGAGAACAGGGAGGACTGACCCATAAATGATGCCACTGAGATGTCTTACTAGTTAAGACTCGATGATAAAAATAAATGAGCTCTATCTGTTACTGGTTTAAGATATTAATTCTTACTCAGGAGTATGTGTATAAACCTGTGTGAATGTACGCCATGTACGTACAGGGTCTGGTGGAGGCCAGAAAAGTGCATTGGATTCCCTGGAGCTGGATTTACAGGCAGTTGTGAGACAAGCAACAAGGTGTGGGGAACTGAACTCTGGTCCTCTGCAAAAGCAGCAGGCACTCTAACCACTGAGCCATCTCTGCAGCCCCCACAGATATAAAACAAAGGCTTGAAAACTTCACTATGGAGACCTCAAGTACAATAGCTGCTGCCTGTGAGTTCAGTGTTTTACCTATGAAGGCAGCAGCTAGTGAGGCTGTATACAGTGGAGCGCAGACCTAAACTACTTAGAGTGAGCGAACACTGGTACTAATGCAACAGGCCATGGTCTGACTATGCGAAATATCGAAGAACATACCTAGAAGATATTCCATGCCCTGGGCTGACTGGATAACTTCTGTGCAAACAGCACTGCTGCTGATGCCATTTAAGGTGTCATTTGCCTTCTTAATGACCTGCAAGAATTGAAATCACATTATCTGATACAACCAAGAAAGGCCACTGCAAATCAATTTCCCATTAGCAGAAAACCCAACCAGTGTGAAAAGCTGTGCCCAACCGGTGTGCAAGTGCCTATGCAGAGACAAGTCTAAGAACTTAATTTTAACTTTGAAGAGACCATCCTTCACTTCTGTGGGAGGAAGAGAGGTATGGGGAGAGAAACGGGTTCTTTAGTTTAAATATTATTTTCATGTAGGTCAGAGGTAATGATACCTACCACTTTGCCACTTCTTAAATACGGTGACAGATAAGGGGACAGCTGACAAATGGGCCAGTGTCTACTACTGTACACTTGAAGGATGCCTGGTTTTCCTTTCTTTTTTAAAATGTATTTATTTTTAATCTTACGTGCATTGGTGTTTTGCCTGCATGTATATATGTCTGTGTGAAGGTGTCGGATTCCCTGGAACTGGAGTCACAGACAGTTGTGAACTGCCATGTAGATGCTGGGAATTGAACCCGGGTCCTCTGGAAGAGCAGCCAGTGCTCTCAACTGAACCATCTCTCCGAGACCCCTGCATGGTGATGGAAGTAAGGCATCCTTTGTGCTTGCCTGCATTCATTCAAAAGAACCAAGGAGGAGACAGAACTGTGCAAGAGAGTGTGCTCAGATGCACACAAGTGACATACTCACATCCAGGGCGCTCCCCAGGCATCTCTGCCACTCATACGCGTATCTCTCATTTTCCTGTGGGTTTTATAAAAGGAACTGGGTTCAACAGGCAGGCTTGGGGTCCTCTGTTTATCACTTCTCTCAATACAAAGAGCTTGGAAGACGCCTTTCTATTGAACATATGCTTGCAAAAGACAGTTACCATTTAAGAGTAGGAACTTGAAAGACCTATTTTACATCAGCCTCTCTGTGTAAATGCTGCTTCCTTTGTCCAAGTCAGTAACAGTGCAAGTGTCTCTCCAGTTACTCACCATGGACATACCTAGTATATGAGCTAGGGCCATACTACAGCTTTAGTTAGGCATGGTGACATACCCCCAAAATCCTAGCACTTGCAGCGCAGAAGCAAGATCGCTGAGTTTAAGGCCAGCCTGGTCAACATGGAAAGTTCTAGGCCAACCAGGGCTACATGAAACTGTCTCAAAACAACAACAAAAACTCCACAGAATACAGCTTTCCATTCCACAGTTCACTACTGTGTGTGCATGTGTATGTGTGTATACACTTGTATGTGTCACAGGAACAGGAATGGAATTAAGATACCACAAACAGAAACAGAAGATCCAAAACATTTTTTCCTCTCCTCTATGTTGATGTTGTAAAATTCAGTAGAATGATAAAGTCTAAGTTTGGGGAAAGATCTTAACTCCTTCTCTCCTTGCAAAGTCCCATGGACAATTTCAACTTTAGTCATGACTTTCGGTGGTTGTCACACATAGGGAGCATTTTCATCCTGGGCTAATGCTACCAGCCTCTACCTCTAATGATCTATTTGCCATCTGGTGTAGAGTGTCTCCTCCTCATCCCTCCCCTCCCGCTCCCCTGGGAAAGAGGAAAAGCATTCTTTCCTGGGGTGCTCTCCCAGGCAGTTGCCCAGCTTACCTCCACCTCTCCAGTCAGGTCTTTGTACTTGTCTCGGATGACAGGCAGCGCTGTCTTCTCACTCAGAGTGTTGGAACGGTCTCTGAAAGGCTGCTCCAGGGCCGGAGAAGGAGAGGAACGGCTTATTTCTTTATCCCCAAGGCTTAAGCTCCTCTTGTGTGATCCTGGGTGAGGGGACAGTAGGCACAAAGGTTCTGTTACTCAACCTGGCTTGAGCAGGGGCCTGTTTGCCGATGAGACCATCTTTTACAGATGGTCTTGTCAGGAGGCATTCTGAGACCCAGTCTTCGCTCACTCTGTGCGGGAAGTTCTTTGAATCTCGGTCTCTTGCTCGGGGCCTTCCTCTGGTTTTCCTCCATTACTCTTCTCTGATCTGTCACTACACTACATAATCTAAGTATGAATCACAGGTGTCTAGATGCAAAGTGCCTTTCTTTCTAAATACCGGTGCCTCGGAGCCATGAGTCAGTCCTTCCTGTTACTGCTCGTAGGCCTGCGCCTTCCTGGCTCCCTGCTTGTAGGCTGTGTTCTGCAGATGTAGAACTGCAGAGACAGGGAGTGAGGCAGCAATGAGGAAGAAGATGTGGAGAAAGATGGCAGAAATGCTGACTAACCGGGAGGTACCCCTCCACCTCTGCCGTGTGCTGCTGTTCAGTTCTGGCTGACTGTTATGAACTGGGAATGCAGGTCTTGCACGGCCAGACATTACAACTTTGCAAGAAAAACCAAAAATCCAGATTGAGAAATAGAATTTTAAAATATTTGCTATTACTTTAGGTTTTATGGGTCAATTAAAACAGATACCTTTTTAAAAGGTGGTGATTTTTGTGAATTTTAATTATGTATGTGTGCTATATGTTTGGATATGTGTTTATGAGTGCAGGTGCCCACTCATAAACTTGAGGCCAAAGACATCAGATTTTCTGGAGCTAGAGTTCTAGTTAGTTGTAAGCTGCCAGAAGTGAGTGCTGGGAACCAAACTCAAGTCCCCTGCAAAAGCACTACATGTTCTTTTTGTTTGTTTGTTTGTTTTGAGGCAGGGTCTCACTATGTAACTGACTGTCCTGGGACTCACTTTGTAGACTAGGCTGGCCTCGAACTCGGAGTGCGCCACCATGACTGACACGGCATGTTCTTAACCATTGACTCATCTCTTGAGCACAGATAGCTTTTAAAAAATATTTAGTTTGGGCTGGAGAGACAGCTCAACAGTTAAGAGTACTGGCTGTTCTTCCAGATGTCCTGAGTTCAATTCCCAGCAACCACATGGTGGCTCACAACCATCTCTAGTGGGATCTGATGCCCTCTTCTGGCATAAAGGCATACATGCAGAGATAGCATTCATATACATAAAATAAACAAACAAACGAATAAATCTTTTAAAATGTTTAATTTATTAAAATGTTTTTATTAGATTTATTCATTTTACTTTATGTGTGAGTGTTTTGCCTGTGTGTATGTATGTGTACTATATTCGTGCTTGGTGCCCCCAAAAATCAAGGCATTGATATCCTGAAACTGGAACTATGAATGGTTGTGAACCATCAAGCTAGAAACCAAGAATCAAACCCAGGTCCTCCTCAAGAACAAATACTCTTTTTTTTCCTTTTCCTTTTTTCTGGAGCTGAGGACTGAACCCAGGGCCTTGTGCTTGCTAGGCAAGCGCTCTACCACTGAGCTAAATCCCCAACCCCAGAACAAATACTCTTAACTACTGAGCCACTGCTCCATCAGCCCACTTATTTTATTTTTAAATAAATTGTGTGTGTACATGTGCACATGGAAGCCAGAGGTGTAGGATCCTCCTTGAAGCTAGAGTTACAGGCAGTTGTGCCTGACATGGGGACTAGGAACTGAACTCGGGGTCCTTTGCTGTACCCTCTTAACCATTGAGCCATCTCTTTAGGCCCCAAAGAGAGCATTAAAAATGCATTCATGGGCACAATGGCTTAGCAGGTAAGGACTCTTGCTGCCAAGCCTAACAACTCAAGTTGGATGCCCAGGACTCACATGATGGAAGGAGAAAACAGACTTCCAAAAGTTGTTCTCTGACTTCCATGTGTGCCCTGGTATGTGTACCCACACACATACATAAATAAATATACATTCAGTGCCAGGCATGGTGGTGCATACTAGCACTTAGGAGTACTTGGGAGGTTGAGGCAGGAGGATCAGAAGCTCAACAGATCATTCTCTGTAACACAATGGGTTTGGGGCCAGTCTGGGCTACATGAGACCCTCTGTCAAAAAAAACAATAACAACAAACAAAACTCCCAGATCTGTAGGCTGAATAAAGACTCATAGCCATATTGAATTTAGGGAACAAGAGCAGAGCTAGCCTGCCCCCAAATGATCAAATCCACTTCTTCGGCTGTTTCAGATAGCATACTTCTTTTTGTTTTTGTTTTTGTTTTTTTTTTTTGGTTGTTTTTGTTTTGTTTTGTTTTGTTTTGGATACAGGGTCTCTCTCTATAGTCCTGGAACTGGCTATGTAGACCAGGCTGACCTTGAACTCACACAGATACTCCTGTCTCTGTCTCTTGAATGCTGGGATTAAAGCATCTGCCACTACGCCTGGCCTACAGCACACTTCTAAGCCAACTAGAGTGTGAAGAAAAGCCACACACTCTACTTGTTCTTCTTCAATAAGCAGTGATGAGGGGCAGGGACTGCACCCGAGCTCCAGGGAAACCCTAGTCTTAGAAGTTGGAACATCTATGTCCTGCTAAACAAGGAATCTTTTTTTTTTAATTATTTTTTAGTTTTTGAGACAGCGACTCATCATGTAGCCTAGGCTGGCCTGAAGCTTGCTATATAACCTAGCTGACCTCAAACAAACTCATGATCCTCCTGCCTCAGCCTCTTAAATGCTAGGGTTACAGACCGGCATCACCATGCCTGGTTTTAAAAATCACCATTTTATTCTCAGGCAAGGATGTGGAGCAAGCTCACAGGAAATCTTACCTTGAACAGAAAGGTCAAAGGTTGCCAGCTCATTTTTGATCATTTCTTCACTGGACTTCATTTTGCTTTGTGAATTGGCTACTAAAAAGTCAAATTTGCTGATTTTGGGCTTTTCACTTTGAAATTCTCCAAAGTCATCGGCACACTCCTTGGGGGTTTCGTGAGAGGCGACACTGGAAGCCGGGCTTGGACACGTGGTCTCTTGGCTCCGGTCCACCGTGGGCAGGTCCTGCCTGGTGAAATCCTGGTAGTCCCCACTTTCGTACTCTTTCTGCTCAATGGTCTGAGGCATCATGTCTTTAAAGCTGGCAAAGGCTGGGAAGGGAGTCTCTGGAAGAGCATCCTCGCTTGCCAAGGCCATCCCTTTGAAGAGAGATGACATGGTGATGTTTTCAGAACCGCCAAATGAGGTCTCTTTCTTTGGAAGGTTTGAGGTGGCTGAGAAAGACACACTTCCTGCTGAGGGGACAAATGGAGAGAGTTTTCTGCCCTGAGATCTATCACCTGTCTGGCCAGTCATAGCTCCTAAGTGTGCTCACTGCAAAATGGCTACGATAGCTTCCGAAAGCACCACAGTTTAAGCCCTCTACATCTGGAGGGGAAAGTCCCACAGTCAGAGGCATGCTCCTAAGTTAGGCAAAATGCCTAGAACGTTGCATCAGTCCCATACCATGCTGCAGAAACTACAGTCAAAGCCTGCACTAAAATTAAAGGAGTTGGGCTGTCACATTGGATCTTTAAGAAACCATATTCATTTTCAGCTAGCATTTATATTTGATTTTAAGGAATCCTTTTAGCTGGGCATGGGGTTACACACCTTTAATCTTAGCATTTGGGAGGCAGATTTCTGAGTTCGAGGCCAGTCTGGTCTACACAGAGTTCCAGGATAGCCAGGTCTACAAAGAGACCCTGTCTCAAAAGAACAAAAACAAACAACAAATCCTTTCTGTTATATGTACAAAATTACTACAAAGTTAGGTTATATAGTCATGTCCACAGTTTGATAGAAGATTCAGATCATTTAATGAATTATTCCTTTTGGAGCTTGAAGGCATTCTTACATATTCCATACCCAAAACACATCTCCTTTTCTCTAGACTGTGTTAGACAGTGTTCCTCTTAGACACAGTTATAGAAAATGTGACAAACCAAAAGTCCAGTTTCTCAAAACAAAGTAAAAACGTTCTCATCTAACTTTTAATAGATTACTGAAAATTTCTGTGTCAGGCAAAGACACATACAGGATTTTAATCAAGCAGTCACTTACCTCGTTTTTATTTTGGTCAGTTTGGATATCCTATTGCTGGGATAGAATGTGAGAAAAACAAAAATCAACCTGAATTACTCTAGTCCTTAAGAAAAAAAAAAAAAAAACCAGAACAGAGTGCCTGGGTGTGGTGGAGCACGCTTTGAATCCCAGGAGGCAGAGGCAGGTGGATCTCTCTGAGTCCCAGGCCAGCAAAGGAAAAGTCTGAGGTCCTGCTGGGCTGTTTCTGCCTCAGTAACGCATCTCCCTCCCCACACCCACTGGAAAATGGAAGAAGTGAAAGACGCGCTGGGCTAGAAGACCCCCTATCTTCTTTGTCTACATTTAAGTGAGTAAGCTGGATGAGGTGGCGCACACCTTTGAGCCCAGCACTCAGGAGGCAGAGGCAAGCTGATCTCCATGGCCAGCCTGATCTATGAATGAATGAATGAATGAATGAATGAATGAATGAATGAATGAACGAATGATTAACGAGATGGCAGAGACAGCAGAAAGAATACAGCTTTTCAGTCTGGAAAGATCGGAGTTTGACTCTGCCACCTACTTTGTTAGCATGGCCATTAGCTTTATAGTTCAGTCTGGCCTTGAATCCTGGCCACTCTCCCACCTCAGCCTCCAAAGTGAGCTTTTCTGAGCCTTGGTAAGCTCATCTATGAAGTGGAGAGGAATCTATACGTATCTGAAGGATTGTGAGGACAATCAGTTGTGATGACGTGTGTGGAAGATTCTTCAGTGCCCAGAGGGCAACACATAGAACAGCTTGAATCCTTTCAGAGTCAAAACAAAAAGGTAACTCCCCATCTTAGTGATTTATCAGGAAAAGCTGATCTGCTCATTTTCTTCTCCTCTCTACCCTTCTGTCAACCAGGGGGCTGAACCAGGGCCTTGGGCACACTAGACAAGTGCCTGGCCACTGACCCATATCTCCAGCTCTCTGTTTTTAACTCTGTTGAGACAGGCTCTTACTAACTTGCCTAGGCTGACCTTGAACTCAAAATCCTCCTGCCTTAGCCTCTTGAGTAGTTGGATTATAGGCCTGGCTTTTCAGCTAGTTTTCAAAAAGCAAAACCAGAGAAGGCTGCCTATGGCTGGATGAAGAGACTCCTTTCCGCGGGGCACTGGGGCAGGCTAGAGGCGTCCTATTTCACTTAATGTAGCCAAGATGAGAAGGCCAATCACCCTGACAACCACACACACACATCTCACAAGGAATCCAGAGTTCTGTGAACGGATTTTCATAATTAAGCCAATGGGTGGAACAACACTGGTCATTTTCCCTCCCTCACAGCAATAACACATAGTTTAGAATAGGTACAAGGTTCCAGACACTTCCACAGCTCTCCCACCATCATTCCACACATCTCCCTGTGCTCCGATAAGAGCATTAAATTAATAATAAAAATGCTACGGAGCTGGAGAGATGGCTCAGAGGTTAAGAGCACTGACTGCTCTTCTAGAGGTCCTGAGTTCAATTCCCAGCACCCACATGGTGGCTCACAACCATCTGTAATGAGATCTGGTGCCCTCTTCTGTATACATAATAAATAAAAAAAAAAATGCTACATAGTCAACCAGTAAAAAGCCAATCTCTTCTGCTAAATGATGGAGTACTTTAAAATTCTGCAGTGCAAACGGTACCCGTTCACATGTGGCCTGCTTAATAAGAAGGAAAAATGACTTGGGCAACCAATTTATCATTTAGAATAAATGAAGCAAGCCGTTAGACAAGGCACCTTCTTAGTCTCTCACTGTAGTGGTTCCTCTCCATGTGGAGGATCTACCTAGATCTAGGTGTGCAGGCTCAAAGGAGGTGCCATTCAATCAGGAGGCAGATGTGGTTAAACTCAAGGCCAGTTTGTCAGGGGTACATTCAGCAGAATGCTTCACCACACAGATACATTTATTATTAGACCCTTCCAGTAGACTCCTTGGGGAAACCATATCAGAAACTGCTTCTACTATCTTATCTATTAAAAAGCAGTGATTTTGTTTTTCAGACCAAAGACAAATTTATGGAATGAAGCTCTGGTTCAAACACCGCAACCAAGTTGCTATGGTAATAAAAAGACCTTTTTGTGCAATTATGCAACAAGAAAGCAAGCCTTTTTTTTTTTTTTTAAATCAAGAATGACGCACATTATCAGGTAAAAGGCATTGTAGGCAATAAGCGTTACCTTAGCTGAAGAGCTCTTACGATTTTCTAACTATGAAGGACTCCAATGAAATCATATAACATTTCACCTCTGGAGCCACTCACTGAGGTGAGCCAAAGACTAAATGAAAAACCAAATGAAAGACTTACAAGGAAATGTTTGAGGTGTGTGTGTGTGTGTGTGTGTGTGTGTATAAAATTAACTGAAGAGTAGACATGTTATGAGTCACTAAGTACAAGCTTTGAAACAATGTTTTTATTTTTGCTTATTTACTGGCTACTAGTGGGTGAAAAAGCAATTTACTAAAGAGTAATTAATTTGAACACATAAGCACTAAACTGGCATTACATAAGAACCAAAAAGCAAACAATTACATAATATCCTTCCCTAAGCCTTAGCATCTACACACGGTATAAATGCAGAGTGTGCTTTTTTTTTTTTGGTATAGTGAATACTGGTAAGCCATTTTCTAAGAAAAATTTGGCACGTAAGTTGATTGAAGGTAAAGAACAAACATGAAAACTACCCATTTGCCCATGTTAGCAGCTCTCTATTTGCTTAGCAACCCAGTTCTATGTATTACTGTATAAAGAGCTTAAAAATAATAAAGAACAAGGCCTCCAGCAGGAAGGACAGGAGCCCTGTCTGGGAAAAATGATACAGGATGCTATAAGCACCAAAATGACTAGAGATGGCTTTGCACTTTCCTAGCTGAATTTTGAAAATTACAAGAGAAAAGAAAAAAGAAAATGGAGAATGACTGCAATCAAAGAAGAGTATTGTAGCTCCAATTCTTCGGGCTCCTGGGCGACGCTAACCAGAGCTGCAACCGGGCACAGGTAACAAGCCAAATTGGGTGCTTTCACTCATGGATTTGTTTGCAACCAGGAATTCACTATGACAAAGGGCAAAAGAATAAACAGTATGACCGGCTTCCCATCATGGAACAAATCAAGACGTGGCTTTCTCTCCTACAGGCAGCTAACCCTATCAGGCTCTTGCATAACCTCTATTCAGATCCACTCTGAATGCATGTTGTTCATGAAACAGGGTATCCTCAGGCATGCAAGCCACCACCACAGGACATAGAAGATGAGAGCCACTGTGGATGTTTTCTAAAGCTGGTGGCATATGCCCAAGAGATTAAGAGTTACTAGCTTTTAAAGAAGGAGTTTAGAGGAAGGGGGGAAAAAAGAATTACATGCACAATTCCATTATTCTTGAGTGTTCTGCATAGCAGTAGCAACGTTTGGTGGCTCAAAGAGAGAACAACTTCTAATGTCTAATGCTGCGTTAACCCAGCCTTCATTTACCAACACAAACCACAAAATATTTATTTTAATTTCTCCCCATTTTGGGCCCAATTCTCCCTTAGAGAATATTCTCCACTAACTGTAAAGCCCGGTCTGACTATGTCCTGCTAAGTCTCAAGCCTCCTGATAGGCACTGCTGTAGAGAACAGGCTACACAAGACTGCTGCCTGATCGCCTTCCTGTGTTTTCTAATCTGTATAGAAACTCCCAGTTCTACATGTTTGCACTGACTCCTGTGACGCTATGGTCTACATTGTGTCCACGCTAAGTATTTTCAGGTTTCTAGGTCAATGCTTTAAGTTCAATAAAGAAAAGCAGCAAGCATGAGAATACTAAACTCAGAGGAAGCCAGAAGGCAAGAGATAGTAAGATTGTCCAAGGTCAGTCCGGGAAATCCCAGGCTGGAGACAGGGCTCAGAGGTTAAGAGCATGTACCGCTCGCCGGGTGGTGGTGGCGCACGCCTTTAATCCCAGCACTCGGGAGGCAGAGCCAGGCGGATCTCTGTGAGTTCAAGGCCAGCCTGGGCTACCAAGTGAGTCCCAGGAAAGGCGCAAAGCTACACAGAGAAACCCTGTCTCGAAAAACCAAAAAAAAAAAAAAAAAAAAAAAAAAAAAAGAGCATGTACCGCTCTACCAGAGGACCCAGCAGCCATGGGAGGCACCTCACAACTGCCTGTAACTCCAGCTCTACCTTCTGTAGCACCTGCACGCCAAGTGCACACCCCCACACACATTTAAAAATAGTAAAAAATAATAGAAACCCCATGAAAATGATACCAAATGAGCACAAAAGATGGTAATTACAATGAAGGCTTTCTGGCTACCAAAAGGGAGAGAGCAGATTTAGGGGACAGAGCCTCCGGGGTATATGCCCTCTTAAGTTCTCACTTAGCTGACATTTCCCAAACAACTTATCAAAAGTCTTCAAACGAGAGAACCAAGTAGAAGCTACTCATAAGAAAAACAATAAAGCAATTTTGGCTGAGGGTGTACCTCAGCGGTAGAGCACTTGTTTAGCATTCAATAAATAAATATACATAAGTAAAAATAGCTGGGCATGATGACATGTACCTGAAGTCCTAGCTATTCTGGAAGCTGAGGCAGGGGGATAACTTAAACTCAGGAGTTCAAGATCAGCACAGACAGCATAATAAGACCTTGACTTAAAAAAACAAAAGAAGTATAAACAAAAATCATCACCAGGTGGTGGTGGCGCACACCTTTAATCCTAGCACACAGGAGGTGGAGGCAGGTGGATCTCTGCGAGTTCAAGGCAATCCTGGTCTACAGAGTGAGTTCCAGGACAGCCAGGGTCACATAGAGGAACCCTGTCTCACACAACAATATTTTAATTATTTTAGAAGGTAGCACAGCTTGTATGACATTGCCAGTGTTCTCTGTTCTCACCTGTTCCCTCTGGTAATGAGCATGGATTCTAACAGGAACAATACAGTGACTGCAGAACACCAGCACATTTGTGATGTGTTCAGTGATGTCTCATGCACTGACAGAGACAAGCATTAGCCAACTGTGTCTTACCTGGCATCAGGATAAACACCACAGTGTTATTTGTTTGGACCTATAGCACAGAATGCAAGTCTTTATCACCAAAAAAAAGGGAAGTTGTGTTATACTATTAAAACTCCCTCCCTAAAAATACGCTATCTAGACACAATGAGTTGTTCAGTGAATGACAGTTACACACAGGGACAGTCACTTCTGCTCACAAGAGTTAATGCAGTTCCCGTAGACTGCTCTGGCTTTGGAGAATCTATGGACACAGCCCCATGAGGTGGCTCTCACAGTGGAGAGTGCAGCTGCTGGAACCACCAGCTGGAGGCTTTTTTCCCAAGTTTGTTAGTAGCACACAGTTAAAATGCAGAGCATCCTGTACGAGGTTTTAACAGTGACTTCTCAGCTTTCAACACACTCTCCATCTCAAGTGAAGGCTCGGCTTTTCTGTGACTCCATTTCAGCCCTGACACCCAACTTTCTTCTTTCTCGGGTGGCATATGAAAGCGGTCTCTGGAATCCTACTCAAAATTCTCATTTTCAGGAGTTTAATATCCTTTCTTCTACAAATTCTAAAAATGATCAAAAACTTAAAACCTTCAAATCATTCGTGAAAAGTGAAAACATTAGTTGGCGGCGGTGGTGCACGCCTTTAATCCCAGCACTCGGGAGGCAGAGCCAGGCGGATCTCTGTGAGTTCGAGGCCAGCCTGGTCTACAGAGAGAGTGCCAGGACAGCCAAGGCTTCACAAAGAAACCCTGTCTTAAAAAAAAAAAAAAAGTGAAAACATTGAAATGATTCTTTTCCCCAAAATCTTTATGCAGCTTGTGTTTGAGACTTGAAAAAGAATTCTATTCCAAGGTTCCTCACTCTTATCCTATTCCAAAATAGAGCAAATAGCTTCCAAGTCTGGGTACTCATTGCTAACTTTCACTGGTCTTTGAGATTTTTATAATTAATTTATTGATTGATTTATTGCAATTCTGGGATCAAATCCAGTGCCTTGCAAACACTCTTACTACTGAGCCAGGCCAGAAACCGTTTTCTTAAAAATGAAAATAGTTTAAAGCTTGGTTCTTTTGCTTTGTGGGTTGTTTTAGTTTTCAATGTTTATTACTATTGTGTGTATGGCATGTCTATGTCTGAGTACAAGTGTGCCATGTGTGAGTGTCCAGGTCATTTCCTTCCACTCGTTCATGGTTTTTTATTTTTTATTTTTATTTTTTTTACTTTGTTTAGTGAGACACAGTAGTATACTCAGGCTGTCCTTGAACTCACAATTCTGTCTCAGCCTCACAAGTGCCAAGATCACTGGTGTGTGTCTCACACCCGGCTGAGCCTTATTTTTACATTGCTGGGGATAATATATAAATATTAATATATTCCCCTACATATATTGATTTATCTGGTGCTGAGGATTAAACAAGTACTTTGCGGATGCTACTGTCTGAGCTAAGAGCCTAAAGCTACATGTCAGTTCGATGCCACTTTAAGGACTTCTGTCAATGGGCTTACAAGGAGCCAAGGCTAAACCATACTCCTGCTTTCTCAGGAGGAAAAAAGAAAACCCAGTCTTAAGGGACATGACTTCAATTTTATACCAGCCAGGTATCTTTTTAGTCTAATTCTGAAAAACACAAATTACACACATCCCCACACTTTCAAAATATGCCAAAGAATCGTTTATTAACACAGGACTTACAGATCGCAAAAGAGAATAGTACAGAAGAGCTGGGAAGGAGCCATCAGAGTAAGCATGCAGGCCAGTGTTCGCAGAGAAAGAGAATAAAGCAAGTTCCAAAGGGCACATTCACACACAAGTGTCTATGTTGAAAAAAGACATCAGAAAAGCAGCCAAAAAAAAAAAAAAAAAAAAGGTGCTGATTAAAATACAAAGATTTTCCATGTCAAAAGGAGCTACTACACAGGTAGGTAGCCGCAGAGGTCTTGCTGACTCTTTGATAAAGTCACAAATTAAAGTAAGCTCTTGCTGCGGAGAAACAAAGGATCTTAAAGACTGAACATCAAGACACTGCTGTACCAGAGAGAGTAAATTTAGGGGGATGGGAAAGCAGCCTCATTGAAATTATACGCAGCAAGGGCTAAAGGGTAAATGTAATGATGTGCAGAGAGAAACCAGGCAATGTTATTAGTATATCTACCTTCCATACAAAGAGTTAACAGCACGGGTTAGAGACAGTATCCCCTTCAGAGTTAAGTTAGGGTTTCCAACCAGGATCATGGTCCATAGACAGTAAACACCCAAGTTCTTTTTGCTCCATCAGCCCACTTCTTATTTCTCCAGAATATCCTTTTAACCCTCAGACTAAGAGAGCAAGAGATTACATGATGAGCGGAAGGGCCAAATAAAGTCACGGTGCATTGAAGCAATGCTTGCCGCTTTTCCTTGCTAGTATATTTATTTATGCAGCAATCTTGCTCAACGACACATAGGCATAACTCCTTGGTCAGCCATCAACCCTCTTAACAACCGCTCTGAAGGGTTACTGCTCCTTTCCCACTGGAGGTTTACAGAGCAACAGAAGGCAACAATCTGCTTTTCAGGTCTCCTCCCTCTGAAGACAGCTGGCTTGAACATGACAGGTTCCATTCTGGGAATGTTCCAGACATACAGAGAGAGCACGGGCACAGATAATTTAACAGGTCCATTGGAATGAGCTCCGTCAAAAGCCAACCTCCCCCTTCCCGAATAAAAGGTGGGAAAAAGACATTCCCAAACCTGGATTCACTCATTTCACAAAGATATGTGGTTTGGCACTGTGAAAGAATATAGATTCATTTTTCAGAAAAATAGCCTCTAATTAATAACTTCAGAGTCCAAATGGCTAGTATACATGTTGTGAACTTGTTTTTTAAATAAAAGTCAAATGCTGTCGTTTAAAAAAACAATGCCCCTTGCAACTGAGTGTTGTGGCTCCCACAGCTCCCACAAAAAAGAAGAATAAAATCATCCATCAAACAAACAGCAGCAAAGGAAAAACAGAACACAAATGAGGAAATAACAGCGAAGGGCAGAAGGAGCTCAGACAGTCCGCTGCCCTAGGAAAGCCCTCTGGCCGGCAGCAGGTGAAACACGCGCATCTCTGCTAACTTGCTTCCCATTCCAAACCCAGCATAAGAAACCCATTTCAGTAGCAAAGGACAGACACTATCTGCCAGTTTGAAATCTGTGGACTCTACAGCACTTCGCAATGTCTGCTGAGCCTGTAAACTTGGAAGTGTCTTACCTGCCCTTCTCAGGTGAAGAAACAAACCCTGCATGTACACACTACATTTTCTAGAATAATACAGTAATGCCGAGAGAGTTCTCATTATTAAAGGCCACAAAATAGGTTTATCTTTCTATATACATATTAAAAAACAAAACAAAATAGAAACTAGGACACTTGGGAATCTAGTTCTTGTGACAGGAAGTTGGACCAGAGAATAAACTGCTACACGTTAAGTCCACACAGGGTTTAAAGAGGGTGCCCTAGTAAAAGGTTTGCACACATCCTATCAGAAGTTAGTAGTTACCCTACCCTAGCATCTACAGGGTTATTACAACTTAATACTTGCAGTAACACTGCAAAACAGTAACACTGAAAACAGGCCTGCTCCCCGCCAGGTCCTCACACAGGGAGCATCCCTATGTGACCTCTTTCCCTCTTCTCAAGGAAGCTGGCAAATTGCATTACAAGTGGGAAGAGTTTTTCAGTCTCTTGGCCTAGGAAGAGTCAGTTTCTGTAAACCAAACAAACACTGTCTTAGCAACTCTAAATATGCTCAAGAGAAGACAGAAGGGGAGCGGGAGCACTGATCTGCTCCCAGGGGTGAAGAAACACTGTGCACACTGCAAAGTCTTTATAAAATTCCTGCCTGTGTGGGGTTCACGGAGGAGTGGGTTTCTATGGGCCTCTGACACTAAGTGAGCATTGGGTTTCAAAAATAAAAATATTTCGGCTCTCCAATCTAAGCTTCGGAGCAGTCAGAGTACCCGTAGAGTCATGCTCCATGACATCATGTTAACACTGCTTCAAGCAGACAGACGACAGGAGGCCAATTAATTACTAGATATCCGCCAAGGACGGGCCAGAGCCTCAGTCTGTCTGTCAGTACCCACAGAATCATCTTTGAAATCTACATCACCATCACCAGAGCAATCTCACCAATTCCTCACCTGCGGCAGGAGGATGCTGGCCACTAACTGTTGGTAAATCCAAAGAGCTATCAGACATGACATGCTTAAGATCTCCTCCCACATCAGCCAATTTCATGTCAAACTGAACAGAAAGCGCATCTTCAGAGTCCTCCTTGCCAACGCTGCTGCCACCGATGGAGGGGAGATCTAAAGACTTCACCGAGGCAGAGTCTTCTTTGGCGTGTCTGAAAGCCACCGCTTTCTCTCCCAGGGACTTGTCTGAGCTTGTGGATGAAAACTTACTGGAGTGGAAGTCAGCAAAGTCATCGTCACTCTTTGCAGAAGGGGTGTTCTCTTTGAACTCCTCCATGGCCAGTCCAGCTCCCTCGAGGGAAAGCTGTTTGAAGACATCATACTTGGAAGATGCAGCAGGTGGGTTCTGGGCACTCTCCACTGTGCTGCTGGCTAAGGAGCTGGGACTCACTTCCTCTCTGAGGACGTCATATTTGTCATCTACTTTTGGCTCAGATGAAATAGAACTGTTACCGAAAGCCATGAAATCTGCAAAGTCGTCCTGCTCCCCAGCAGATGCAGGATTCGAATATTCCCCGAAGAGGTTGAACTCTCCAAAATCATCTACCAAACTAGAAGTTTTAGTGGATGCCAGTGCTGCCGAGGCTGCCGCAGAGCCGGCTGCCGGAGGTCTCGTGGAAACTGACTTGGACGTGCTAAATGCAGCTGAAAAGGGCACCGGCTTCTCACCACTGCAATTGGCTGAGGAGAACATATCTAGGTCTGCTAAGTTCAGAGGGGTTTTCACTTGTGTCTGTTTCTGCTGTGCAGCTCCAGAGGGAAAGGCTGCCGGAAAAGTGTCTTTTGGTGGTGGTTCTAGGGGTGACACACTGTCGGCGGTCTTGAAGTCGGTGAAGCCGTCATCGGTTCCGGTGGATCTGAACTCAGCAAAGCACTCTCCTGAAAGAAAAAAGTGCAGTGAAGTAAAGCTGCAGAGCTGAAGACCACGTGTGCAATGCATATTGAACTGAAGTGTAATTTTGTAGGTTTCTCCTTGGCTTGACAGTAACCATAGTCCACACTCTTATCAGACAACGTGTTTCTTCACTAACAGTGATATGGACACAGGCAAGTAAGTACTACCCTCAAGACTCCTCCCCTGGTCAGAACTGAAAGAGAAGCTGGAGGCTCCAGAAAGGCACACTGTAATAACAGCCCTTTAAAGATGAAACATGTTATATAGTTTTAAACAAAATCCGAAGTATCAATGAAGTACTTAGAAAAAGTCTGCCTCTGATATTCAGAATGCACTTTCAGAAGATTTAGAAGTTGGGTGTTGTGGCACACACCTTCCCAGAACTTGGGAAGCTGAGGCAGAAGGATCACAAGTTGAGGTCAACTTGGGCTATATAACAAGACCAGGTCTCAAATATACCAATCAACTAACCAAACAACCAATGAACTAACCACCACCAAAAGCAAAACAACCCAATTACTAGAGGCTAGCACTGTAGCTCAATGCTCAATGGTAAAGCTCATGCATGATACAATCATGACCTAGTTTCAATGCAGAGCACACATGCACACATACATACATGCACACACACAGGAACACAAATTACTAGACAGGATGTAATGAGGACTTGCTCAAGTACACGGACATATTAATTTGAAGATATTTTGGCAAAAAAACTCTTTGAAAAAATAACTACTTATTTGGAAAGCAAGTTCAGTGCCCTAGATAAGAGCACTAGGAAAACGTAAAACCCTTTGATTGCTGTTGTTATGTGCAGGAGTGTGATGTGCACATGTGGAGGTTGGGATAGCTCTGAGGTGCTGACTCTTTTCTCCTTCTTCCTATGGAATCTGAGGACTGCACTCAGGACACTGGGCTTCTGCAGCAGACATTTTTATTCTGAGCCACTTTCTCCAGCCCCTGAGGACCAATTATTAAAGCTCTGGAGCCAGGGTTCCTCCTAAGGTTTCCATTCTTCCTCAGTATCGAATCTCATCACTCATAACTACAGTGGCAGGATGCAGATGACCTCAGGTCCCTTACAGTGTCTGAAGATCTACAGTGAAGCCCACTAGGACATGTCATTTAATGAAATCCAGAGAATACCAAACATGAATATTGCTATACCAACCAACATCACTGATAATTTAAAAATACGACTATCACTTCTAGAGATTTAAAAATAAAAAAACCCTGAATTTCTTTATGACTCCACACACACTTTTTTCTTTTTTAAGACAGTCCACCTTTGTAGTTCTGGCTGGCCTAGAACTCACTACATAGAGCAAGGTGGCCTTGAACTTGTGGCAGTCTCCTGTCTCTACCTCTTGAGTGCTGGTATTATATGCATGCACTTACATGTCCAGTTTCTCACTCATTTTTTAAAAAATTTTTTCCTAAAAAATGAAACAGATACATATGAACCATAAAAATGTACTTAAAACCCAAACCATAAAGTCAGTTTCTAAAATTGACACCAAAGAAGATAGAGTTTAAACCTATTGTGCCTGATGCATGATCTGCACTTTGATTTTCCAGATGGAAAAAACACTGGAAACAGTGTGATTTTTCTTCTTAATCTGATACTGAACCTATTTACTAACAAAAGTCATCAATACAAATCCATTCACAGTACCAGAGAAACTGAGAAAAAGGAGCAGCCTTCAAGTTTCCTATAATTTTTGTTTTCAAGATATAACATTAAAAGTCATTAACATAAAACAGTCAATTTCACAAACTGACAGGAAACACAGATGCGAACATTACACTAAGACTTTGGAGACACATGACGACGTTTGTGTTATTTCTGTAAATGAGATGGTAATTAGTAGTAAACTTCTTCTTGTTGTCGTCGTCGTCGTTTTGTTTTTTTGAGGCAGGGTCTCATCTCACATGGTAGCCCAAGCTGACCTTTAACTCATGGCAATTCTCCTGTCTCAGCCTCATGAATGCTATAATTAGAGGCGTGAGCTACGATGTCCAGATCATGTCCTAAATAGACTTTTGATGTACTCCTTTGAAATATCTGTGAAATTGACAGGTTTTGATTTTTAAACACAAATCACACAGCAAACTAAACTTACTGATGATGAATTGCAAATTTTTCCATCAGAAATGTAAACTGGGGTCAAAAGGAAACAAAAACGGGGGTTTATAACTTCAAAACCAAAGCACATTCCAGCAAGGAAGCTAGCTGGGAGTGAACCTTCATTCCACCGCAGCTTTTGAGTTCACTGTGGATTCCTGCAAGCTCCTCCTTTGATTTTTTTTTTTTTTTTTTTTTTGGTTTTTCGAGATAGGGTTTCTCTGTGTAGCTTTGCGCCTTTCCTGGAACTCACTTCGTAGTCCAGGCTGGCCTCGAACTCACAGAGATCCGCCTGGCTCTGCCTCCCGAGTGCTGGGATTAAAGGCGTGCCCCACCACCGCCCGGCCTCCTCCTTTGATTTTTGTAACTTTTCAGGCCCTGGGAAAATTTCAAGTGAGTATTTGGCTAAAGCTCCAATAAGAAGTGTCCTTTCTTTATGGAGAACATTTTTCAGAACTTACGTGGAACTTCTGGCTTAACCTGTGAGCGTGTATTAAACCGTGACCCAGCAATGCGAGAATCTCAGCTCTGAACTGCCATCCTGCAGAGTCTCTAAGGCTTGGCATTAAGCACCCCTGTTCCCCGACTTTTTGGATCAAATTTGCTGTGTAGCCAAGGATGACCTGTGCTCCTCGTCCTCCTGCCTCTACTTTCCAGGTGCTTGGAGGAAAGGTCTGTACCACAAATGGCTCAGACCAAGGAAACTTTTTTTAAAGTTTAGGAGAATAAAACATTCAACATAACTGATCAAAGTCAGTAACTCAGAAGGCTTTAAACTGAGTGAAGCAGAGAAATGAAAACAAGCAAATCAAAATGACAATAACTGGGCCTCAGTTCAGGTTGAGAAAGCAGGACTAAGGCGCCACTTACAATTTGGGCACCACTACCTTTTCCCATTGTCTCTAATAAGAATAATGTTTATGGGACTAGAGAAATGGCCCAGCAGTTAAACGCACTGACTATTCCTTCAGAGGACCTGGGTTCAATTCCCAGCACTCACATGGCAGCTGATAATGTTCTCTTCTGGGCTCTGTTAGGCACTGGGTTCCCATGTGGTACATAGACATACATGCAGGCAAAAACACATACATAAAATTAAATTTATTTATTTATTTATTTTGGTTTTTCGAAACAGGGTTTCTCTGTGTAGTTTTGGTGCCTGTCCTGGATCTTACTCTGTAGACCAGGCTGGTCTCGAACTCACAGAGATCTGTCTGTCTCTGCCTCCGAGTGTTGGGATTAAAGGCATGCACCACCGTCACCCGGCAAAACAAAAAAATTTTAAAGTAACATTTATATCATGATCATTAATGCCATATCACACAAAGAATCCTGACATAAAAGCAGCCTCTACTCAAAACTTGCCTAAGACAAAATGAAGTCAGGATTCCTCTAAGGTTCACATTTGAATGTCTAGTGCCTAACACAAGTATGGAGGAAGAAATAGCTTTCCCATCTTAAAGGCTTGGATGAAACACAAGAAAATATTGCTGGAACTTAAGATCTAGGAGAGACTGACTTCTAAGAAGTGGCCCTTCCTGTGTAGAGATATCTACTACACCTCCCCTACTCTTATATAATCTTTCGCACCCCAAGCAAAAGTGGAGAAGTCAGCTTTGAGCACTGAGTGTAAGGTTTTGGTCCTTATTAACGTCCTTTAATTACGTCATCAGCCTTCGCCGGCTTCCCAGCCTAAAAAGCGGTTGGGCCCTCTGTGGGCTCTCTCTGTCCTCTCCCCTTTGCGCTCCTTCCCCCCGTCGGTCCCCCTCTGTCCCTCTCCCCCGCTTCTCTCTCTCTCTCTCTCTCTCTCTCTGTCTTTTTCTGTCTCCCCCCCCCCCAATAAAGCTCTAAAAAGGTAACCATGGCTAAGATTCTTTCAATCAGCACGCTCCTCCGCGGGCACGCTCCTCCGCGGGCATGGCCACCGCGGGCATGGCCACCGCGGGCGGTGACCAGCCACGAGGGGCAGCTCAAGGTAACCATGGCTAAGATTCTTTCAATCAGCACGCTCCTCCGCGGGCACGCTCCTCTGCGGGCATGGCCGCCGCGGGCGGTGACCAGCCACGAGGGGCAGCTCGGCGGCATAACCAACATTGGTGCTGTTCAGACTCGGATACACCACCGAACACCGAGGACCTGCTGACTGCTGCTGCTTGCCGCCTCTTCCCCCATCCAGCGAGACTGCGAGACTGCGAGCGCGCGTGTGCGCGCGCTCGCGTCCCTTGCCGCCTCCACTGGATCCCCACACCGCCACCGCCATGATTCTTCACCACAGTAAGTCCGCCGTTCTCGCGCGGTTGTAGTCTGAGCTATATTATTTGCGACGGACACCCCGGGGGTGTCCTCGAGCTGCACCAGCACCTGCACATTTCCGTTTCTGACGAGAAAGTAAATGCTGTCTTGGTCTACCGGGTGGATCAACTGCGCCGCAGCTGCAGCCCTTCACATCCCTTGACGAAGAGGATGGTGAACTTGAGCTGATTCATGGATCTCTCTCCACTCTTTGGGGACGCCCAAGATTGTAGTCTGATCCCGGTTTGTTATTTTAATTTTTTATTTTTTCTCTCGGCTACAGCCATGCAACAAAAGGGCGGATATATTGGTGGATAGGGGCGGGCACCGGTAAACCTGGCCTCATAACAGCGTAAATCTGGCCGCATAACAGAGTCACGGGAACTTCTGCCAGAGAACGGGCAAATAAGAGTCACTTTATCTCCAAGCTTTCTGCTAAAGTCCTGAAACCCTGCTCCCTCCCCACTTCTGCATCTGCCACGTGCAACCTTTTCTGTCTGACTTCCGTAGGCGGTGGGCGGGCTTGGGCGGCTTCTAGGACTCGCCCTAACTCACCTTAACTCCACCCACTCGTTCTCAAACTGCCTTGAGAAGCACAGATGGGTCTGGAAGTGGCTAAGATCCATACAAATAAGTTTACAGTAGTCAGGATGACTCTTAAGCCAAAAAAACTGCTTATAGCCTCAGACAAGTCTTCCGAAAAGTATCAGTTTATAGTCTGCCTACTGGCAGATCTTCCAAAAGCTGTCCTTAAGCCATCAATCAGCAGGAAAAAAAAAAAATTCAGGACATAGAGTAAAATTCGTCTCTTGTTCCCCAGACCTCCCCGACTAAAACTTAAGCATCTGGAGAGTAAGGCTCCTGACCCCAAAGGCAAAAGAGTCATCTGTGGCATTTAAGGTGTGCCAGGGAAAAGATAAAAGCCCGAAAACAAAATTGCCAAGTGCTGGCACTCGCTGTTGGGTCCCTGTTTTAAGTGAGGAAAAGGCCACGGGCTAGCGAATGCCCTGCCAGGCCATCGACAGCCTTGTTAAAAGTGCCACCTAGAAAGACAGAGTCAGCTGACTGTCCCCAGGCACCAAGATGCATGGGTACATCAAGCTAAGACCTTCAGCAGACCTAGGCTTGGCTACAGACATGGCAGGGAACCCAGAACGCAGCAGGGAAGCGATCCGATTCTTTCCTTCTGGACACCAGAGCCACTGACTCAGTCCTGGAGTTTTGGGATGCTACCTCTCCTTTATTGTCGGGTACAGAGGACAGCCTTACCACCTCACCTGATTTAATTGCACTTTCAGAGTTACTTAATAAAAAAAGATTTCCACCTAAAATAAGAGCTCATTGCTTCACTCCAGATCCACTGCCTGTGTTTCTCATGTGCATACAGACAGGGCCCTGATCTTTGCCTTGTCCCTAATTCCAAAAAAAAAAAAAAAAAAAAAAAAAATTTTTTTTTTCTCATATACCACAAGCTTTTCTCTTCCCAGTTTCCTGTTCTAACTCACTGTTCAGCTAATGGTACAGGACCACCACAGAACCGGAGTCCAGAGATCATCAAATAAGAAACTGTAACAGCTAAAAGGTATTTACACCCCCAGACCCAAAAGCGTCTGGGCACTACAAAGACTTTAATGTAAACATCTATTACTATGAGATGCTTTTAACAATTGATCACCTGTCTCCTAGATGCTGAACCAATAAAGAAAACAGGTACTTTAAAATAATCTGTCTCTGATAAAGCTTAACATGTTTCAAAATCCATAGGGACAGGCCGGATCTACCTCAGATAAATGTCAACATAAAATAATAATGATTCTTTTCTCTCTCTAAGTTTTTTTCTGTGTCACCAGCATCTTGTCAAACAGAAAGTTCCCAGCCACAGCCAAGAGGGATACATGTCTCCAGAGCAAACGGATGACAGACAGCATCCCACAACGCCTGTCTACCTCGGAAGACTCCCCTTCTCCATTCCCCCAAGAGCCAACCAACGTCCAAAAGTCAGCTGGAAGCAGTTTTTGAGAGGAACGACGCCCCTAGTCCCATCTACCTGCTTTTTTTTTATAATAAGGGAAAGTCTGGGATGTAAGGTTTTGGTCCTTATTTACGTCCTTTAATTACGTCATCAGCCTTCGCCGGCTTCCCAGCCTAAAAAGCGGTTGGGCCCTCTGTGGGCTCTCTCTGTCCTCTCTCCTTTGCGCTCCTTCCCCCCGTCGGTCCCCCTCTCTCCCTCTCCCCCGCTTCTCTCTCTCTCTCTCTCTCTCTCTCTCTCTCTCTCTCTCTCTCTCTCTCTCTGTCTTTTTCTGTCTCCCCCCCCCCCCAATAAAGCTCTAAAAAGGTAACCATGGCTAAGATTCTTTCAATCAGCACGCTCCTCCGCGGGCACGCTCCTCCGCGGGCATGGCCGCCGCGGGCGGTGACCAGCCACGAGGGGCAGCTCAGCGGCATAACCAACACTGAGTACATAAAGGCAGAATGTGACTGTATTCTCAGGAGGGATCCTCATTAGAGTAGAAACATTTCACAATATGCAGAATGAAGGTTTAGGTGGATTGCTCAAACTACATGCCATGTTGAAACACACACACACACACACACACACACACACACACACACACACAGAGGCACGCGCGCACACTCGCACCTCTTCATCTTTCTCATTAAATCACAGCCGATTTTGAAAATCCTGAACACTGGTAACTTGAGTCCAGCACAGCACAGTAACTGACTTCTCCTTCCTGGATTGATTGACTCATTTATTCATTCAATTAGTTGATTAACTTAGCAGTGTTGGAGATGGAAACCAGGAGCCTGACCACGCATGCTAAATATTCACTCTACACTGAGCTACATCTTAGCCCAGAAGCTTTGGAAGGCCACTTGGTATCCGCTTTGTGCCATATAGCACTACCTGTGCCAACAAGGTAGATTTGGTAAAACGCTAATAAGGCCGAGTCTTGCTTGCCTGTACTTTGTCATTTTGTATAAATACAATGCTTTGTTTTTCTTAATGATCTTTAGTTCTTGAAGAGTATTAAGTAGACAGGACTGTGTCACTAATGAGGAGAAATCCGGAGAAGAACGTCCACTTCTTTATTAGTGGTGCTGCACCACACTCAGGCTCTCTTTGGGAACAATAGATCAACTCTCCCATGATTCTGCCTTCTAAGCTGTGGCCTGCTGCTCTCCTGCTGTCAGGCAGTGCCACACCCCACCTCTGTGAGTGTGAAATGCCGCATTCCTGCCTGATGATACATTCTGCTTTGTCATAGATGTTTCCTGCTGCTTCCCAGGTTGGCTTTGAACTTTCTATGTATCGAGGACAAACCTGAGCTCCTGCTGTTCCTACTTTGGCAGGGCCATGCTGAGGTTTACAGGCTCTACTCACTTGGCTCATCAGAGCGGCTTTTTCCTTTTTAATTAAAAAAAAAAAAATTAGGTTTACTTATGTATTTTTTGTGTGCTTGCACCCATCCATACACACACAAGGAGGCATAAGTACAAGAATGCTACTACATGCCGATGTGTCAAGTTCACAGATGACTTGCAGACTCTGGGGACAGAACTCGGGCTGTCTGGCTTGGCGGCAAGTGTCCTTATCCACTGAGCCATCTCCTCAGCCCCAGAGCTGTTTTGAATAAGGTTATTCTACAATGTTTTTCTTTCCAAATGGTGAATGAGAAACCAAGAAAACAATAATAATGCCAAGTGCCATACCAGGAACTGATTTCCAGTCTTGATTAAGACTGGTGGCCACTTCCGCACAGTGCGCAGGGGCGCTGTGAGCAGCCTTTGGCATGTCTGGATAGAGCAGTTACAGCTATCTCTGATACAGGATATAAGTTGCCTGGCAGATGCCAGTGAAAGGCAACGTACTGTTTTCAGAGGAAACTGTACTGATTTGACATTTACCTAAAATTTTAAAAGTACTTTCCAAAAAAATGAGCCACATTGCCTCACTATAATTTCAAGGCTCCCCAAAATTAGCCAAATCCCACAAGATAGTGCTCTACTCAGCCCATCACAATACTTACTAAGCATTGCAACAACCATTAAGGGCTTCTGAATTAAAACCCTGCCATCTAAGTATGTATCACAACAATTATTACTATGCCATAAAATAATATGTCAGGTTTTTTTCAAGCTGGGCATGGTGGTACACATACCTTTAATCTCAGCATTTGAAGGGCAGAGACAAGTGGATCTCTGAGAGTTCCCAGCCAGTTGGGCATACCAAGTGACTGACAGGCTCTCACTAGGTTGCCCAGGCTGGTTTGGAATCTATGTAACCCAGATTTGCCCCAAACTTGCAATCCTCCTGTCTATACCCCCAAAAGGTGCCACAATTACAGGTGTGTGCTATAACATCTGGTTTGCCATTCTTTAAAATATTTTTTTTTGTTTTTGTTTTTCTTTTAAAACACACATACAATAAAATAAATGAATGTTTATGGATGTCACCAAGAACAAAAACCCAAAAAATTCTTAAAGGGTTGGAGGATGTAGCTCAGTGGTAAAATACTTTTCTAGCACACACAAGGCACTGGTTTTTTTCCCTCAGAGCAGCAAAAAGGAAAAAAGAAGTGGTGGAATCCAAACTTACCTAAAGGCTTACTCTCTGTTGTTTGCTCAAGTTCCCTGAATGCACTGTATTTATCACCAGACTCTACGACAGAGAGACAGAAACTCATTACAGCGAGGAACCCGGAGACCACAGCCAGAGAAGCATGGCAGACTGGGCTGAGCAAACATACTTAACATGTGGAACAGCACCTGATACATTCAATAACAAGCCTGCCACTTCAAGATTTATACAACTTCATTCAAAGTTACGGCCACAGATTTATCAACTGACAACTGCTTTTACCTCCAAATGCAACAGCGTTTTCAGAGGGCTTGTCAGCAGAAATTCCTTTAAACACTGAGTATTTGTCTGTGGAGGCTTTGGTTCCAGAAAGTGGCGTCAGCAGTGATGGAGCACTGTAAGGGAGGAGGAAATTATTGATCAGACCGATGAATCCTCCCTCCTCACCACACGGAGCTGAGGACACAGCCAGAGGCCACGGTCCTCTGCCCTTCCTTTCTTTTCGTTTTGTTTTTTTCGAGACAGGGTTTCACTGTGTAGCCCTGGCTGTCTTGGAACTCACTCTGTAGACCAGGCTGGCTTTAAACTAGGAGATCCACCTGCCTCTGCTTCTCAAGTCTGAGATTAAAGTCGTGAGCCACTACCACCTGACTCTCTTAAAAAAAAAAATTTAAAAATTACTTATGCATGTCAGGCATATCTCTGCGAGTTCAAGGCCAGCTTGGTCTATATAGTGAGTTCCAGGACATTCAGAGCTACACAGTGAGACCCTGTCTCAAAAACAAACAAAATGTGCATGTCTGTGTGTATGTCTCGTGTGTTCAGGTTCACCTGGAGGCCAGAAGAGGGCACTGGACCCCAGGAGCTGCTGTTGTTACAAGCAGCTATGGGCTGCCTGACATGGGTGCTGGGAATGAACTCATCCTGGCGTTAGCTGTATTCATTCTGTGAGGCAGACAGACTGCCTGGGAAAGACCACAGACAGAAACACAGAGAGAGCTAAGGAAAACAAACAAACAAACTCCAGAATGCCTTACTGAAGCAGGCTGACGTCTGTGGGGATGGGAGGGAAACAGTTAAGCGCCCTGGGGTGGGGGCTCAGGGCCAGGCACTTTCTAAGACCCTCAGTCCTTCTGTTTTCTCACCCTTTCACCCACATGTCTGTCCCTGGGCAGGCCTTTTCTTCCCTGCTGCCCTTCCCATGAGAAAGGAAGTGTTCTCCCAACTCTCCCTTACTGTGGAAGAGCAGCTAGCACTCTTAACTGTAACCACCCGAGTCATCTCTCCAGCCCTTGCTACCACTAAAGAACAAACCAACACCCCCAAACAGCTGGTGACAGTTCAGTGGATAAAGGTTCCATGCTGGGATCTATGTGGTGAAGGAGAGAACTGACCCCAAAGTAGTCCTTTGACCTCCATATGCATACTGTGGCACTTAAGCACCCACCTGCCACCTCACAAAAACTAAAGAATGCCATTTTCTTTTTAAACGAGAGAGACAGTGTCTCATGTATCCTTCATGTGGTTGAGGAAGACATTGAACTCCTGACCCTCTGGCTTCTACCTCCTGAATGCTGAGACTACAGCAGTGTGATCTGGATTGAATCCAGGGCTTGTGCATGTAGGCTGCCGACTGGGCTGTGTCCTCAGCCCTGTGGCTCTCGGCTCCAAGAGTTGGAAACTCCACAAATGACTAAAAACAATGGCCCTTTATTGAAAATAAACACTAACACTCAAGTACTAACTGTTCTGACTGAGTCTGTTTAAATCATAAAGACATTGAAAATAGATCATCAAAGAACCACAACCTCGGGGCTGGAGAGATGGCTCAGAGTTAAGAGCACTGGCTGTTTTTCCAGAGGACCCAGGTTCAATTCCCAGCACCCACATGGCAGCTCACAACTGTCTGTAACTCCAGTTCCAGGGGATCCAACACCCTCGCACAGACACACATGCAGGCAAAACACCAGTCAATGCTCATTAAAGAAAAAGAACAACCACCTGCTGCCTTTTTAGCTAACAGTTCACAATAATTTAACAGTAAATTCCACCAAATATGTGTGTTTAATATTGAAAGATAAATTATAACCTAAGACTTCGATAAAATGGGTTCAGGCTGTAAAAGTCTATTTGTAAAATGTTGTTTAAGCCAAGACATAAGTTCTGCTTTTGATAATTTAGAGGAAGCGCAGACATCTGATAAGCAACCACAGAGGTAAGAGAATGCACATTTTTTACAAGGATCACACCAGTGGTCCCAGAGAGCTATCTTTGTAGCAAAACAACAATCACTTCAAAATTAGATGAAGATAGTTTTATCTGTGGATATTTTTTTTTCTGGATGGAAAAATAGTATAACGAGCAGCATCTGTGTGGGCAGTTCTTGGAAAGCTTCAACACACTATAGAAGCATTGCTTTGTTTCTCTTATCAGACCCAGGCAGTTCCCTGGAAGAACAACCTTTACATATGAATGACTGCATTCCACCAGCAGCTAGTGTCATTCAATACCACAACACAAGATAGAGAAATGGATTTCTATTGAGATCTCTGCCCAGGAGCAAAAGCCTTTCCACAGTCATTTAAATCTTCTTATCAGTGGCCCACAACCAAGGCAAAAGCCAGGCTGTCCTACATGCATGGTAATGGGGTCCATGATGTTTCAAGACTTACAGGCATTGAATATAAAAATTTCACTTCATTGCCTAACAGCTGCTACTATATGATCTTAACAAATGTAATAGCTTATCATCTATACATGTAGGTGGCTGCTTTTACAGTTCCATAAATAATTAAACTGCAGCTCATTGACCAGAGTGTTACACAGGAGTACAGGTAATTGGTGTTTAAGGACAAGAGCCCAGGAAACTGGATGACCTGCCTGCTTTTCATAACTGTCCAATTTTAGCTATTTTTTTTAAAGCTCAGTGGCAAAATCTTTCTACTAAATGTGGCATTTAATTGAATGTAATTAATTTTAAAATTATATTCACAGGATTGGACAAAAAGAAACTCTTCAGGGTAATGAAATAGCACTGATGAAAATCAACAGAATTCAGTTCCTTCCAGAAAGTTGACACACACTAATTACATGCACACCACAAATCAGTGTTTCATTCCAGTCCCTTCTCTGGAGCTATTATTTTTTAAAAGAAGGCTGTAATCACCATCAGAGTGTTTATGCCAGTTATATATAGCAGTTGTTATCTGTTTTATACATGAAAACAGTCATTTCTGTTCTTGAAGGGAGGTACTCAAGTGAGAGGGCCACACTGTTTTAAAATGTAAGAAGAATCTGCATTCCATCGAAAGGTAAGACTGGGAACTCAGTCATCAAAGTACACATTTTGTTTCCCCCAGAGAATCTACTTCCACATGGCTGTGGCAGATGGTAGAAAGAAGAGACCATCATTCCAACCGAAGTGTCTAGACAAGGTCAACTTCACTCCCCATCATGAGTGTGCTCTCAAGAGCAAACACACAGGCCGGAAGTGCATCTGGTTTTTATTCTAATGTGCATGGTGACTGTATCTCTTACTCAATGGTTGGGGTCTGACTGCACAGTCTTAATTTAATTGGCTAGTCTGTAAAGAATTGGAGCTAGCAAAGAAATAAAGGAAAGGGAGAAGGGTCACTGCTCTAGGCATTCAAATTCCTGGACTAGAGCAGTGGATCTTTGCATAAACAAACGTTTTACTGGCTGGTGATGGTGGTGGTAGGGATTAAAACATTTTGCATCTAAGTTTTACAAAGAGGTAAAAAGAGTTGAATCCCTTGTCCCAAACACAAGTTTTATACTATGTGATAGAAAGGACTCCTTGTAGTAGAATATTATTTTAAAAATGTGTTACTTTTAGCCGGGCGGTGGTGGCGCACGCCTTTAATCCCAGCACTCGGGAGGCAGAGCCAGGTGGATCTCTGTGAGTTCGAGGCCAGCCTGGTCTCCAAAGCGAGTTCCAGGAAAGGCGCAAAGCTACACAGAGAAACCCTGTCTCGAAAAACCAAAAAAAAAAAAAAAAAAAAAAAAAATGTGTTACTTTTATTAATGTTGCATTTGTTTAACTCTGTGAAGCCCAGTTACTGTGCCTGTGTAAAACACCTGATGGTTTCATAAGGAACTGAATGGCCAATAGCAAAGCAGGAGAAAGGATAGGTGGGGCTGGCAGGCAGAGAGAATATATAGAAGGAGAAAACTGGGAGAAGGGAGCTAAGATCTAGGAGCCAGAGAAGGAGGAGGACTCCACGGGCCAGCCACCCAGCTACACAGCAAGCCACGGAGAAAGAGTAAGATTTACAGAAGAAGATGGGAAAAGCCCAGAGGCAAAAAGACAGATGGCACAATTTAAGTTGAGCTGGCAAAAAACAAAGCCACACTAAGGCCAGGCATTCGTAACTAAGAATAAGCCTCCGTGTGTGATTCCCTATTTCTTCCCCAGACAGCTTTGCTCACTTTTATAAAATATAAAAGTTTATAAGAAGTGCTTAGAGTACAGTGTGGTGGTGCACACCTTTAATCCCAACACTTGAGAGGCAGAGGCAGGCAGATCTCTGTGAGTTCGAGGCCAGCCTGGTCTATTTAGTGAATTTCAGGACAGTAAGGGCTATGTAATACAGAAACCCTGTTTCAACAACCAATCAACAGTCAATAAAAACAAAGAAAGGCTTAGTTCTCAGCAAAATGAAACAAACGAACCAGCCCCCCAAGTCCTGCTGCTTCAACTTTGTAACAACTTTCTGCCTCAGAGCCCCATCTGCCCAGCTGGCTCCCCTGGTCACTCCTCCCGAGTATCTTCTGAACACTGGATGTTGGCGCTTTCATGCCTCGGGATGCTCTCTCTTTTTTCACATCAGAACTGAGTTGGATCAGGGTGTGAGGAAGGAACACAGTACTTCCCTGCTACTGCTCTCTGGGCTCGCAGTAGTAAGGGGATCCCCACATGGCAGCAAAAGCCCTTCTTGAAGCCATTTCTTATTCTGAAGATGCTGTACAGATTAGACCAGAGGTCACAAGGCTTCCCACAACAAGGGCTGTTCTTAACTGCTGTGTTCTCACTAACAGTGTTCTTTGTCGGGCACACCGCTCTACTGTGGAAAGCTTCTCTATTCTGGTTACGCACAGCAACTGCAGGAACTGAAGTAATTTGGCACTCAGAACTAAAGCAACTTTCTGTTCTAGATTCTTGCCCTCTCCACTCTGTCAACCCTCCAGTAATGGTGGCCACAGAGATGGTTATGGATTGCCTAACATTCTTTTACACACCAAGCACCTATTTCCTTAGCTATTCCTAACAACAGGCGCCCCCAAAAGGGAAATTTCAGTCCCCTTCTGCCTCTCCCTTTCTGCCCCATAAGTGCTCCAGCCTGTAAGTGGTGGCAGACTCTCTGGTTTCTTTTTGTTGTTGTTGTTTGTTTTTTGTTTTCGAGACAGGGTTTCTCTGTATAGCTTTGGAGCCTGTTCTGGATCTCGCTTTGGACTTGAACTCACAAAGATTCGCCTGGCTCTGCCTCCGTGCTGGGATTAAAGGTGTGCGCCACCATCGCCCGGCCTCTCTGGTTTCTTGGACTGGAGAGGTTCCCTCCACAGGCCTCTTCCCAAATAAAGGTGGTGTCGCGGTAGTCATTTGTTCCCTTGTCTGTCTGTCCCTCTCTGACCTTACACTCTCCACCCCCGTCTATCACTAAACCCTTGTCTTGTCATCTTTTCTGACAAATAATGCCCATTTTCTGCTTATAGACACTGACCAAGGGAGGTTCTCTAGGCTTAGTTATTCATATTATGACTGCTTTTCAAATAAATTCACAATACAGAATATGGATTATCATATTCTAGTGAATTCACATACGGATGTCTCCAGTATGATCAGTGTAGTATTTGCATGTAATCCCCTCAAATTCTCTGAACACCTGAAATCAGTCTCCTGAGTTACAGTACCTAACATTGTAAAGGCTGTGCACATAGTCAGTGTGAGTATTGTATAGAGATAAAGACACCAAACTTCGTTCATTTTCAGTAGACACATGATTTTTTTCTAAATATTTTCCAATTTCAGCTGTCTGAATCTGAGGATTTAGCAGACATGTACTTCACATTGAGTCATGAGCGCTTTAAAGGACAAGCACCCAGATCAAACTGAGCTTTGATGCAGCAGCAACTGGGAACTGTGGTCTGTATTTCTTGTGTTTCATCCCAGCATCTGGTATAAAGTAGCTGCTAAGTAAACACATGCTGAATGAATATCTGAGCACAAGTGCAGACTTTTAGACAAGAGAAAGCTATTTCATTGAAGGAAAGCACGGAGGTGGTGAATCAATCTGTAAACGGCACATTGGCAGCTGTGTGTGAGGGGAAATGGCATGAAGACCAGGCTGCAAACAGTGCCAGCAGCAGCTGGACAGGGTGCTCCTTCGCACTTATGGAGGCAGAGGCAGAAGAAGAGTTATGAGTTCAAGCCTGGCCTGGTTTACCCACCAAGTTCCAGGCCAGCCAGGACTGTGTAGCAAATATTCTTTCTCAAAACAACCAAACCAGATTATTCATTTGTTACGAGCACTTCCTGCTTTTCCAGAGGACCCCACTGTCAGGCAGCTCACAACCACCTGTATAGTTCATTGCCAGGGGATCTAACGCTCTCTTATGGCCTCCTTGGGCACCTGCACACGTGACATACATTCACACACACACACACACACACACACACACACACACACACACACACACACACTTAAAAAAAAAAAAAGAAAAACAGCAACAACAAACCAAGCAAGTAACCAATAAACAAAGAAAATCCCCAAAATAAAAAATAAAAACTTGTCAAAAGCTCATACATCTCAGGTCTGGCTATCATTTTAAAACTTTTACCCACAAATTTTGACTTAATATACTGAAAGACCTTTCCCCGAGGGAATGAACCACCCAGTTGATAGACTCAGTTTATAGTCCACATACAATAATATAATAATCATTTAATAATTATATATGGGCTAAGCACTCCTGGGGTGAAACATGAGGAATACAGGCAGATACAATTAGTAGGAAAGGAGGGATGCTAACTCATCTCAGATGCATGGGCTGCTGGAGGAGTTAGAAAATAATTTTTAATTTTTTAAAGACAGGTTTCTCTGTGTTGCCCTGGCTGTCCTGGAACTTGCTATATAGACCAGGCTGACCTCGAACCTGGAGATCCACCTGCTCTGCCTCTCAAGTGCTGGGATTAAAGGCGTGCTCCACCACCAGCTGGCTTGAAATAACTTTTGAATTAACTCTAGAGAGACCAACAAGGTAAGATTTTCCAGGTTGAGGGATGGAGAAAGTACAAATGCCAGAAAGTTTACAAGGGATTAGTGAGAAGCAAGTCTCTCTGGCAGGCTGGAGTGTGGGCTGCATGACAATGGAGGAGCAAGATCACCACACCAGGCAAAGCTGGTGAGAAAGAGAGAGGACCCATACTGGTGTCTGGGTGTGGTGATATCATGGACCAAGGAAGATTAGTAATGGTGATGTAACAAATACTTGTCTGTCAGTAAGAAATTAATTTAATTTTATGCAGTAAATTTGAGATGTCTTGCCTGAGTCATTCAGATAGGAACACCCAGATTGTATGTGTAAATTTTGTTTGAAGGAAGAGATCTGGATAGATATGTGATGTAATGCTTTGTCTAGGAGATGTATGATACACATGCTGGCATCATAGTACTAGACATTACATGATGCTTACATATGTTTGGTGTATGTTTTTGTTGTTTTTGGAGACAGGGCCTCACATCATAGCCCAGACTGCCTTCTTACTCATGGCACATCTCCTCAGCTTCCTAAATTGGGATTACAGGTGTGAGCCACTATGTCCAATTGTGTATGATATATTCTTTTTTTTTTTTTTTTTCATTTTTTGGTTTTTTGAGGCAGGGTTTCTCTGTGCAGACCAGGCTGTCCTGGAACTCACAGAGATCCAGCCGCCTTGCCTCCTGAGTGCCAGGATTAAACGTGTGTGCCACCACTGCCTAGCTTGTATGATACATTCTTATACTCAGAAGAATAATTTCTGTTCCTGATTTGAAAAATCCTCTATCCTGCCTATCTTTAGTTACAGTGTTATGTAGGGAGGGCTGACTGGTTAAAATGGAAGTGGTGGTACCAACTATGAAAACAGGAACACAAGAGAAACACAGATGTGTTCTGTCCCACAGAACTCTGCTTGGTCTCCCAATCTCTGGAAGAATTACCTGAACATAGAGAAAGCATGGGAGGAAAGGACAAATACTCACTGAATCGATGACCATCTCTAAAGCAATGGTTCTCAACCTGTGGGTGGCAATCCCTTTGGGGACTAGCAACCCTCTCACAGGGGCCACCTAAGACCACTGGAAAACAAATATTTACATTACAATTCATAACAGTAGCAAAACTACAGTCATGAAGTATCAACAAACATAATTTTACGGTTGGGGTCACCACAACACGAGGAACTGTGTTAAAGGGCTACAGCATCAGGAAGGTTGAGAACCACTGCTCGAGAGGAAAATCTAAGTGAAAAGTTTGTGTATCTGTATGCAGACAAACAGAAATCTGTAGGTCAAAAGCCATTGATTGAAAAAAAATGACACATGAATAATTATAATCCAGAGCCCTGGATTATGACTTTCATGGAAAATCAGGGGTACATCATACTACTAAAAAGTACAAAATTACATGTTCCTGCTTCAAACTCTTTTCAACAGCTGAAGACTGGATCTAATGAAAGAACTCAAAGCCACTGGGGCACAAGCACTAAGCAGTCACAGTCAGAGTCCATCTGTCCGTCCGTCCGTCCATCTGTCCTCCCTCCCTCCCTTTCTCTCTCCCTCCTACTGTCCCTCCCTTCCCTGCCTTCCCTGCTTCTTTCTTTCCTCCTTTTTAGATACTGTTTCTCTATGTAGCCATGGCTGTCCTGAAACTCACTAAGCAGAACAGGCTGGCCTTGAACTCACAATGATCCACCTGCCTCTACCTCCCTTAAAGGGGGACATCACCACACCCAGTCCCAATAGCTAGGCAGGATTTCCAGGCATAGAGGACACTAGGTAGAAGGGTGGAGTCTCGAGGAAATACCAGGATGCAGAGCAAGCAGCATAGACATTACAAAGTAAAGGTAACGGAGCTAAGTAAAAGAACGTAGATTAAAAGATATGGGCTAATTTAAGTTATAAGACCTAGTTAGAAACAAGCCTAAGCTATCAACCGAGCTTTTATAATTAATAAGAAGTCTCTGTGTCATGATTTGGGAACTGGCTGGTGGGACAGAGAAAGACTGGATACACCAAAGTTCAAGTGGGCACAGAGCACAGCAGCAGAGAATAACAGTATGAAGGCAGAGGACAGCCAGGGACATGAGAGAAATCAGTACATAAATGCTCTTTGGACAGGACATTTGTTGTTTTCAGGCTTCTTTTTTTGTTTTGTTTTGTTTTTTTGTTTTTTGTTTTTTGAGACAGGGTTTCTCTGTGTAGTTTTTGGTGCCTGTCCTGGATCTCACTATGTAGACCAGGCTGGCCTCGAACTCACAGAGATCTGCCTGGCTCTGCCTCCCGAGTGCTGGGATTAAACGTGTGTGCCACCGCTGCCCAGTTGTTTTCAGGCTTCTTATATCATTTCCCTAATGATAAAATGCAATGTTAAATATATTCAACTCATTTCTACCTGTTTCCATGCTGGGAATTACTTGTTTTTGAGGAAGCAGACACCTCTTGGAAGTCAGTGAAAGAATCATCAAGGGATCCTGACTTGGAAGCATCTTGAAAATCCTGGAAGTCATCTTCTTCTGTCTTTCCCACCTAGATTTAGAAGGTGTCTTAGAATTAGGGTTACTACTGCTGTGATGAAACACCATGACCAAATCAACTTAGGGAGAAAAGGGTTTATTTGGCTTACACTTTCATAACATTGCTTATTATCCAAGGAAATCAGGACAGGAACTCAAGCAGGGCAGGATTCTGGAGGCAGGAGCTGATGCAGACCATGGAGGGGTGCTCCTTATTGGCTTGCTCCTCATGGCTTGCTTAGACTGCTTTCTTATAGAACCCAGGACCACCAGCCCAGGGATAACCCCACCCACAATGAGCTGAGCCCTCCCCCATCAATCACTAATGTCCTATAACTAGATCTTATGGAGGCATTTTCTCAATTGAGGTTCCCTCTTTCAAGTAACTCTAGTCTGTGTCAAGTTGACATAAACCTAGCCAACACATTTGACCCCTTGTCACCTTGACACACAAACACATCACTGTTAAGCCAAAACCTTTCCTTTCTTGTTTTCCAAGATCACACATTACTATCAATATTACAATATAAAATTTCAAATTTTAAAAGTCCCACAGTATTTAAAAATGTAGTCTCTTTAAAACAGCCTCTTTTAAAATCTAACAGACTTTTTTAAAATTCAAAGTCTGTCAACTGTAAGCTCCTGTAAAATAAAAAATAAATGAAATACTTTTGTTTTGTTTTTTCAAGACAGGGTTTCTCTGTGTAGTCTTGGTGCCTGTCCTGGATCTCACTCTGTAGACCAGGCTGGCCTCGAACTCACAGAGATCCACCTGGCTCTGCCTCCCGAGTGCTGGGATTAAAGGCGTGTGCCACCACCACCCGGCATGAAATACTTTCTTACTTCAAGAGAGAAGAACCAGGGCACAGTCACAATCTGAACCAAGCAAAACCAAACTTCAACAGTGTAAATAATTCAATGTCCAATTATCTGGGATTTACTCTAAGGGGCGTGGGTCACTTCTCTGGTTCTGCCCTCTGCAGCTCACAAAGCTTGTCTTCTACTTTCAGGCTATCTCCACTCCACAGCTGCTGCTGTTCTTGGTGGTCATCCCATGGCACTGGCATCTCCAAAACTGCTGAGGTACTTGGCTGCAACTGGGCTGCACTTTCACCAACAGCCTCTCTCCTGGGCGCTCTCTTCAGGGACTCCAACCCTACCACACATTGCCCAGCCTCAGCTGCTTTCCATAACCCCTTCACACATTCAAAACCAGCACCACCTGGGTGAGTCTTACATTACAAAATCAGCTGCCAGCACAAGGTACAACCTTGGCCATGACAGGAACAGTGTGTGCTGCCTCTCTGGAAACACTTTCCAGAGGACTTCATCTCAATGATGCTTTTGTTTTGTTTTGTTTTTTGAGACAGGGTTTCTGTGTAGCTCTGGCTGCCTTGGAATTCGCTCTGTAGACCAGGCTGGCCTTAATCTCACAGAGATCCGCCTGCCTCTGCCTCCCAAGTGCTGGGATTAAAGGCATGCTCCACCAGCACCTAGCTTCAATGATGTTTCTTAATCACAGCAGATTCTTCAGCTTCAGCTGACCAGACACTAAGATTCTTCACACAAAAGGCCCAGTAGAGTCTTTGCTTCCTCTGAAAATTCACAAGCCAGGCCTCCATCAGCTGCACTATTCTTAACATTTCTTATCTCCCAAGCTCCTACACAACAGCTCATCTTGCTCTCAACCCTCAATGGCTTTTCTAGTCTAAAGTTCCAAAGTCATCTAAAATCCTCTCCAAAACAACATGACCAGGTCTGTCATAGCAATACCCCAAGACTCTGGTACCAACTTGTCTTAGGGTTACTATTGCTGTGATGAAACACCCTGAGCAAAGTAACTTGGAAAGGAAAGGGTTTATTCAGCTTACACTTCCACAGCACTGTTCATCACTGAAGGAAGTCAGGACAAGAACTCAACAGGGCAGGAACCTGGAGGCAGGAGCTGACACAGAGGCAATGGAATGGGTGCTGCTCACTGGCTTGCTCCTCAGGGCTTGCTCAGTCTGCTTTCTTATAGAACCCAAGTCCACCAGCCCACGGATGGCACCACCCACAATGGGCTGAGCCCTCCCCCATCAATCACTAATTAAGGAAATGCCCTACAGCCAGATCTTATGGAGGCAGTTTCTCAATTGGGGCCTTTCAGATAACTCTAGTTTGTGTCAAATTGACATAAAACTAGCCAGTACAGAAAGGATAATTACATAGGGAACACGAGATTGCCAAAGCAAATAACTCCTCTCTAAGCAGCAATCTCAGAGACTATCATTTAATTGCTCAATTTAATTACAACTACCTAATTTCATAATGGAGTGTGTGTGTGTGTGTGTGTGTGTGTGTGTGTGTGTGTGTGTGTGTGTATGTATGCACATATGCCGTGCTGGAAGTGAACACAGGGTCTTGTGCACATTAGGCAAGCACTCTACCACTGAGCATATAGCTCCAGGCAAGAACATAACTGAGATATAACGATGGAAGTGCTTAAGGCAAGAATTCTGTCTCATATTTTAAAGTATTCTCTGGCACAAATGTAAAGAGACTGGCCTAAATAGCTAACCTCTGAATTGTTTTAAAGCAGCTGGATCACATTTTTGGGTTGCTGACAGCAAACCGATGCTAACAGCAATGTTTGTGAACAGACACTCCATGAGCCCCTCGTAACCAGTCATACACATGCATAAAGCAAACCCTGGCTCCTAGGCCAACACTCAGAGCAGCAGCAGACCATTCATGGTCCATTTACTTTATGGAACAAGCTCACACTACACTGTTCAGTACTTAAAAAATGTAATTACACAACCGGGTCATCTTTCCATGCCATAAATGCAGATCTATTTTGCTAATTTTGACGATTACTTCCCACTCTATGGAACAACTGAAATCCATTGAACATTTTCTTCATGATGAGCAGTACATTTTATTCTAACAAGCAGTGGTATTGTTGACATCCTGTCCATCTCTGCTAATTTCAGTTAGCATCTCTGAAGACATGGACACGTTTTCAGTTATGCCAACAGACCTACAGGATTAGTCACTCTTACCTACATGTTCATTGACATTAAATACCTGTGCATTAAAAATATTGGTTTGCTAATTCAAGAAGTGAAATTTTTAAATTTCTCTCTCTCTCTTTTTTGGAGACAGGATCTCACCATGTATGTATACTGGCTGGTTTTGTGTGTCAACTTGACACAAGGTAGAGTCATCAGAGAGGAAGGAGTGTCAGTTGAGGAAATGCCTCCATGAGATCCAGCTGTTAGGCATTTTCTCAATTGGTAATCAGTGGGGGAGGGCTTAGGTCATCGTGGGTGCTGCCATCCCTGGGCTGGTGGTCTTGAGTTCTATAAGAAAGCAAGTTGAGCCGGGCGTTGGTGGCGCACGCCTTTAATCCCAGCACTCGGGAGGCAGAGGCAGGTGAATCTCTGTGAGTTCGAGGCCAGCCTGGGCTACCAAGTGAGTTCCAGGAAAGGCACAAAGCTACACAGAGAAACCCTGTCTCGAAAAGCAAAAAAAAAAGAAAGCAAGCCGAGCAAATGATGTGGAGCAAACCAGTAAGCAGCACCCCTCCCTCCATGGTCTCTGAATCAGCTCCTGCCTCCAGAATCTTGCCCTATTTGAGTTCCTGATCTGGCTTCCTTTAATAATGAATAGCAATGTAGAAATGTAAACCAAATAAACTCTTTTTCCCCCAACTTGCTTTTTTTTTTTTTTTTTTTTGAGACAGGGTTTCTCTGTGCAGTTTTGGAGCCTGTCCTGGAACTCACTCTATAGACCAGGCTGGCCTTGAACTCACAGAGATCCACCTGCCTCTCTGTCTTCTGAGTGCTGGGATTAAAGGCATGTGCCACCACTGCCCGGCCCCAACTTGCTTTTTGGTCATGGTGTTTTGTCAGAGCAATAGAAACCCTAAGACACTATGTAGTCCTGGCCTGGAACTTTCTATGTAAACCAGAAGACCTCACACTCAGAGATCCTCTGCCTCATGAGCTGAAATCAAAGGTGTGGACTACCACATCTGACCTTAAATCTCTGTCTCTCTGTCCTGTGTGTGTGTGTGTGTGTGTGTGTGTGTGTGTGTGTGTATACACATGTGCAGAAGACCAGAGACTGGCATCATGTGTTCCTTAACTGCCTTCCATTGAAGCAAATACCTTAATTCTCAACAAATTTTGTGTATTTAAAGAATAATTAAAAATAAACAATTAAATTTTGTATTATCTTTACTTAAAAATTACTTTATTTCTTGCAGAGCTGGGGTCAAATTTAGGATCCTGAGCATCCTAGGTGAGAGCTCATTGATGAACCACATCTCTGTCTCCACACCACTTAATTTTCACGTCAAGTGCCCACTATAATACAGCAGACTGATTCTCTGGAAGTCAAGCTGCCCACATTCACTTCTAGGAATGATCTAGCACACACATGGCTTCTCCACTTACCTGGTTTGAGGGGTAGGCTGGCATGAAGCCACTAGAAGTTGGTGCTGCAGCTCCACCCACTGGTCCAACAAGGTTAATGCCCATGATGGGCTGTCCAAGGCTGAGGGGCATGGAGCCTGCAGGAACAGAGGGCATCGCTGTCGGCTGGCTCACTGGGGTAGGTAGAGTCATAGGAAAGCCGCTTAAGGTAGGAATGGGAGCCGCTGGGAACTGGTTCAAAGCATCAGGGCTCATGGCAGGAACACCCCTCTACAGGAACACCAGGAAATGAAAACATTTTTGTTGACTGCAGACCATACTCAAAATCTGTGCAAGAGAGACCTCCACATAGCTTTCCTGTTGTTTCTCTGTCTCATTCCTCAAATACCTGAATCTGATACCCAGAGAAAAGTAAAAAGGACAGTACCGCAGGCTCCACTACTCTATACTTCTAAGAATGTAATTATGTAAGGCCATTCTTGCGGACCTATTTATTTCATCCAAACTATCCTCACTTAAAAATCCAATGCTAATACTTAAACATGCCAGCACATATCAGCTGCGACATTTTCTGTCTGGTAAGTTTGGCTAATTTGCTAAAATCAAGTAACTTAAGCTAATTCCAAAATGTAAGAAACGTTGTTACCAAGCTAAGTATACTTTAAGGAATTCTAAACAATGGCAGACACTGATTTCATCAGTTACTTTCATTTTCAAACAAAGGAATAGCTTACTAGGATGTGCATTATATGGACTATATATTTTTGAAACTGTATCACATATGATCTAAATTTTAATGTACAAGGAGATCTACAAGGCAGTAGTGAAAGGAGGTTCACACTCTTTCACTCTGTAGTAACAGCACACTTGTTCTAACACAAGACACGTAGTCTACCTGTGTTACTGCTACCATGGCGAGAACGGTATAAAGCTCTTCCTTAGTAAGTTTGCCAGGTGTAGTCCGATTGGCTAGGGCCCATATCTGTCCGAGAGTTTCCCTGGGAAGTCCAGATGACATCAGAATGGGATAAAGTTTAGCAGTATCTATTCCAGTTGGAGTCATTGTGGTTTCTAAAATTTTCTTATAGGCATCTATTAAAAGAAAGACCAGACGACAAATGCAAACACATTGCAGGTGACTGACTCTGTTGTTGCCATTGTTGGTATAAAGGAATAATCTTAAGTCAATTGCTTCATTTTAGTTGGTATCTGGCTCAGTGGGGAAAGGCACCTGCTGCCAAACCTGATGACCTGAGTTCAATCCTTGGGGATCCACAAGGTGGAAGGAGAGGACTGACTCCCACAGGCTGGCCTCTGAGTTCCGAAGACTTGACTAGGAGAGGACAAGTGCATGTGTATGGAGGAGAATGAAGGAAAAGATAAACGATCAGAAAAAGGACAGGAGTAAAAATACACTAAGATCTCATTTCTGTAGGGTTGAAGAAAGGAAAGGGGAGAGATTCAAAATGGTCTGGGAGAATATCTAGCCTTTGATTTATGGTTGTATGATTACAATAAAAGGCAGACATTACCAATTTCTCCAAGAAATAAATTCTTCTGTAGAGATCTTGCATCAAGGTTGATTTACTCAAGGGGAGAACAAGTTTGTCTGTACTGACCTTGAGCACTGATGAGCTAGTGGACATTACCTCCAGCTTGCAAGGGCGCTGAGCAGCAAACCAAGCAGCCATGACATACTAACCTCAGCATCTGCTGCTGAAATTGTATCTGTGTTTATTGATTGTGGCTTAAATATACCATCGTCTGGTATCTACCAAGGACTTCCACACGATCCATTTTAGTCATTTCCTCAACTCAGCAATAATACTACACATAAAAACAAACACCACTTTCCAATGTAGAAAATGACGCTACCCAAACTTTTATTTCATAGTTTCATAGGACAATCAGAAAAAAAATTTAAAAATATAATTCTTATGAATTGAGAAAGTATTATACATACTAGAGTGATTCTTTTAAAAAGATATTTTAAAAACTTTTATGTGTATGGGTGTTTTGCCTGCATGAAAATCTGTGCACTACATGTGTGCCTGGTACCTGCAGAGGCCAGGAGAGGGTGTCTGATGCCCTGGAACTGGAATGTGGTGAGTCATTATGTGGGTGCTGGGACTTGAACCCAGGTCTTCTGGAAGAGCAGCGTGCTCTTAACCACTGAGCCATCTCTTCAGCCCCAATACCTTGATTCTTGATAGGTTATTAATAATCTTTGAAACAAGTATCTGATAATATCATCATTTAAAACACAATAATCCTAACCGCTGGCCTTTGTACCACAAACCATCTTGCCACTCTCAATAAAGCAGTCTTTTTTTTTTTTTGAGACAGGGTCTCACAGTGTAGCCCTGGCTGTCGTAGAACGCACAGAGAACCCCTCTGCCTACTAAGTGCTGAGAGTAAAGGCATGTATCACCATGCCCAGCCCATAAAGCAGTCTTAAACATGAGGTTTATTTAGTTTTCTATCCTCTTGCAGAAAAAAAAAACTATAAGTAACAACTCCTTCTGCATATTTTATAACCCCGACAGTAAATATTTAATACCTCTATAATATTTAAAGTAAAATATCCAGAGAAGAATGTTGGGCAAAGCAGCTTTACTTTACCTGGGACCAAACTCTCATTGTAAATCCAAGGAGGCATTCTGGGCTGAACAGGATCCTGAGAGGGAAACACACCCACACCTAGAAGGCAAGGATGGTTAATGTACACATGACCTGGAGAAGAGAAAAGCCACTGCTTTTTACAAAGAGGAGCACTGGCTGGAGTCACTAGGAAAAAAGTCACCAATATAATAAAAGTAATAAAGTAATAAAAGTTTCCAACAACTCTTGTACAGTAACTATGTATTAAAATATAGAGTACAAGGTACCAAATCAATAATCTGGGACACAGGAGGCAAGCACCACTAAATGTGTTTGACAAGTTAAGGAAAAACACAATAGACACGGCTTAGAATTACATGTATAAAATATCCTCCTGGGGTTTGTCTCCAGGGTTGCCCACAACCTGATTCATCTCCACAGTTAAAATTTGGATTCAGCTTTTGTGTTTTGGGCACGGGACCCAGGGCCAGGCGGGTGCCGAGTGCACGTTCCGCTGCAGCCCGAAGACCTGTGCTGTGGGCTCAAGCCCGGGGCCTTGAGTGTGTGAATCTGGATCTTTTAGGCAGCAGCACATACAATTTAGTTCAGAAAGAAAAACTGCATTTTCATTGGTGACTTTTTCGGTTACAGCTAAACTTTTTAACTTTTACAGAAAACCAGAAAGCATGAGGGGAGTCAAAAGGGAACTGTTGTAAAATGAGAGGAAATTTTAGACCAGGAGTGATTCTGATTAAGAAACAGGTTATCAAAATCATTTGAAAAGGAGTAATACAGTGTGTTCAAAGAATTCAGAGCAAAATCTTAGGGGTTAATTGGAGAAAAGATTACATAAATGTTTTTTAAGCATAATTTGAATTAGCACAATCAAGCAGCATCCATTTTAAGATTAATGCTGAAAGTGTTAGCTTCTGAGCGGCAGTTGGTTAAACAAAGTTTGTGCTGAATGTGCAGGAGCTCACCACTCTCTCCATTTGACAGGTTTTGGTCTGAAGTCTTTTCTGCCTGGGCAGTGGTGGGACCACTTACACATCCATCTACAGCACCCCCATTACGGGCCACTAAACCGGGACAGTCCTTACTGGAACCTGGGACTACGGCTTTGTGCCCAGCTTCAGGAGTGTTTAATTTAATTTGCTCCTGCCCAGATGTACTTATATCACAAGATACTAGGAGCTTCTCTTCCAAGGAAGGGCCTAAACAAACAGCATGAAGGATTACTTGTACATTACTTGTATATTCCAATCTTTTCATCATCCCTTCCCACCCTCATATTCTCAGGGGAAGAACTCCCACAGAACATGGATTTCATAATAATTCAATTGTTACCCATTAGTGTAGGACTTAAACTTGAGAGACTTCAGAGGTTTGGGGGACTTAAAATAATTACCCTGCTCTGGTTCTCGGGGATTCCATGCCACAGTGGGTAGAATCACGCAGTGGGGAAGAGCACTGCTGTGGAAATTCGGTAAGCCACCAGACACAGACACTCCTCCTAACTAGTGGGAGAGCCTTGTCTGGCCTGTTTCCACATCTGTCAATGACAGTCTTAGAGACCAAGCACAGGTCTCCCAAAACCCTTCCCAGCACACCCTGTCTTTAGATAGACTGTGCCTGCCCCATAATTTCACAAATATAAAAATGCAAGTACAGAAATGTTTCAAGACTTGTCCGAGGACAAAATATGTCACTGCAGCAAGCTGGTCTCAAACCTGAGCAGGTCCTGCCCCTCTGTCAGCCTAGTGCTGGGATTCCAGACATGGGTCACCATGCCCATCTTAGATGCAGTCCTTTTTTTCTTCTCTTTCCTTCTTTTCCTTTTTAAAACAGGGTCTCATGTGGCCCAGAGGCTGCCGTGAACTATGTAGCAAAGGATGACCTTGAACTCCTCCTGATTCTTCTGCCTCCATGTCTCAAGGAATGGATTACAGATATGTGTACCATAGCTGGCTAGAGAGATCACACTTTAAAAGGATTGCTTTACATTTATTTCCTTTTGTGTGTGTATGTTGCTGCATGTGTGAAAGTGAGAAGACAACTTGTAGGAGTCACTTCTCTCCTTCCAGAATGTGAGTTCTGGGGAGAAACTCAGGTCATCAGGCTTAGTGGCAAGCTCTCACTGCCGAGCCATCTCACTGGCCCTGAAAGACTGCTTTTTAATGGAGATCTCCCTAGTGTGTTATTATAACATGATATCAGTGATTTTTTTTTTTCCAAGCAAAAGCGAACCTGAGGAGGTCAGTTTGCTTTTAAAGTTTTTTGGTAATTTCACCTGTTTCTAACACAGTGGCAAAAGGTTCTAAATCACTTTTCTGGCAAATGAAGATGCAAAAACTTAATCTAGCCTCGCATAGGTGGCTGTTGATGGTTCTCATAACTCACATCTGCGTTTCTTTGCCAATAGCACTGTATGATTCTACGTAAGTCAGAGAAATCCATTTCCCTAGATGATCTTCACCCTTGGAGGATGACACTGGTTACCTGCTTTCTGCACACCATGTGCAGCTGGAGCGGCAGAGAAACAAGGAGCTTGCCCAGGGCCACCGTGTAAGGCAAAAGACACTGGAGCCTGACCTGCAGGGAGAGGCTGTGCTCCAGCCTTCTGTGTGAGCAACTGGCCCAGTGGGGCGGTGGGGAGGAAGGACTGAAAGGGCCGGGCCGGGGAAGAGGGCCCACAAGCGGGGACCTCAACAGGCCCCTGCATAAAGTCACTGAATTCGTCTTCGTCAAGAAAGGCAGGTGATGGGGAGACAGTTTTAGTAGAATGAGATGATGTGGGACAATCTGCAAAATGGAAAATGGCAATGAAACTCACAGGAATGAAAACCAAAGAGAGAGAGAGATCCAGGTGTAACACAACCCTCAGAACATCCTGAAATAACAACAGTGAGGTGAGACCCAACAGTCAAGCGGGACCAGAGTGCTCAGGGAACACTTGGATGTCTGTTTCGTTCTAAAAAATAAGTTCTAGAGCTACTTTATATCTGGTTAGAAAACAGACAAAACGAACTCAAATTCCATTCTTTCATTTTATTAGGTAGTACTAAATGTGTATCAAAGTAGTAATAATTTCTGGAATCCAAGTGGTCTGTCTGATACTATTTCTTTTGTTTGTCTAATTGTTTGGTTTTTGAGACAGAGTCTCTCTACCAAGTCCTGGCTGTCCTGGAACTCGATCTATAGACCAGGCTGGCATCAAACTCTCAGAGATCTGCCTGCCTCTGCTTCCTGAGTGCTGGGATTAAAGGCGTGCACCACTACCCTTGGCCTAGACAATCTTACTAAACAAGCAAACATATGAACAGCATCTGAACAACACAACACAACTGATTACTTAACATGTCTCCCTTGCTGCTAACTGCTGACCACAAGTCTGTGCTGACAAGGGAACTCAGTGTGAACACAACGTCAGACCTAACAACTGCCGCTGCTCTCTGCCCTTTCTAAGTTCGGTGCAGGTTCAGTTTTAGTCTTAACTTTCAATGTTTGTATGCTGACAGGCTCAGCTATGTAGCTCGGGTTGGCCTAGAACTTGCTATGTAAGTACTCTAGGCTAGCCTCAAACTCACAACTCCCCTACCTTAGCCTCTGGGTGCTGAGATGTGCCACCACACTGCCTGAATCACTTCATCACTAGTTATACGGCTTATAATTTTCAGTTTTAGATATACTTTTCCTTATCTCAAAATGATTGATAGTATCTATTCGCCTTCCAATTTTAGTGTCTACTTTACTTTGGGCATGATTTTGGTAATAGAAATCAAGGTACATATTTGAATAAGTGAAATTATCAGGACAGAGTCAGAGCTGAGCTAGAAAATCAAGAATTACTAACAGGCTGGAGAGATGGCTCAGTGGTTAAGAGCACTTATCACTCTTTCAGAGGACCTGAGTGTGGTTCCTAGCACCCATATCAGTTTCACAACAGCCTGTAACTCCAGGTCGGGGGATCTGATGGCCTTGGTGGACACCAACACACATACATACATAAATAAAAAATAAATACTTAAAAAAAGAATTAATAACAGTGGCAATATTGTTTTCTCCTGATAGTAACTTATAAGAGATACTAAAACACAGGATTTAAGATAAAATTTATTGATATAATATTTTCTAGCAGAATATAGTACTTTTTGATTTGATGAATGATTTATGAAAATGGTTTGTTTATTAATGATATATTATTATTGAAAGTAGCTGATGACAAAATGTCAAAATATTTAATTTCAAAGAGATGAGAAAACATTTTGCCAACAATTTCAACTGCTAAGTGTTTAAGTGATAACAAAACAACAAAAAAATCTCTTTACCCTGCTTCTCTAAAAGGCAATTTTATTTAAAACTACAAAGAAATTTACTGAAGAAACTGAACTTTCCTGAGAAATATTATAGCCATGACTATTTAAAAATGGGGCATTTTGAGAATTTCTAAATTTTTTCACATGAACAATGAAATCTGATCTAGCTTATAGAAGTATACATTCCACAATAATGAAGATGGACTAGTAAACTCACTACATTCCTTTGAGTCAACAGACTTTCTTTTTTCTTTTTTTAAATCAGGGTGTCTCCCGACAGACCAGGCTGGCCTGAAACTCAGAGATCCTCCTAGTTCTGCCTATGAATGCTGGGATTAAAGGTGTGCACCATCATGCCTGGCACAAAAGACTTTCTTTTCTTTCTTCTTTCTTTCTTTCTCCCGCCCCCCCCCCCCTGTTTTGTTTTTTTGAGAAAGGGTTTCTCTGTGTAGCTCTGGCTGTCCTGGAACTCACTCTGTAGACCAAGCTGTCCTAGAACTCACAGAGATCCGCCTGTCTCTGCTTCCCAAGTGCTGGGATCAAAGGTATGCGCCACCACCGCCAGCATAAAAGACATTCTTAACATCAGTACACTCACTATACATAGTTCCCAGGAAGTTATTAAAGTGCCGTCTAAGCAGAGGACTCAGGATTTTAACCTCCAGCTTAGCTGTTAACTGGGTCAGATCCCTTACATTTTAAAATGTTCAAATCTGAATTTAGCTTGAAGGAAAAATTCAACACTGACCTTCACACAGAGGCCAATTGAACATGGGGAGACAAGCAACCAACTTCCAAGGCAAGAACATTTTTGTGTTTCTTAAAATGAAAACTACCTGGTTTCTTGGGGTGTGATGCTGGAGTAGGGTGCATCTTAGCGTCTCTGGAAAATCCATCTAAGTTTCCTTTTATGGCTTCCAAAGCGTCGTCTCTGTTCTTCTCTCCTGTCTGCAAGACAGCAAACCTGTGTTTAGTTCTCCCTTGTCTGCCATGGTCTTCCATTCTCAAACTAACACACACAGACCTGTTTCTGACATCCCTTCCCCTTTTTCTGTTTTCTGAGACAAGGTTTTAGAGTTCACTGTGTAGCCCAGACTGGCCTCAAACCCATGGCCATCCTCCTGCTTTTGACCCTCAAGTGCAAGAACACAGGAACGGCTTTAGTTCCAATATTCTCACTACGTACTTCTGATAATTTTTCAAGTCAGAAAGATATCATTAAGTATATAAAATAAAGTCATAAAAAGACATTCTACAGAATATAAAAACTTTAAAAAGTTCATTCTCAAATACTATTAAGACAGGGCTATGAGATACTAAACGTTCTGTGAGGAACCTGACAAATTCATTTCCTACCATCCCATTTATCATCAATGCTTCCCAAGAAAAAGATTAGCAACATTGTCATGGTGGCTAAAAAAAAGAGAGAGAGAGAGAGAGAAGCTGGCAGTGGTGGCGCACGCCTTTTAATCCCAGTACTTGGGAGGCAGCGGTAGGTGGATCTCTGTGAGTTCGAGGCCAGCCTGGGCTACAGAGTGAATTCCAGGAAAGGCGAGAGAGAGAGAGAGAGAGAGAGAGAGAGAGAGAGAGAGAGAGAGAGAGAGAGAGAGAGATAAGAAGACAATGGCTAATATCTGTTTTCCCAACAACAGCACATCTATCTGTATAGAAAAAGAAAAACCCTTCCCTTTAGGACTTAAGTAAACCATGAGTGAGAGCAGGAGGCATGTGCAGGGCACGCATGCGTGCTGGTGCGGGCAGGGGCGGCATGTATACATCACCTTGGGTTTCACGCTACTCAAAAGTCTGAGCTTTTGTTTTTGCTCCTCAAACTGACGTCTTTTCCTTTCTTCCTCTAAGAGTTTTTGTTGCTGTTCAAATCGTTTTCTAAAGGGAGAACAATCACATCAACATTCAGCTTCAAGTAGTAACAGTTACATTCAGGTTTTTACTATCATGGGAGAACAATCACATCAACATTCAGCTTCAAGTAGTAATAGTTACATTCAGGTTTTTACTATCAGCTTCAGCAATACCAACTTGCATTTCTAGAATTATAATCTTCACTCTTAATTATATGTACTTCTCTTATGACAATCTGTTTCTTCTGTATACTAGCTCTAAAATATTTTTAAATGAATCTACAGAATGATTCACTTAATTTACATGTATGCTTTTATTTCTTACCTAATTTGCAAGGCAAAGAAAGTATCTTTTTTTTTTTTAAGTGGTGGTGGGTAGTGGTGGTGGAGTTGAGTATTAAACCCAGGGCCTATGCATGCCAGACAGCATTCTACAGTTGAGATAGTTCCAAGTGTAAAGAGGGAAATCCACCTCTAGGTGGAGACATGCCCTTGTCTCCTCCCTTAAGGATTAACTCAATGGGGCGGACAAGGACTTGGCTAGGAGACCACCCCAGGAAGGCAGGTTCACCTTAGGAAAGAGCCCCTCAGTTGGTTATCTAACACCAAATGGCCAGCCCTGAAATTATATACAAAGAAGTAAAAGTATATGGGCTGAGTAGGTTGCACTTAAGAGGCCACAGACTTGAGAGGAGGCAGGGGAGGGGTATATGGGAGGACTTGAAGGGAGGAGAGAAAGGGGAGGGGATATTTAATTTTAAAAGATTTTTCAAATTATCAATTAAAAAAAGATAACATGCCTTTCCTTCCCAGAATTCCCTCCCCCTGGTGCAGTTCCTGTGAGGTGTCCACCTTTCTGAGACCTGACTCAGAAAAGTGAAATTGTTTTTCTTCTTTTCTGGTTTGTTTCTTCTGGATGCTGGCCAGAGCCTAAGTGTGCTCTTGAACTCCTACTGCTTTGGGCTTCCTCACCCTGTTTCTAAGGTTCCCTATCCTGCCACATGCTGACCTCCACATCATCTTATCCTCTCCATCCTCCTGCCTCAGGCAGCTGTCTGCAGTTTCCCTCTCATACTCTAATAAACTATCTTTGTCCATAAGCTTCTGTCTGAATCTGTTCTTTGTCCTTGAAATTCCCTTTGTGTCCATTCTTAAATTGCATTATCAATGAGACTAATAACCCCAGGAGGAGACCCCGATTCTCAAGGTAGCTCTGTTGGAACTCCATAGATCTCCAGTATTGTTTCCTTCCTGCTTTTAATTCTTTAATCTGCGGAGAACATGAACCCCTTTCTCCACCCCTAGACCTCCAGCAGCAGAGGAAACAGTCTTGACGCACTGAGCAGTCACGAATACCAGGGAGGCAGATGAACATAAAAGAACACTTTGTTCTGCATATAAGAAAGTAAAATGCAGGCTGGAGGTAGCTCTGTGGTTCAGCACTTGCCTAGCAGTTAGTGCTGTACCATCAAACTGCAGCAGCAGCAGCAGCAGCAGCAGCAGCAGCAGCAGCAGCAGCAGCAGCAACACCAGCCAATTTAGGAAGCTGGGTGTAGAAGCAAAAACCTATAACCCCAGCATTTGGGAGGCCTGGGCACAAAGACTGCAAATTCAAGACCACCCTGGGCCTTTGTTGTTACTCTGACTCCAGAAATCAAAACAACAAAAAAGACAAAAGTCAACTAAAAATATAGGGAATCTCCTTGGGCAGGAAGGCAGTGTCTCCAGGAGCAAGAGCCGTGCTCTGAGGAGGGGGTGTGAGGGTGGGGCTGCCAGACAACCAAGTTTGTTGGTAACTTTGTGCTGACAAACCGCTTCATTTCAGGTCTTTCTTGGAACTGAACACATTTTATTCTGTGTTTTTGTTTTGTTTTGTCTGAGACACTCTTGCTATATTGCCCTCCTGGTAAATTCACATTTCTCCCACCTAAGCTTCCCAAGAGATTGGGCTTACAGGTAAGTGCCACACCACTCAGCTGGCTCTAAATTTCTTTTTTTTTTTTTCTTTTAAAAAAAAAAGATTTATTTATTATGTATACAGCATGTTTGCCTGCAGGTCAGAAGAGGGCGCCAGATCTCATTACAGACGGTTGTGAGCCACCATGTGGTTGCTGGGAATTGAACTCAAGATCTCTGGAAGAGCAGTCAGTGCTCTTAACCGCTGAGCCATCTCTCCAGCCCTCTAAATTTCTTACTTTTAAAAGTATTTGAAGGGCCCTGGTCTCAAAATCAACAAACAACCGGTTTTTAAAGCATCCTAAAGACCATTTATCTCTTTCAGCTTCAAACTACAGAACTTTTAATAATCTGTCGAATAGCTGCAGCTGTGTAACCCTGTTATCCCTGGATCCTGGGCCTGTGTAACCCTGTTATCCCTGGATCCTGGGCCTGTGTAACCCTGTTATCCCTGGATCCTGGGCGGCTCTTACTGTTGCTCTTCAGCAAACTGCTTCTGCATGTCTGGAGTATACTGTGGGCCTGGAGGACGCATGCCCAGGAATGGTGGCTGCCCCAGGAAAGGCATGCCTGCTGCTGGCATTGGTCCCATCGGTATTCCTGCCTAGAAGAAACAACAGGCAACAGATGAAATAATATATATGGGTGTTCTTTTTCATTTTTAAAAACCTTGCAAAATTATTTCATAGTATTTTTACTAGTAAGATATAAGATACATTCCAGTGGAAAATTTAAAAAAAAAAAAAACATAGGCTGAGCTGAGCAGTGGTGGCACACGCCTTTAATCCCAGCACTCAGGGGGCAGAGGCAGGTGGATCTCTGTGAGTTTGAGGACAGCCTGGTCTACAGAGTTCCGGGCAGCCAGGGCTGTTGCACAGAGAAACCCTGTCTTGACACTGCCCCCCCACCCCAACACACACACAAAAAAAGGTAATAAAAATTTGGAGGTGATGAGAAGGTTCAGTGGTTATAAGCACTTGTTGCTCTTACAGAAGACCGGGGTTTGATTTCCAACACCCACATGGTCTCTTGAACCACCTGTAACTCCAGTTGTAGGGGATTGAATGTATTCTTCTGACCTTGACTGGCTCCAGGTGCACAAATGGTACATACATATAAAGGCAGTAAAACATTCATAAACATAAAATAAAATAAAATCTAATAAAAGATAAATAATTTGATATTCATATCAAGTTGTAATAAGCTAAACTTTTACAAAAAATAACATATATTTAATCAATAGTAAATTACACACCAATACAATAATACACACTTAGCTGAAGAATCCAGAAATAAGAATCCCTCAGGACAATACCCATTCACAAACTCTAACATTAAACTTAGAGTAACAACAACAGCAATTTTCCCTGAGTAGAAGCTTCTCCCGACAGCTTCCCTTCTGAACCGTGGATGCTCCTGAAGCCCACTGGAGACCACTGCTTCTACTATCTTGGAATTGGGGAGCACCTGTCCCTTTAAAACATTTCCTCTTTTCTACCAACCCTTAACTTCCTCTTTTCTGTTTCTTTATTGAGACAGGGGTCTCGATTTGTTGTCCAGAGTAGACTCAGGATGCTTAAACTGAGGATCTCTCCTCTCCCTCTTCCTCTCCCCTTCCACAGGCCTTTAATTTTCAACTGAAGACTTCAAATTTGTTTTTCGTCCATTCTAACCCATAAAGCATTGGTAAAGTCTTTTTTTTTTTTTTTTTTTTTTTTTTTTTTTTTTGGTTTTTCAAGACAAGGTTTCTCTGTATAGCTTTGCGCCTTTCCTGGAACTCACTTGGTAAACCAGGCTGGCCTCGAACTCACAGCGATCCACCTGCCTCTGCCTCCTGAGTGTTGGGATTAAAGGCGTGCACCACCACCGCCCGGCATAGCGTTGGTAAAGTCAACAGTTCCACGGATACCTTATCCAATGCTGTGCCTTTCAAGTCTGATCTTTGACTTCCTCATCATAGCACCACAACCATACCCCACCTCCCATTCCATTTTTCCATTCTGTTGTCACATCATTAGTCTATCAGCAAAAACAAGTCTACCTTCTCAAACTTTATTTTAAGCATCCCGACACTTGCTTCCACATCCCACCCTTTCAGCTCATCTAAACCTGTCACTTTCTTCTTAGTAACCCCCAATTCTGTTAATTTCATCGCTTTCCTACTGCCCACCACCTTCATCAAGGCCTCTCTTCTCCCACTTCTCTTCCTCCTCAGATTAGATTCCAAAAATCAACATTAAGATGGTCTTACAGGCCGGGCGGTGGTGGCGCACGCCTTTAATCCCAGCACTCGGGAGGCAGAGCCAGGTAGATCTCTGTGAGTTTGAGGCCAGCCTGGGCTACCAAGTGAGTCCCAGGAAAGGCGCAAAGCTACACAGAGAAACCCTGTCTCGAAAAACCAAAAAAAAAAAAAAGATGGTCTTACAGAATTCTCAATTCTCTTGTCAATTGCTTTTTTAATTTTATTTTATTATTCCCCCCCAACGTGTGTGTGTGTGTGTGTGTGTGTGTGTGTGTGTGTGTGTGTGTGTGTGTGCTCTTGTACCTGAGTGGGCATACATGTGGAGGCCACAGGTTGATGCCCAGAATAATCCTCAATTGCTCTTCCACTTTATTTATTGAGGCATGGTCTCTCATTCAAACCCAGTACTCACTGATATAGCTAGTTTTGCTAGCCGGCTTGCTCTGGGGATCCTCTGTCTCCATCACCTAGGCCCAGATTTATATGTAGGGCACCGTGCCCACCAGACATTTAAATGAGCTTCTGAGGTCCAAATGCCACCCTCATTCTTGCCATCAAGCACTTTCATTGCTAAACCAGCTCCCCAGCTCCTCTCACATTTCTTTTTTTATTTTGTCTTCATCCTAAATAGTTTCTTCAGATCTCTCCAGTTCACTAATTCTTTCTTTAGCCATTTCTAATCTCCTGTTAAACTAACCATAGAATTCTTCTTTTGGTTAGTATATTTTTCTGTTCTGAAATTGTTACTACTGTGTCACTTTTTATAATTTTGAGTTCCCAGTTCCAGAAAGAAATGAAGAACATATAGCTCCACTGTCTATTTTACTAATTATAATAATTAATAATTATTCTGAACAGTTACTATGGTGGTTTGAATGAGAATGGCCCCTGTAGACTCATATATTTGAATGCTTATTCCCCAGTTGGTGGAACTATTTGTGAAGGATTAGGAGGCATGGCCTTGTTGGAGGAGGTGTGTCATAGGGACAGGCTTTGATTCTTCAAGACCCAGCACTGTTTCCAGTTAGCTTTTTCTTTGCCACTCATTTGTGGATAAGGACATGGCCTGTAGCTACTTCTGCAGTGCCACACCTGCCTGCCTGCCTGCTGCCATGCTCCCCACCATGGATATACCCTCCGAAGCTGTAAGCCCCTAATAAACTCTTTCTTTTATAAGTTGCCTTCATCATGGTGTTTTATCACAGCAATAGAAAAGTAACTGAGACAGTCACCTGCATTTGTGAGTCTTTGAGTTTGAACTGCACTGTGGCATACACCTACAATTTCACTTACTTGGGAGTCCAGGGCAAAGGGGATCTCCTAAACCCAGATATAATAAAACTCCATAATGCCAGGCAGTGGTGGCATACAACTTTAATTCTAGCACTTGGGAGGCAGAGGCAGGCAGATCTCTGTGAGTTCAAGGCCAGTCTGGTCTACAGAGTAAGTTACAGGGCAGCCAGGGATACATAGACACATACCCTGTCTTGAAAAAAAAAAATAGATAGATAGATAAAACCAAATTCAAGCTATTTCTAAACATAACATCGAGCTCTTAAAGCCATAGCTCGTGACATTCAGATGCCCAACAACAAACAAGAACTTTATAAACAATCAACTAAGAAGTACCTGCATTGCAATGGGTCCTTGGGACATTTGAGAGCTGTAATTCATTCCCATCATGCCTTGCATACTGGGCTGCATGACAGAGACCATAGGAAATCCTTGCTGCTGTACTGGCATCAGGCCTGCTGGAAGACACCAAGGCTTTATTAAAGTCAACACGTTCTCAAGTTTATTTCCTTGAAACCATGACACCCGGAGGACTTGCTAATTGAAAAACTGCATAGTACAATGGAAAATGCACAAGGTCCTGATGAGACAGGCTTGAATGAGAACTCCACCATCTATTCAGCTATGTGATCTTGGACAAACTATAGAATTTCATCTCTCGAGTCAGTGGCTCTCAATCTGTGGGTCATGACCCCTTCAGGGAATTGGAACTACCCTTTCACACGGGTTACCTAAGACCATCGGAAAACACAGATATTTACATTACGATTCATAACTTTAGCAAAACTACAGTTATGAAGTAGCAGTGAAAATAATTTTATGGTTGGGTAACCACAACACGAGGAACTGTCTTAAAGGGTCTGTATTAAGTGGAAGTAGTAGCACTGGTTCGACAGAACTTGAATGTGGATATGAAATGACTGACTTGGCCTGAATACTCAGTCTTTATCATGGATCCCAGGGATTCCTGCCCCCTGGTATTCATAAGCTTGCATCATTTCTTCCCATGTTGAACTCATACAGCTAACAGGATTCCATGGTGATGACAACATGTAACTCCCCAGCCTAGTTCTTTTTGAGACAAGATCTGATATGACTCAAGGGCTAACCTGATCCTCCTGCCTTCATCTCCCAAAGCTGTAATCACAGGTGTGTGCCACCACACCTTGGCTTCCTTCTTGCTTTTTTGGAGGACTTTCTCTAGGGGAAGCCACTGCTGCATCACAGGATGCTGCCCTTTGGGGAGTCCATGTGGAGATCTGGGGCCTCCTCCACAGAAGCAGCATGTGTCTGCCACCTTGAATGAGCCATCTTGGAAGCTGATCTTTCCGCTCCATAAAACCTTCAGATGACTGCAGTTCTGCCTGACAGATTTACTACAGCTCACAAGATGCTCTGAGCCAGAACTACCCAGCGAAGCTGCTCTCAGATTCCTGACTCATAGGCACATTGCAAAATAACAAAATGCTTATTGTTTGTTTGTTTTTTGTTTTTGTTTTTGAGACAGGGTCTCTCTGTGTAGTTTTGGTGCCTGTCCTGGATCTTGCTTTGTAGACCAGGCTGGCATCGAACTCACAGAGATCCACCTGCTTCTGCCTCCCAAGTGCTAGGATTAAAGGCGTGTGCCACCACCACCCTGTTCAAAATGCTTATTTTATAAGGTTTTGGGGTCATCTGTTATATAACAGTGGATAGCCAGGCGGTGGTGGCCCACACCTTTAATCCCAGCATTTGGGAGGCAGAGCCAGGCGGATCTCTGTGAGTTCGAGGCCAGCCTGGTCTACAGAGCGAGATCCAGGACAGGCACCAAAACAACACAGAGAAACCTTGTTTTGATAAACAAACAAACAAAAAACCCAAAAAACAAACAAACAAAACCCAGAAACTCCAATAAACATTATTTGGGCTGGAGAGATGGCTCAGAGGTTAAGAGCACTGGCTGCTCTTCCACAGGTCCTGAGTTCAATTCCCAGCAACTACATGGTGACTCACAACCATCTATAATGAGATCTGGTGCCCCCTTCTGGCCTGCAGGGATACATGCAGGCAGAACACTGTATACATAATAAATAAACAAATCTTTAAAAAAAATAAAACAGTGGATAATAACACTTAAGATCATGAGGGGCTGGAGAGATGGCTCAGTGGTTAAGAGCACTAGCTGCTCTTCCAAAGGACCTGGGTTCAATTCCCAGCATCCACATGGCAGCTCAAAACTGTCTGTAACTCCAGTTCCAGGGGACCCTCACACAGACATACAGGCAGGCAAAACACCAATGCACATAAAATAAAAAAAAAAAATTATTAAAAAAAAAAGATCATGAACTCTGGAAGCCAAATGAATGGGCTACGTACTACTCGTGGTCCCTTGAGTATTTGCTCACTCCACTCTGTCTGTTTGCATGTCTGTCTCTGGCTCTCTCTCTCTCTAGAACTACTACACAGCCAGGCTGGCCTCTAACTGTATGTTTGTATGTCTGTGTGTCTGTCTCTGGGACTCCCTCTCTAGAATTTACTACATAGCCAGGCTGGCTTATAACTGTATGTTTGTATGTCTGTATGTCTGTGTGTCTGTCTCTGGGACTGTTTCTCTAGAACTCACTGTAGAGCCAGGCTGGCCTCTAACTTCTTGAGTGTTGGGATTGCAGCACTCCTAGTTTTTCTTAACTTTGTTCCAAAACTTCACTTCTCATTTGCAAAACCATTTAATGCTTATTATGTCAAAGAAGTGCTATTCCTCTTCCCTTTCCTCACAAGAACACTGACACGAACAGTCATTGCTGTGTGACGCATACATACTCAAGCACAGGAAAGCCATGGGAAAGTTTCGTGCACACTAGTGTCTCCCAAACTTCCCCAGTGAAACATTCCCAAGAGCAGAGAAGAACCAATGCACAGTCCTCTGGGGTTGAGTAAACAGTAAATGTCTACCATACCTAAGGAACGTAAGTGAATAAAAACACGGCTTGGGCACAAATTACACTCTAACTTTGCATTTTACCACACCTTGCAATCTCATTGATTCCAGCAGTGTGTCCAACCTGAGGACTGCATGCCCCTGATCTGAGGATAGTCATAAATGCAGCCCAACACAAAATCACTAGCTTACTTAACACCACAGGAGCAATATAAAAACCCGATTGTGTAGTTCTCTAGTGTGGACAATAAGGCAATGTTGCAGATGCCTAGAAGCTTTGCTTCCAGGTTTGTTTTTGAGACAGAGTCTCACTGTATAGATTAGACTGGTCTCAAATTCACAAAGATCTGTCTGTCTCTATCCGAGTGCTGGGATGAAGAGTATGTGCCATCACGCCCATCCCATTTTTTCTTCTTTATTTAAAAACAAACAAACAACAACACAACAACAAAAACCAACCAAATAGTCAACTTAAAGGACAGAAGCCGTCATGATGGAAGACACCTATAATCCAGCACTGGGTAGGGTAGGGCAGGAGGATTACAAGTTAAGAGACCAGAATATATAGTCAGATGCTAGTTCAGAAAATAAATGTATACTAAACAGCAAAGGACGAGACCAGAATACCGGATCTTTCTTGTTTTATCACTTGCTTTCCACCTTTCTTGCTGCCTACTTTGAGGAGCACATTTACATTTGCAGGCTAACAACTAGCAGAGGCACGCTCCTCATCTAGTCATTTGTTCAGAGACTCGAGGGTCTGCTCCATGGCAGGCATCATCCTAAGAACACAGCAATGAATAAAACCAGAGCTCCCCCCTGTGGGGATCATGCTGTAATTGGAGACAACAAATGATAAAAACAGAACGCTACAAGTCAGATCATGGTAAGAGCTGGGGCAAGCTGGGCGGTGGTGGTGCACGCCTTTAATCCCAGCACTCGAGAGGCAGAACCAGGTGGATCTCTGTAAGTTCCAGGCCAGCCTGGGCTACAGAGTGAGTTCCAGGAAAGGCACAAAGCTACACAGAGAAACCCTGTCTCGAAAAACCAAAAAAAAAAAAAAAAGCTGGGGCAAGAAATAAAGCCTAGTAATGGGAAGACAAGAGCCAGAAAATGCAGTGGTTGCTCTTCTGTGGCATGAGCACAAGGACCTGAAGGAAGGAAGGGAGCCAAGCATCACAGACAGCTGAAAAAGGGACTCTCAAAGGATACCAAAGGCAATGACTGAGCAGTATCCTTGATGACCAGAACAGGCCCAACACAGCCACAGTTTTCCCTCTTACCTTTAGGCCCTAACGTTCGCTTCAGTTATGAATGGATGACTTAGGTTTTGGTATAACATTTAAGGATAAAAGTACATAACTTGAAAATTACATTTTCTCTCCTTGTCTCTTGATCAAGTACACATGGTATTGCGGGCAATGTTGTTGCTGGTTTCTTGTGTATGTTTTTAGAAATGATCTGTGCTTCAAGTCTTCAAAGGGTCAAAAGTCCACTCTAAAGTACTTTAAAAAACCCTCATGCCCGACAAGGCGGTACATGCCTGTGATCCCAGCACGTGGGAAGTGGAGGCAGAAGGATCAGGAGTTCAAGGTCATCCTCAACTACACAGTGAGTTCCACATGAATGCTGTCTCAGAAACAAGACAAGAGCTGGTGAGGCGGCTCAGTGGGTAGAGGTGCTTGCTGCCAAACCCGACAACCCGAGTTTGATAACCGGAACCTTCATGGTGGAGGGAGGGAGGGAACCGACTCCCACAGGCTGGCCTCTCACCCTCACACCTGAACTCACTGTGGCTCTCAAACACAGACACATGCTACATGAGATTTTTTTTAAATGACCAAAACAACAAAACACCCCTCCAAAACAATCCCAAATTTCAGGGAATGGAGGGGATGGCTCAGTGGTTAAGAGCACTTGCTGCTCTTGACAGAGGACTTGGGTTCAACTCCGAGCACCCACATGGTGGCACACAACCACCTGTAACTCCAGTTCCAGGGAATATGACTAGTCTTCTGAGCTTCACGAGCTCCAACACACATGTGGTACACAAATACACACACAACAAATGTTTAAAAAAATCCCACTTCTAGAATTAAAATCTATCAGACAATCCTTGGGTTCTTTTTCTTGTTCGGTTTCTTTGGTCCGTATGTGGATTTTTACCTCAAAGAGTAAAAAAATGCAAAGAACGAACCACACATGACAGTAAACCCAACTCTGTAGGGACAGAATACCTAAACCCAGTTGATGTCCATCTGGGACACCTGAGCAGAGCTCGCTTAGGAAACACATACACATGTGCACAATGAAAAGAATACAACTGACCCTTGGAAAGTTGGCCCGCAACTCAACCTCTCCCGCTGATGGGGACCAAGTCAGAGTGAGCTAATTCCCACTGCTCTGAGCGCCCTTTATCTTCCATCTCTCCCGGTGACCTAGGAGTTTCTGTTTCCCCAGTGGGTCTACCATAGCCAGCCAGCACTGGCTCTGTGAGAAGGGCCACTTTTCAAAAGCAGCTGGGGGCTGAGAGGAGTGGAGGGGAAGATGATGGAGCTGAAGAAGGGAACAGAAAGAAGCAAGACAAGTGTAGGTAAATTCTTCCCTCAATTTTCGTCTACAGCAGAATGGGTCAAATTTCTCTAGTTGCCTTCAAGGCATGGCTAGAATTGATAACCAGTGGGCTCCAGTTCTATAACCAAGAGATGGGGTGTACTAAATAGAGACATTTCCAGGGATAAAACTGAGACTCAAATCTTTTCATTTTTTATTGAGATTGGGTCTTGCTATAAAGTCCAGTCTGGCTCACACTCACAACCCTGCCTCAGCCTCCCAAATGCTAGAATTATAGACTTGTCTTTCTTGAGACAGGGTCTCACTATGTAGCCCTGGCTGGCCTAGAACTCAATTTGCAGACTAGCCTCAAATTTAAGAGATTGGCTTACCTCTACTTCCCAAATCGTGGGGTTAAAGGTGTATATTACCACTAGCTTGAGACTTAAAGACTTTTAAGTCGGAACATCAGATCTCTTTCACGTGCATCGTTATAATAAGACCGTGACATACAGGAAAAGCATGCACGAGATACTAAAGAGGTTTGTTTATTCATTCAACAAACAGCACGTGGAATCTACCACAGGTGCAGGCAGGGTGCTGGAGACACTGGGGAGCACAAGATAACAGCTCCGGGGGCTGGAGAGATGGCTCAGAGGTTAAGAGCACTGAATGCTCTTCCAGAGGTCCTGAGTTCAATTCCCAGCACCCACATGGTGGCTCACAACCATCTGCAATGAGATCTGGCACCCTCTTCTGTATACATAATAAATAAATAAATCTTTAAAAAAAACAAAAACAAAAACAAGATAACAGTTCCTGCCTCTGGCACAAACAAGGTGGAAGAAGACCAAACAGGAAGACAAAAGAATTACAATGTCATCATTTGCTCTTAATATTCTTGCCCTGAAAAGTTTCCTTCATCTCCGAGGTTAAATAAATAATAATCACTGATACAATGGGTGAGTAAGTTTGGGAAACATGAAGAGTGATCCTTTCACTCCCCAAATTAAACATTTTTTTTTTTTTTTTTTTTTTTTGGTTTTTCGAGACAGGGTTTCTCTGTGTAGCTTTGCACCTTTCCTGGAACTTGCTTTGGAGACCAGGCTGGCCTCGAACTCACAGAGATCCGCCTGCCTCTGCCTCCCGAGTGCTGGGATTAAAGGCCTGTGCCACCACTGCCCGGCCAATTAAACACGTTTTAAAAGAAATTTTAAGAGAAAGTGTCATATAGAGTTAAGACTATAGGATAATTTGACTTCATTGGACAGCAATATAACTTATCTTCTACTTATCCATTTAATTTCTAAGTTCAGGGCTGGAGAGATGGCTCAGCCGTTAAAGGCTAGGCTCACAACCAAAAATATAATTTCTAAGTTCAGAAACAGAAAAACAGCCTCGGTTTGGGGGCTGAGGATGTGGCTTAGGGGCAGAGTGCTTGCCTAGAGTGTGCGAGACGCCGGGTTCCATCCCAGTACTGACAGAGAAATGAAAGCTCACATACCTTGAGGAGGTCTCATTCCACCTGCAACAGGAAACATGAAGCTGAAACAAGAACACAAATACATCAGTATCTTCATCCGTATAAGATTTCAAACAAAGCCTGATTCTCACTGAATGAAAGAGTCAGACAGAGCCTGGTGTCAGGTCAGTAGTACAATGCTGACTTGTATTTATACATTTTTACATGTGTGTTTGCCTGTGCGTTTACCTTTGCATTGTATGCGTGCCTGGTACCCACAGAGGCCAGAAAAGGGTGGTGAATCCCCCAGAACTGGAGTTTCAAAAAGTTGTGAGCTGCCATGTGGGAGCTGGGAGCTAAATCCAGGCCCTTTGCAAGAGCAGCCAATATCCTTAACTGCTGAGCCATCTTTCTAGGTCCAGAATTATTAATATTAATAAAGACTAAATTTCCCTACGATACAAGGTATCAGCTTGCTAATGTGGAGGGAACTTTGGGGGGGGGGCGGTGAGACAGAAAACAGAAGGTCCTGATACTATTCTTGGCTCTGTCGCCTTGGACCTCCCTGGAGTCAAAGTTCCCCATCTATGAAATGGGAAGGGTGAGTTCATGTCCATTCAGTGAACATTAAATGAGCATCTTCTATATGGAAGGACTGAAACAGCTTGCAATCTTGAATACACAGGTGCAGACAAACAAATAATTACACAGCAAGGTAAGTGTGCTATTTTAAGCAAGGTCCAAGCACTAAGAGGTCAGAAGAGCAAGGTTAATTTTTAGGTTATACCTTGGGAGGATTTGCGGGGGTAGCTTTAAGCTTGTTAAGGGAAAAAGAAGAGTTGTACAATATACAGTTTTGGCAAAAGGTCTGAGGTTGGAGATGCAGGACATCAATCAAGATGATCTGTAGGGGCTGGTATATATATATATATATATTGTGTATATATTATATATGTATGTGTCTATTTATATACATCATATATCACAAAGTGTTACCATTTGAATACTTTCAAGTACAAAGTTCAGTGATACTGAGGACATTCGCAATGTTGAAACCATTACCACCACTCACTATCCATGCCCAGAACGTTTCCTTCAGCACAAACAGAAACTCTGGTACCATTAACGATGAACCACCATACCCCAGCCCCGTTATTCTACTTTTTGTCATTTATGAATTTGTCTATTCCAAGACTAAACATTAAGTAAAACCAGGTAGTATCTGAATTATTTCCCTTAGGCAAACCTGTTTCAGGTTCATCCACACTATAGCTTGCATTAACATCTCAGTCCCTTCCACAACTCCGACCCAACTCAATGTGCACAGCATGCTGCTTATCCTCCCATCTCTACTCGGGCACTTGGGTTCCTTCTGCCTTTTGGCTGATGTGAACAACTGTGCCATGAACACTGCTGTGCAAGTGCCCGAGTCCTCCTTCAGTTCTTTATGGTATGTACCATGAGTGAAACTGCTAGGTCATACGATAATTCTATGTGTACTTGAGAAACTGCCATACTGTTTTCCATGATGGCTGCACCGGTCCACATTCCTACCAGCAATGCACAGGACTGTTTTCACATCCCACACAACACCTCTCTCTCTCTCTCTCTCTCTCTCTCTCTCTCTCTTTCTTGCACAGGACTGTTTTCACATCCCACACAACACTTTTCCCTCTCCCTCCCTCTCCCTCTCCCTCTCTCTGTAGTATATAGGTCTCTTGCCTTCCTGTATGTCTGTGTACTACATGTACACCTAGTACCTGCAAAGGCAAGAGGAGAGAGTTTGATCCTCTGAAAAACTAGAGTTACAGATGGTTGTGAGCTACCACGTGGGCCTGGGAATCAAACCTGGGACCTTTGGAAGTGTTGCCGGTACTTTTAACCACACAGCCACCTGTCAGTCCCATATATACATACACACTTACAGATATACATATATAGACACACACATTATGTAAAGACAGCTACTCAAAAGGGCATGAAGTGGTATGCCACTGTGGTTTGGATGTGACATCTGCCATCAGACATTTTGAGAGGAAGAACAACATGTCACAAAGTGTACTTTGGGAGGTTACTTTAATGGCAGCATAGAGAAAGACTTGAAGTAAAAAGAACTGGCCAAGAAACTACCCCAAGGTTCCTAATGAGTGATTTAAAAAGAGTGATAAATAAGGCAGGAGAGACGGAAAAGTAGGCAAAAGCTAGGAAGAAGGAAGACTCAAGAGAAGCTGGTAGCTGCCAGGGTGAGGACCAGCAGTAGGAAAGCAGAGAATGCTGAGGGGGTGCTGAGCTGGGACAACTGCAGGGATATGAGAGCCTAGAGTACAGGCCTGGGGAGTAAGACGCTGGGGAAGAGACCGTGAGGAGCAACCCATTAAGCAATTAGAAACCTTCTCAAGCTGGACGTAGTGGTGCACACCGTTAATCCCAGCACTCAGGAGGCAGAGGCAGGTGGATCTCTCTGAGATCCAAGAACTCTGTGAGATCTTGAGGCCAGCCTGGTCTACAGAGCGAGTTCCAGGACAGCCAGGGCTACACAGAAAACCCTCTCAGAGAAAGACCCAGAAAAATCCAGGGATCCAGATAAATCTTTTTTTTGTTTGTTTTTTTTTTGTTTTTTTTTTGGTTTTTCGAGACAGGGTTCCTCTGTGTAGCTTTGCACCTTTCCTGGAACTCGCTTTGGAGACCAGGCTGGTCTCCAACTCGCAGAGATCCGCCTGGCTCTGCCTCCGGAGTGCTGGGATTAAAGGCATGTACCACCACCTCCTGGCTCAGATAAATCTTTTAAATAGAGTCTTTTTTTTTTTTAAAGCACAGAATGCAGGCCGGTGGTGGTGCACGCCTTTAATCCCAGCACTCGGGAGGCAGAGGCAGGCTGGATCTCTACAAGTTCAAGGCTAGCCTGGTCTCCAAATCGAGTTCCAGGAAAGGAGCAAAGCTACACAGAGGAACCCTGTCTCGAAAAACCAAAAGCACAGAATGCAGACCATCAGCAAGGAAGCAAGGAAGTGGACACATGCAGCGAGAACACACCACGGGCAACCCTGGAGTCGTACACTGGAAACTGAACAGAGAGTGGCCACTGAGAGGCAAGGGAGCAGCTCAGAACTAAGGACGAAGTTCATGACAGCAGCTCCAGTGTCCACTGCTGCAGAGCTTGTCCTGATGAAGACCACAGAGACAAGATAGAAGATGTATCACAGGGTGGGAGAGATGGTTAATGAGCTGCTCTTGTGCAGGACATGGGTTCAGTTCCCAGCATCCACATGGTGGTTCAAAGTCACCTGTAACCACATTTCCAGGGGATCTGTCACCCTCTTCTGACCTTTGAGGGCACCAGGTATGTGTGTGGTGCACACATGTAGGCAAGAACCCCATACACATTAATAAATCTTTAAAAAATGATTTTAAAAGAATACCTATTATAAATAAAAGCTACTTGAAAAATTAGACACACATAACAATGTAGCTGTATTGATAACTTCTTCTAGTAAAAATTTAACAATCTAAAGTTGCTTAGTGACCCCAGTATTTTTATGAATGAAATATTTAGATAACTAGACTAACATTTTTTTCTTTTCGTGTGTTTCTGCATGTGGATACCGAGGAGGCCAGAAGAGGGCATCAGATCCCTGGAGCTGGAGTTACAGGCAGTTACGAGCCTCCTCCCCCATGTGAGAGCTGGGAATAGGACTCGGGACTTCTGGAGGAGCAGCAAGTGCTCATATCATAGCCATCTTGCCAGCCCCCTAACATTCTTTTTTTTTTGTTACATTTATTTATTGTGTGTGTGGAGACGGGTGGGCAGGTGTTCATGTGGAGGTCAGAGGACAACTCGGGGGAGTCAGTTCTCGGATCCTTGTACCATATGAATCCCTGGGATTGAACTGAGGTCATGAGGCTTGGGACTTGCTGCCACCCAGCCAGGCCCTGACAACTAATTCTAGGACTGGCTGGACAAGCAGCTAAGTAAGATGCTTATAAGACAGCAAAGCTGGAGGGAAGGACAGAGATGGGGTAGGGTACGGGGTGTGAATGACAGCAAAGCTTCCAAGAATTTGACTTGAAGGGACAAATGCTAACTGAGCTGCCAAGTCTTTGACCCGGAGCTCTTGCTTGTCACAAGCCTTTGCTACTAACCTACATCTGCTACCAGCTTTCGTGTCTCAGGCCTGGCCTCCTAAATACAGTCTTCTCAGCCTCAGGCTCTGGTTTCTAATATGTCGAATAGAGCAAAGGTGAGAGGCATCTTCCTAATGGGCTCTTCAGTAAAGATCCCATCAGAAGATGCACACCCGGGCTTAAAAGGGTGCCATTCCTCTGGCATCCAGCGTAAGTTTACCTTAGTTCACTCTCATGGCCTTCTCTGACTGGTCATACCTTTCCTTTCCTTTTTATCTCATCGAACTCTTCTTTGCATCCAATATCACCTATCTGGCACAGCAGATGTGTTTGTTGCTCCCATAATGCTTGCTACCCGCCCCCCCCCCCCCACATGACAATCTTAACTCCTTCCACCCCACTCCCATCCCACTTGGTGCAGCCGAAAATCAACTTCACTATTGTCCATTTTGGTGGGATCCACAAATATTTACATTAAAAAATATTCTAGCCGGGAGGTGGTGGTGGTGCACGCCTTTAATCCCAGCACTTGGGAGGCAGAGGCAGGCGGATCTCTGTGAGTTCAAGGCCAGCCTGGGCTACAGAGAGAGTTCCAGGAAAGGCGCAAAGCTACACAGAGAAACCCTGTCTCGAAAAACAAAACAAACAAACAAATTCTAGAAACTGCAGAAGATGAAGAGACAAAGCCCTGGCAGAGCTCATAAAAGCGCAGGGAGACAGGGAGTGCTAAGGTTTCTTGTGCACACTCCAAGCACTGGGACATGGCTCCAATCTTTTGAACCCATTAGAGCATCAAGAATAATAATGCTCAGCTGAATGTGGTGTCGCCCACAATCCCAGCACTAGTGAGATTAAGGCAGACAGATCACAAGTTTGAGGCTACCCTGGGCTATATATTGAGTTCAAGACCAGCCTGAGCTAAATTAATAAGACATTGTCTCAAAGAACATTTTCAAAACAGTACTTTACACATACAGGCATTTAATGACCACATGCAGGGTCACTAAAGATTTTTTTTCAACTCTGCGGCTTTACTTGGTTAAAGGCAAATTCTATCATTTGTAGCCTCAACTATTTACTCTAGGATAGTCCATTCAGTGTATTGGTCAAAAGCCTCTGTTTGCATATGGCTGCCTTTGACTGGCCTTTAGAAAACTAAGTAGCTTAAAGAAAGTACTCAAGAAGTAGTATCTAAGGCAGAAGAAAGGCTACAAAGTCAGCTGTAGTTTGTAATTTTTTTCCACTGAAGGCTTAGAGAGAGTGTGCTGGTTTTTGTTTTTCTTCCAGTATACTATACTACTATGTTAGTTTTCTTATCAGATAACTTTAGCCCTCAGTATTGCTTTCCCAAAACCAAAATATTCCTGACTGAATATACAGTTTTTCAGTCTAAGAAAGTATCTAATAAACATAACAACACAAGCCTTTCAAAGAACCATTGTAACCACTTTTCTGTCCTCTATATATTTGGTACCTGTTGGAGTGCACACACTGTCCTTGTTCTTTTCCTAAGTTCTTTTCCTAAAACAGGATCTCAGGGGTGCCCAGGCTGACCTCAAATTCTCCAGATAGCTGAGGATGTCTTTGGACTCCTGATTCTCTTGCCTGCATCTCCTTACAGCTGGTATTATAGGCGTGAATCAGCACACCTGGTTGGACCAGTGACGTTAAAATACTATAAATCAAACCAAGGGATGCACTTAACTTCCTGTACCTGTGGTTCTTCCTTTAAAAAAAAAATAAAGAAAGAAAACATTTGTGCCTAAAATATAAATTTCTTTCAAAATTCTTATAACTGGTCCAATTATTAATCATACATTTGATTAGACTAATGCCATTTAGGAATATTTTAGGAATTGTCATATGTATATATTTATATTCTGCAGGCAAAAATGATTTATAATGACCACTAATGAAAAACCCTAATGAAACAGTAACAAAAACAGAGGAGGAACAAAAACATTTTAAATTAAAGTCAAAGGTATACAGAGGAAGTGAAAAACCCAGTCACACACAGTTGGTTTATTCAAGTGACAGCTTTTTTCCTAGTGCGAATGTGTGTGTGTATATATATATATCACATATATGCACCTGTAAGAGGTGGTAACTTTAAAATCCTTTACACATTTAGAGTGTAAGTGATTCTAAAATTAAATTACACGTGAAAAAAACCCCAAACATTTCACTTTCCAAAGATAACTTAGGATATTTAAAAACGAAAAGCTAATTTTACCTCAGAATGTGTGTGCTGTATATGTTAGTTAATTAAACAAACTCAGACCGAGTCATGATAGAAATGGGGTGCAGACTTTCTGGAAACAAACATTTCGTTAAATGATAATGAACTTTACCATTCTGGATACAGGAAGCACAGGATAATAATTATCTGAAATATAACAAAGGGCAGATTTTTTTTTTTTAAGAGCTCAATAAAGTCTGGAAGCTTTTGTTGTAACAAAAGCATAACCGATTTTGCTCAGTGAATTCTTTGTTTTAAAATGTCTTTTTAAAAAGGAGACAGACAAGTGTTGAGTTAATCTACAAGACAAGCTCTGTCTCAAGACAATTACTAATTCGAAGATCTTCAGCTTTTCCTATTTGTACGTGAAGAAAAGAGAAAGGACAGGACAGGACGCTCTATAAGAGGAAAGACAATACTCTACAGACTCTCTCAAAACGGTTCCTCCAGCTTTGTGACCAGACTGTCACAGCCTTCGCTCCAAGAGTAGCTCAAGCTCAGAAAGCCTGGAAGGGAAACGCGAGCGCCCGAGGCCCCGCGACAGGTGCGGCGGTGCCTGCACAGGAGCGCGCTCCCCGCGGGTCCCCAGGACGCCCGCGCCCCGCAACCGCCGCCCCAGAGCCCGGCCCCACCCGCCCAGCCCGCCGACCCACCTGCGGCCCCGCCGGTCCCGCGCCCCGCCCCGCCCCGCCGACCCACCTGCCTGCCCCGCCGGGCCCCGCGCCCGCCCCCGCCGCGCCGCTGGCTCCGGCTCCCGGCCGCAGCGCCATCTTGCTCGGGCCGCCGCCGTGCCAGCAGCTGTCAGCCGAAGACAGGCACTTCCGGGGCAGACACCGCCCCACCAAGCCGGGGCCGACGACGGGGCGGGGCCGCGCGCCCACGTGACTCCAGAGCCCTCGGGCGCGAGCGGCGCGCCCCCGGTGCATGCTGCAGGAATCAAGCACTGTGGGCTTCACAGCACTGCGGTCTGACACAGACCTTTGCGAACGCGGGTCTGCATTAGCAGAGTTAAGTACCGATTTCTGGACTGGATGACGGAACACAGATGCCCTTCTGCTGATCCTTTACACAACAGACGGCTTCTGGTGGCTTTACAGCTGTTTTCCCTGGCACTCTTTTCAGGATCCATCACGGGCACTGACAGTATTTAAACACGAACCCAATACACTCCTGTTTGATGCTGCCATCGTGTCAGGTTGTGTTTTTCCTTCTCTGGCAAGGCATAACAAGCACAATTCTGCTGAACCTATGCAGGATATATATATTTTCACTTTGACACCTTAGGCCCTAATCAAATTACCTGGAAGTAAAATGTATTCAGAGTAAACTTTGTCGAGCTCTTAGATAACGGATTAATTACTATCCGTCCCTGCCACGGCTTGCCTTACAGCTTTCACTGGCAAATTTCTAATACGTTACTAGTTACTAGACATAAACCACCAGACAGGAATTTTTTATGCATTTAAGTCTGGTGCCCCTATGAGTTATTGCTGCTATTTTAGAAATCAGAAAAATCACTCTTGAAAGAAGTTTATGTAATATGCCTAGATCTTAGAACTACAAGCAGTAAGACCAGGATTCAAATCCAGGCCAGTCTGACTCCAAAGTCCTTGTTCCTTTACCTAGCACCATGCCAAGTACTTGTGGGATTTTTTTTCTTCTTCTTGTTTGGTTTTGACTCTTCACTATTTTCAGTCTTCCTCCTCCTTGGACAAAGCTAACATTTATGTAGCAGAGCCCTCACTGATAGACAGGAACAGGAGTTCAAAGTCATCACTGACCCTTTGACCATCTAAGCTGATACATGTTTTGTAGCTACTGCATGGATTAGGTGGTTGCTCAGCAGAGAATAAAGAGAAAATAAGGAAGTAGATTATGGATTGTCAAGGGGATCATTAGCATCCCTGTTTTGCAGCCTTCCATGACATCCCCCATCTGAGTTAGTCCTGCTCAGATAGTTCAAGATCATGGCCTTACACCACACATTTTAGTCCTGTACTTCATCTCTGCCATTTAATTGCAAGAGTGGCGCTGTTAGCAAGCCCCATGTTCCTAAAAATAACAATAATGAACGTAATGTCTGTTGAAGGACTGTTTGTTGTGAGTTTACAAAGCTTCGGACACAGGAGTTGAAGCTCTGAGAAACTGAAGGACACAGCAGGCGAACAGTCCCTACAGTTTACCCACTTCCAGGAGACACACTGACCGGGAGATCTGCAAGAATAAAAACCTATGCACTTTTATTTTTTACTCCCTGGAGCAACCAGTCTATTTAAATAAATTTTGATGAGAAAAAAAAATCTTTGTCTCCCCTCATGTCTATATTCTCAGTAGTAAAGGGGTTGAAATAGGAGGATTGCTGTGAGTTCCAGGCCAGTCTGGGCTACAGAGAGCCCTTCTCAAAACAAATCCACACTGAAAAGGTCTCAACGGGTTTAATTCAGACACTGGCAGTCACCTGCACTGCAGTCCTGTGGCAGCACGGATCCCGGGTAACTCTAGGCACCAGCTCTAAGTACCGCAGCTTGTACAAAGTCCCTTTGAATGTCACTGTACAAAACCTGCACATCGTGCATTGCCTTGCTCTGAATATGATCGCACTCCTTTGGCAGAGGGTGGATGAAGGCTATCAAGCCTCAGCAAAGATAAGCCTCTGAGAAAATGAAGCCAGGCGTATCATGTAACAGGACCGTTCTTCCTTATCAGGATAAAACACTGTTATCAGCTTTCATCTTGAATGGAAAGAGACAGGAAAGAACATGGTTAAATGATGGAGAATGAAGTCAGAGAGGGAGAGGCTGATCAGACTGAAGTTTCCAATCCTCGGGAACTTGGATAACCATAGATAAAGTACCTCCTGATTGTGGCTCACACCACAAATGCCATTAACAAACTAAAGAGAGTGCTAGGCTTCTTCCTAGTGGATGGCCTGTGATGCTCTTATCTGCATCCCACATACAACACTCTCCATGCACACAAGTGTGGATGGTGCATTCAAGCTCAAGATTTTATTTTAAAATTCTGTTCCAGATGCCTCTCCACAGCATGCATCATACTTGAAGGGCAAAATCCTTAAGAGTTCACCACATTCGGGTGTTATTTTAACATCAACTCTTGTTCTTCTATAAGAAGTATCTCTCCGCGTTCAGGCAGCAATGTCAATGCATGTTATTTCCATTGTATAAATTTCACCTACAAGGTGAAGCTTGCCCTGATGCATCGGTAAATTAGGACCATTTTCTTTTCTCACGTCCTTGTTGATTTAGTATGTTTGGTAAAGATGGTTGTTAAGTATCCATGAGAATTCACTCTGAGCTCATAAATTACACTGCAGGGATAGCCTTCTAAGGTGTCTGTTTTTAACTTTTCTCTTCAAGAGTTTCTTTCTTCTTGCTATTTTGGCCAGCAACCTTTCTCCTGTAAAAAGGAAGACATGTCAAATCAGCAATTCTATATACTTGACTTTTATAACCAAGGGCGTAAATGAACATGTGCTGAAAGTTAGTGTACAGCAAAGCAAATGAGGCACCGGAACACAGATGTTAACTAGTTCTCTGTGCAAGCATAAAAATCACTGTCCATATGAAAAACATCACAATCAACTACACTGTTACAAGCACAAAGGACAGTCTGGTCTTGACTTGATGGTTCAGTGTTAAGTACTAGACACTGCTGTTAAGTGTTATTTGTACATGCATTAATTCAAGGGATCTTCCTAACAACCTACTACTCTCATTTTACAAATGAAGTCAATGAGGCAGAATGGATAAAAACTTGCTGGTCATCACACATTAGTAATAAATGTTCGGCACGAACACTGACAGTCTGATTCTACAGCCCAGAGAATGGTGAATGCATTAACTAGTGTTGATGTAGAAAAAGGAAGAGCTTTGAGACAATAAACAATACTTGCACACTACAGTAAGAAGTTCTTTGGAATGTTCGCTCATGTAATTCTTGAAGCAACTAACACTGAGAACAGAGTTTGTACTTTGAGAGACAAGCAACCTGCCCAAAGTCACCCAACAAAGTTCCTATTACAATTGGTTTTTAGGCTCCAAATCCAAATCTGCCCCTCATCACACCAGGTTGAGTCTGTAGGGCCTGAAGTGAGGCCCGCTAGACAACAGATAATCAGGTTCCAAGTTTAATGTGGAAGCTGAGCTGAAGATAAGAACTTCTATGCCCCAAAGCAACCCATATCTATAATGGAGAAGGAGCAGGAACTAGATCATGATGTATCTTGTTCTTATGCTAAGGACAGTCTTTAAATTAGAAGAAAACAAAGAAATCCAAAGCACCCTAACTGTGTGGCTGGTACCACAAGAATGACACCAGTACCCTAAAGTCCTCTTATAGCTAAGTTAATTAGCCCAGAAGAATGCTACAAACACAAAACATTTAAAGTACAGCTACTCGAAACATTGTTTTATCTAAATAAAAATGCTGCGTCCTATTAAAATTCAACAGCCTCCATCTTCTGCCCCAGCTGACTTTCTCACCTCTAGAAAAACCTCCACCAGCTTCTACACAGTGCCAGAGACAACACATGATATCTTAGCTCTCAGCTCTCCCAAGGAGTAAGACTCTAATGATGCCTAATAATCCTCATGACACTTTAGACAAAGTCTGTGCACCACAAAAACTGTACACACACACACACACACACACACACACACACACACACACACACACACACACACACACGTCCTACAAAATTATATTAAGAATTCACAAAATTGAGAAATTACCAATGGAATTTAAACTATTCAGCTTCCAAATCTTTATAAGTTTGTGGTGTTTATTCCTCCTTGTTAAATCTTGAGAATACACCCAAATTCTGGGACACTGTGCACTGTCAACACTTGGAGTGAACATCATTTCCACAGTACTATTTATTATGTTGTGCAAGACTCCTGTTCTGCTTACAAGGGTGGTGCACATAGCTTCATAACTTTGCATACCTTGTTCTTTCTAAAGACCTATATCTCATCTGTCCACAGACACATCTACCTCCTTGAAGCTTCCTGTAATTGTACCAGCTCTTTCTTTAAGATACTCTGATGTTCTCACGTGGCCTGTTTTATAGTCTATCATACTGGCATCAAGTGATCTGTAGTGAATGGTTCTGGTCTACGGAACAGTTTGCCTAATGGCTTTCCCCCCCTGGTTTAAGGTAATGGAAAGAAGCATTAGCTTAGTTCACCACAGCATCCTGGGACACTAACGGCACCCTCACGAACACACACATAAGAGATCACTAGAACTGAGCAATTCTGTTAGATCAATTCTATTAGTTACTCTAGTACTGAGAAATTTGTGAAAAGTACCCTTTTCTTTAACTAGGGTAACAGAACTCAGAATATTCTGGCAAACTCCTACCAAAACATGTAGCTTCCTAGTATTAATAGACAAAACATACCTGTATGTATCCTACAAGACCCATGCTAACACCTCTTACCCATTCCCCAAAAGCCCCTTAAGCTAAGTAGTACTTTTTAAGTGTTGCAGTGCACCCCAGAGTAAACAGAGGATTATACGAAACCCCGCCCAGAAGATGGAAACTTCAAGAAACGCTCAATCAATGTCATTGATCCTAACTACTGGCTTCAGTAGCATGGCCTGATGCAGATGGTTCGAAAGTGTGTAGTACAATTCTAATTCACAGCAAACTGTAATCTATTTTTAAACATGAGGGGAAACCCAGATGATTAACATATAGATACAGAAAAAACTCAATACTGAAATATGCAAATTCCCAAATCAGAGGCAATTTGAAATAAATTTCTACCATATCCTATAATGGATCACCTATTTATTCATTTTACTTCTAAAAATGTATCTTAAGGAAAAACAATGTCCACCCTGATTATGCAGTACTTTTCTTACCATATATATACTTACTGTTTAGCTTGCTCTAAGAAATACTTTGGAGTTGTACTAATGCTCTCCCTTTCCAAGGGTTTCTTAATCATCTTTTTCTTTTGTTTGCTAGAAGTTAGGAAATGAGAGAGGAAATTAATTAAACACAAGTTCATTTAGAGGCTAAAGCTAGGTGAGACTATACTCTCATTTCAATGAACCAGATTAGCTGATAGCACTTACAACTATTTCATAAGGACATAGGAAATCAACTTTTAAAAACACACTAGCCGGGCGGTGGTGGCGCACGCCTTTAATCCCAGCACTCGGGAGGCAGAGGCCGGCGGATCTCTGTGAGTTCGAGGCCAGCCTGGGCTACCAAGTGAGTCCCAGGAAAGGCGCAAAGCTACACAGAGAAACCCTGTCTCGAAAAACCAAAAAAACAAAAAACAACAAAAAAAAAAAAAACACACTGGCTGTGGTTAAAAAACACTCTGGGACAACCTCATATCCTATGTCCATAGACATTAACAGTCTGACTCCAGAAAATTAACCATTACTAGTAAGTCTAAGCGTATTTCACTCACTGAATAGTTTTTTAAGAAATCTGAATTTCAAAGATGAAAAAGCTGACAAGGAAATAATATATTCTAAAGCAAAATGTTTAACAGCATCACTCACAACAGATGTACCACGGATGCAACCTAAATGACAGACAGACAGATGGGCAAGGCAAAATGTAGTCTGCGCTTTGAGGGAGGAAATTCTGACTAAAAGACATTGTGCAAAGTGAAATAAGTCCACCACAAAAAGACAAATACTAGAGCCAGGCCTGGTGGCGCACACCTTTAATCCCAGCACTTGGGAGGCAGAGGCAGGTAGATCTCTGTGAGTTCAAGGCCAGCCTGGACTACAGAGTGAGTTCCAGGAAAGGCGCAAAGAAGCTACATAGAGAAACCCTGTCTCGAAAACAAAAACAAAACAAACAAACAAAAAGACAAATACTGTGTGATTCCACTTTTTTTTTTCCGAGACAAGGTTTCTCTGTGTAGCTTTGCGCCTTTCTTGGATCTTGCTCTGTAGACCAGGCTGGCCTCGAACTTACAGAGATCCGCCTGCCTCTGCCTCCCGAGTGCTGGGATTAAAGGCGTGTGCCACAACCGCCAGCCAGGCCAATGGGTGCTATTTAATGGGTACAGAGGTGCAGGTTCTGCAGGAGGAAGAGTCCTGGAGACAGGTGTGAATGCAATGCGTGCCACTCAGCACACACAAGGGAAACTGATCGGATAAGAACAGAGTTCAGCAGCACATCCAGGTGATACTGTTACAGAAGCCACGCTACAGAAATGAGGGTGACAGATACTCTAGCAAGGTATAGTGATCTACAACTGTAATCTCAGTAGTTAGGACAGTCAAGGCAGGAGGATTACTGTGAGTTTCTGGCAAGCCTGAGTACAGAGTGAGACTCTGTCTCAAAAAAACAAACAAAATTACATAAACCCTGAAACCCTACAGCACACTGGGTTACTACATTCAGATGTTTGGTATATTAAATGCATTTAATCCATTTTCTACTTATAATACCTTCAATTTACAATGGGCTTAATGGACCTTAACCCTGTTTAAGTCAAGGACCATCTGTATGTAAAATTAAAAACATGTAAAATTTGTCAGGCATAGTGACGTACATTCCAGCATTAGGAAGCAGAGGCAAGCAGATTTTGCCTGGTCTACACAGTGAATTCCAGGACAGCCAGAGCTACACAGTGAAACCATGTCTCCAAACAAACAAAAAATCATGTAAAATTGAACAATGCACCATTCTGGGATATACATACTTAAAACTACAAACTAAATAAAGTCAAGAGGTATAGTAGAATATTATTTTAAGGTGTGTTACTCTTGTTTATGTTGTATTTATTTAACTCTGTGAAGCTATATTACTATGCCTGTCTAAAACACCTGATGGGTTTAATAAAGAACCGAACAGCCAATAGCAAGGCAGGAGAAAGGAAGTGTGTGTGTGTGTGTGGGGGGGGTGCGGGGGTGCCTCGCAGGCAGAGAAAATATATAGAAGGAGAAGGGGAGCTAGAAGCCAGAGAAGGAGGAGGAGGACTCCAGGGGCCAGCCACCCGGCTACACAGCAAGTCACAGAGTAAGAAACAAAGAAAGGTATACAGGAATAAAAAAGGAAAAGCCCAGAGGCAAAAGATAGATGGGATAATTTAAAGAAATGCTCACAAGAAACTAAGCCAAGCTAAGGCCAGGCATTCATAAGTAATAATAATCCTCCATGTGTGAATTTATTTGGGAGCTGGGTGGTGGGCCCTCCAAATAGCAGAAACAAATAACAACATAGAGGGAAGAAACAAGCAAAAAGCAAGAATGCATGTGTAAAAACCCAAAGAGAAGGCTTCAAGGAAGCTGAAATGCATACCTTAGCAGTTTCTGGAAACCTTTTATGTATTCAGGCACAGGACAACCAGCCTGCTGGATAACATTGGCAACACTGAAAAAGGAAACCATAAACAGGAATGTGTCTTGTTAAACTAATGTACAAAATTAGTTATGCTCAAAGCCTTCTGTACAACATAAGAGGAACCAAAACTACACAAAAGTATTCTGGCACAGTCTTCTCAGCGAATACCAGTTACTGCCAAATGAACCATACTGGATTCCTGAGAGAAGCATTTATGGGACTGAAATCAATATACCGATAGTAACTTTAGGTAGCAGCTATTTTAAATCCTAAATGAAAGTAGAGGTAAGCCTGAAGTCATTAAGTGACAGTGCTTACTAAAGGACTGGCACTTCAAGGTTTCTATGTATAATAACCTAGTCAGTCATCACAACACTTTATGTGAAAGTCTACCATCCAGTCTCACAAGTGGAAAACTAAAGGTCACAGGTACACTGATGCTGGGGTTATCAGTCACATTCTTGTGGTTGTGAAGACCTTAGATTCATCGAGGCTCTTGGAACACACTCCTACTTATGGACATGGGAAAGACAAAGGGGGACAGAGTGGAGGCTTAGAAGGTAGACATCACACTCATCAGAACTCACAAACAGACCAGAGTACACCCCCTCTGCCCTAACTGCATTTCAATTGTTAGAAATGTGAGGTGCTATCAGTTATCCTTCAATCAAAGATTACTATAGGCAGCGAAAATGCAGAGAACCTGTACCTTTACAGCTGGGAGTGTGGCACAAGCCCGTAATACTAACACTTAGGAGGCTGAGGCAGGTAGACTGTGAGTTTCAGACCAGCCTAGGCTATATAGTGAAACCCCATCTCCAAAAATAGAAATCTGCATAAAAATCTATAATGACAGGCTAAATTAAGACCCAAGAGTCTAAAAGTGTATAATACCCAGACTTCAAAGGGCTACAACTGACTAAAAATAAAATGTGTCACTAAAATACTTTTTCCTCTATGGCAAGTGATTTTGGGATTAAATATAAAACTCCATCTGGCCCCAAAGTAAGAGAAAGGATGCATCATGGTAAAAGAGAGTGTTGATTGGACCGAAAAGACATGTATAGTATTTGATAACTTAAAACCTTACTAATGAAGCCAAGTGTGGTGGGACATGCCTGTAATCCCAGGATTTGGGAGGCTCAGGCTCTAAGTCTGAGGACAGCCCATGCTACTCAGAGACTAAAGCCTAGGGGACACAGTAAGACCCTGACACACACACACACACACACACACACGCACGCACGCACGCACTCACTCATTCTCTCTCACCCCTTAATATCCTGCAGTAAGAAGCACTGTTCAACTGCTGCTCTCCGATGAGTTCTGTTATTCTAAAACCTAAAACTGAATATTCCACTGTCAACACTCCCAAATTCTAATAGAGGAAGGGCAAAAACACAGTCCCTGGATCTCTCTCCTGATTCTTGGGACAGAGTTTCACTATAGAGCCTCTTACAGAATTTGGGACACAGCCGTTCTGTACTGTATAGTAATAAAATACACATACAAAAATAATGAAGCAATTTTGTCAACTGCAACTAAAATACTAAGTTATATTCCATAATGTACATGCTTCTTAAGTTTGGGGGAGGGGAGGGTGGTAGGAGTGATGCTACAATCAAAACATGCCAGACCAGAGCTCTACACTGAGCTACATCCCAGCCCCTAATTTACCTTCTTAGTAATGGTTTATCGTCTTCAGTGAAAAATGTAACAGCCTTTCCCCTATTCCCTGCTCTTCCAGTTCGACCTAGGAGAAAGCAGACCACAAGTTCCTGATTTTTGTTTTTTACCGGAAGGAAACTCTCAAGGTTCACATCATGGTCACTGAGGGTTGAAGAGATGAAGACAGGAGTTCAAATCCCCAGAATCCATGGCAAAGCCAGAAGCCCCAAGATGTGTCTACAATCCCTATGTCCCTATGTTAAGACGGGCAGCAGAGAGCAGGGAATCAATCCATGGAAATTCACAGGCAGCTACCCTGATGCACACAATAAGGACAAGGAAGTCCCTGCCTCAATCATAATGGAAAGTTGAGGACCAACACCTGATGTTTTCCTCCAACTTCCACACCATGAGCATGCTCACACACATCATTAAATTAGGAAAATGTACACACACACACACACACACACACACACACACACACACACACACACGCCACTGAATTTTCATAGAACCAAAACCCAGATAGTGAGTATGTCTAAAGGGAACAGCAGAGGTGCTGAGAAAGCTGAATGGGCAACAGGGCATGAAAACGAAAGGCTCACCTATCCTATGGATGTACTCCACTGAGCTGGTTGGAAAATCGTAATTGATGACCAGGTTTACTCCTTTAAAGTCAATCCCTCTTGCGAGCAAGGCTGTACAAATAAGAACCCAGATTTTACCTGCTCTGAAGCTGTGGACTGTGTTATCTCGCTGGTGAAAGAAGACACGTTAAATGCTTTAGTACCATTCTAGAATGGAAAACAAGCAGTGCATAATGTTTGTAGTACAGTTGACTTTCTACCTGCTGCTGTGTTCTTTCTGCATGAATGACGTCCACATTAATACCTTCATATATGAGCTCATGAAAAAGTTCTTTAGCCCTTTCAATGGACTGAACAAAAACAAGAACAGGTGGATTGAAACCCTAGAAGAAGCAAAAATACATACATATAACTTATAAGAAAGAAAGAATACAATCAGCATCTCATAATATGTCTTCAGTTTACAAATAACCCATTCAATTTAGTGCACTGTCATGGAAAGTTTTATGTCAACCTGACATAAAACCTGAGTCATCTGGGAAGAGGGACTATTACCTGAAAAACCACCTCCGTGCATTTTCTTAACTAATGATTGATAGGCCAACCCACTGTGGGTGGTACCATCTCTAGGCAGGCGATCCCAGAGTGCTATAAGAAAGTAGGCTGAACAAGCTAGTGGGTAGCAAGCCATTAAGCAGCAGCAGCACCCTTCCATCACCTCTACATCAGTTCCTGCCTCCAGGTGCCTGTTCTGACTTTCCTCAACGATGGATTCTGATGTGGAACTGTAAGCTGAAATAAACCCTTCCTCCTCAAGTTGCTTTATTTTTGGTCACAGTGGGGTTTTTTTTGGGGGGGGCAGGTTCAAGACAAGGTTTCTCTGTGAAGTTTTGGTGCCTGTCCTGGATCTCGCTCTGTAGATCAGGCCGGCCTCGAACTCACAGAGATCTGCCTGGCTCTGCCTCCCTAGTGCTGGGATTAAAAATGTGTGCCACCGCCACCTGGCTGGTCAGAGTGTTTTATCACAGCAATAGAAATTCTGAGACATGCACTTTCATTGCCAGTGTCTAAATCTGCCTCCATCTCCCTCATCATCTACCCTCTACAATGGGTTCTTCTCACTGTCCTTGGACTATATTCTTTTTTTTTTTTTAAGACTTATTCATTTATTATGCATACAGCATGTATGACTGCAGGCCAGAAGAGGGCACCAGATCTCATTACAGATGGTTGTGGTTGCTGGGAATTGAACTCAGGAACTCTGGAAGAGCAGTCAGTGCTCTTAACCTCTGAGCCATCTCTCCAGCCCTGAACTATATTCCTTTATCTTACTAATTCCAATAAACCTGCCTTCCTACAATAATGTATACCCATGTTAAAACCACCAACTCTTAGCCCCAGAACTTTGATTCTGCACATAATGTAAAAATCATGTCTTTAATTCAGAGCTTACCCTAACTTTAGAATTTCCCTTTATCTTAGTCTTTAGTTCTAGTTGTCTCAATGTAACAAATAAAACTGCCAGCCGGGCGGTGGTGGCGCACGCCTTTAATCCCAGCACTCGGGAGGCAGAGCCAGGCGGATCTCTGTGAGTTCGAGGCCAGCCTGGGCTACCAAGTGAGTCCCAGGAAAGGCGCAAAAGCTACACAGAGAAACCCTGTCTCGGAAAAAAAACCAAAAAAAAAAAAAAAAAAACCAAATAAAACTGCCAATTCCCAACAGAATCAAGTAACACCTGAGCATGAACTCAGCTCCCAGCACACTATTTTTACATTTGCTGTCATCAAACACTGCCCTATACCTCATGTTTCCAAATGTCCCTATCAGGGATTCTTCCTTTTTGCTTTGGTTTATATTCTCTTCTGGGATCCAATGAAAGAACAAAATGTTTTAACTGCAAATACTTATTTACAAAAACTTTTACGAATCATTTCATGGAGTTCAAGACTTTCCAGAGATCATATATGGCTAAAAATCTCTGATCTAATTTCACCATATGAATACCTGCAAAACCCTTAAATTTCCTAGAAGTAAAAGGACATCCTTAAGAATATCAATAAAGGTTTAGAGAGATGATTCAGAGGTTAAGAGCACTGGTTGCTCTTCTAGAGATCCTGAGTTCAATTCCCAGCAACTACATGCTGGCTCATAACCATCTATAATGAGATCTGGTGCCCTCTTCTGGCGTGCAGACATACATGCAGGCAGAACACTGTATACAGTAAATAAATAAATCTTTGAAAAAAAAAATCAATAAAATGAGGGTGTACATGGTAGCACACACCTATAACCCAGAACTCAGGAGGCTGAGGCAGGAGGATTTTGTTATCAAGGTCAGCTTGAGCTTTAGAGTGAGATCCTAACTCAATAAAATAAAAGTAATCCTAAACAGGAGTAAATATGCACAGGCAAACATTATTATAAGTACTCTGCGTAACACATTAAATATTAGAATAGCTCTTTGAAATAGATATTACAATATTTTACCAAAGTGAAAACTGCAGAGTTGGGGTGTATAGGAGGTGAGCTGTCCAAAGATAGAATGGTACAGTACAGGTAGAATCCCCAGGTCGCTCAGTTCAGAAGCCCATGTCCTAGCTCCTAAGGCATGCCTCTTGCACAGCCCCCAGTGACACACAAATGCCTTTCTTTTCCATCTTCTAACCATCCTAACTGCCCCTACTAAGGCAGTTGCCATATTGTGTTCACCTGTACGAACAGATTCCAAAAAGCAGGCTTACAATTTATATTTCTTTTTTGCTCCTTTTCCTGAACCCATTAATAGTTGATTTATTTTTAAATTTTGAATATTTATTCTATGCAAATCAGTGTTTTGCCTACATATATGTATGTGACCATGTGTGTGCCTGGTGCCCACAGAGGTCAGGAGAGAGTATCAGATGCCCTGGAACTCAAGTTAGTTGTAAGGCACCATATGAGTGCTGGAAATTGAACCCAGGTTCTCTGCAAGAGCATAATAAGGGCTCTTAACCCCTAGGCAACTCTCTTTTAAACTTTCTAAGCAAGGTTTCTACTCAGTACTTACTTTAGGATAAAAAAGAAAACCAGACTCAAGGCATGATTCTTTACTAAGTGCCCCAGATCATCTCAAGCAAACCAGCAAAGACGAGGGAACAAAGGGGACGTGGATACACAGATGGAGAATCAAGGTGTCACCAGGCAGGTCTTCTACTCAAGCGAGGAACACAAGACTCACCACCACTGGATCACTATGAATGAACCAACACTAAATATAATGCTGGATGATGATAGAACATGAATGCCCTTTACCAAAGGTCAAGAATATAGTCCAATATACCTTCTTAACAAGTTCTCTCATGGCCAGAAGTTTTCCAGTCTCAGAACCAACAAAGAGAAGTTCTTGTTCAACAGTCTCAACTGCAGAATTCCTGAGAAGAAAATGCACCTTTTAAGAATCAACTTTTTATAAATCTAGCCTTAGGGGTCTGGAGAGATGGCTCAGAGATTAAGAGCACACTGACTACTCTTCCAGGGGACCCGGGTTCAATTCCCAACACCCACATGGCAGCTAACAACTGTCTGTAACTCCAACATCTGACACCCTCACACAGACATACATGCAGGCAAAACACCAATGCAAATAAAAAAAAATAAATTATTAAAAAAATTAAATTAAAAAAAAAATCAACTTTTAGCTAGGCATGCTGTGAGGACCTGCAATCCCAGCACTTGGAGGCTGGCCAAGGCGTCTGTGAGTTTAAGGCTGATCTGCTGGGACATGGAGTAAAGCTTTGTCTCAAAAAAAACCAAACAGGCCAGGGGATGGCACAGAGGGTAAGGGGCCTGCTATGTAAACTGGTTAGCCTGAGACTGATTCAATTCCTGACAGTGTCTTCTGAGCACCAAGTATGCACCTGTGTGACACATCACCGACTTTCCTGAGGCTTTCTTTCCATACACGGGTGCTGGGATCTAACTCCGGTTGGCAGGCTTGGTGGAAAGCACCTTACTTTGAGCCATCTTGCCAACCCATGTTTTTCCTTGGACGTTTTTTAAAAACTGTGATTGTGTATTTATTTAGCATGAAATGCCTATCTACCTCAAACCCTTTTTTAGTGCTGAAGAATGGAACAGAGATCTCATGCTAAGTAACTGCTCTTTCCATCACTGAACTATACCTGGTACTTAACAGAATCATGTTTTGTACCAGAATTACTTATCAAGTGGTTAAGTAACACCAGCTTTTTCCATGTGGTCCTACTTAAACAAACAATCAAAGAAACTAAGTAGGAGTGGCCACAGAGCTTATAGCATGTTTTGTGAATGAAACAAAGCTATGATGATGGGAAGAATAACATGCAAACATGAATCTTTCATTGTGCAATTTTGAAAATAAATCCTTAATTTTGACTTTAAAAAACACATTTCTATCAGTAAAACTTTTCTTGTTCGTTGGTGTCATGCCAAACAAACCTCTCACTGAGTCAAAACAAACATACAAACCCCCTTACTTTAAGACAAGTGCAGGGATAATGTGAAAGAACAACTCTTTACCTTGCTCCGATGGATACGGTAACGACATTGTCCAGGTGGAGTTTGCACCACTGTTCAACATCATATGCAAAAGTTGCGCTGAACATTGCTCTTTTGACCTTGTGGGATGTGCAGGCCAGGAAAATGGAAGCCAGCTGGTCTCTAAACCCAGTTTTGCCATCTTCAAACAGTTTGTCCGACTCATCTACTACCAGCCATTCCACACTAAGAAATAGCAAGACAACCTGTGGTTACTGAACTTGAAGATCTGGGACACTTCACCAAACTGTCAGGATACATGGGAAAAAAGTCCCATAATGACGCTGTTTTGAATCACTTTATCAAATGAGAAAAAAATGTACAAGAAAAAATAGCACAGAAACATTATAAACGTAGCTCAGTCACCTATTTTAAATCCTCAAAGACAAGCTGTATTAGCCACGACAGAGATTCCATTGCTTTTGCAGAAAGATGTGAAAAGGTCTGGGGGTCATGAACTGTCTATCAAGTGTGTCATTTTCTTCCTGACCAGTTGTTTTTTTCTATTAGTTAAATCAAGCTATCACATTCTCAGCACTACACCGACACAAGCTGGCAGACAGTATGCACCAAAGGACAATAATAAAAGCAACTGAGAACAAAATAGAACTGTGATGGATGATATTGACTGTCAACCTGACAGGATCCAGAATCACCAGAGACAAGCCTCTGGGCTCGTTTGTGAGGATTATCTAGACCAGGTTAACTGAGGTTGGAAGACCCACTGTACAAACCACACCCCTGGATGAGGTCCAGCACTGAATAAAAAGGAGAAAGCAAGCCAGAAGCCAACAGCCATCATTTTCTACTCCCTAACTGTGGCTGTGAGGAGACCTGGTGCCTCACCTTCTGCTCCAATGAATGAACTATATCCCTTCCTCCTTAAATCAGTCTGTCATATGTTTAGTCAAAGTAAAGAGAAAACTAATAAGCAGGTAAACGAAAGATACAAAATGCTGTACCTTGTCAGGTCTATCCCTGGTGGATCCTGCTTTAACAAGTAGATCAGTCGATTTGGAGTAGTCACAAGAATATCTACAGGAAAAACAAATGGTAGAAATTGCAAAAATAAAAGGCATTCCTTTGACACAGAATTAAGCCTTCAGAATTTCAGATAACAACCTTAAGTGGGAAGGGAAGAGCAGTTAAATAAAAAAATTCTTGCTTGTTAGTAAGCCAGTACACATTTTTTCCTCCACCACAGCATGAGACTCTCTATTTCTACTCTATTGTACTTGAGCAGCTCCCCAACCTTTTCACTGCCTGAGACAGTCTTGCTGTGTAGTTCAGACTCCCTCAAACTCATGACCATCTTATCCCTGCCTAGTCCGTTGGTTGCTGTGCTCCTCCCCACCCCAGAGCAAAAGCCAAGGCCTTCTATTCCACATATCAGGCCACTGGACTATACTGCAGCCATTTCAACCTGCAGCAGCCAACACTGTGTCATCCTAAGCCTAGGCTGCCCTAAGAACTCCTCTGATCCTCCTGCCTCAGTGCTAGGACTGCAGGTGTGAGTCACTATGCTTGGCTTGAAATTTTTTTTTTTTTTTTTTTTTTTTTTTCCGAGACAGGGTTTCTCTGTGTAGCTTTGCGCCTTTCCTGGAACTCACTTGGTAGTCCAGGCTGGCCTCGAACTCACAGAGATCCGCCTGCCTCTGCCTCCCGAGTGCTGGGATTAAAGGCGTGCGCCACCACCGCCCGGCGAAAAATTTTAAATGAAATCTTTCTCAGAGCTCAAGTTAAAAGCAAATTCTCTGGTGCAAAGAAGGGGAGATGTGTAATCCACTCTTACCTGCCATGGCATTTCCATGGCAGAGCAAAAATCAAGGGCATGAGGTGGGACTTCCCAAGCCTAGCACTGCTGACATGTTGGGGCACACAACTTTCTGTAGACAGCTGTCTAGGGCATTGTAGGGTCTTCATGGTATTTCTAGCCTCTATCCACAATGGGCTATTGGTTCCCCAGCTGCAACAACTACCAATACCCACATACAGCCAAATGTCACTGTGGTGACTGGTGGGGAGAGTCATCTGGGATGCAGGCACAGATCTTCTGGGTGAAATGGGGAGGAAAATCTATGTTCAGCTTCTTCAAAAATAACTAATGAGCCAAGTGGTGGTGGCACACGCCTTTAATCTCAGCACTCGGGAGGCAGAGGTAGGTAGATCTCTGTGAGCTCAAGGCTACTTTGGTCTACAGAGCTAGTTCTAGGACAGCCAGAATGGTTACACAGAGAAACCCTGTTTAGAACAACAACAACAAAACAAAAACAAAAACAAACTAATTAAAGCCAGGCATGGTAGCCCACGCCTTTAATCCCAGCACTCAGGAGTTTGAGGCCACCTTGGTCTACAGAATAAGTTCCTGGACTGCAAGGAATACACAGATAAACCCTGTCCAATAAAATCAAATGACTAAATAGGAGCTTAGAGATGTGCCTGAATTGGTATAGTATTTGCCTACCACACACAAAGATCTAGATTCGATTCCCAGCACCACATAAATTAGGTGTGGTGGTATATGTACATCTGTGATCCCAGCACTCAGGACTCGGAAGCAAGAGGGTCAGAAGTTCAAGGTCATTCTCAACTAGATTTGAAGACAGCATGAGTTACATGAGACCCTGACTTAAAAAAAAATTACACACACACACACTCACCTGACTTGCACTGTAACAACTCTTATATAACAATTAGGACCTTTATTATTTCCAAATCCCTAGACACACTAAGCAGGAGGTTCTTACCAAATTTCTTAGATGATTTTGGTCCAAATTTCTTAGCTGCTATTGCAGCTTTGTGGATCATGTGTATTCTGAATCCTGTACCCTCAGATATTTTAATTAATTCTCTGTGAATCTAAAACAAAAAAGTGAGAAAACCAAAGTCATTAAGATACTAGGCCAGGATGCACAGCTTCCCTTATGCCTTTAACACATCTATTACCAACCCACAGTGCTCTGCAGGCTGACATGTAATGCTAAAAAGACTCAACAGTTTCCTCAAGATCCTAAGCTAGTTCCATGAAACAAAAGCAAATTCCTTTCATTTGCTGCAGTTCTCAGAGTGCAGTGTGAGACGTCCTACTGCACAGCATGTGCTTACTCTACACATGGGATGGTGGAACTCATCAATGGAGAGGTCTACTTTCTCAGAAAAATGAGGGAGTTTCTTTCATTTTTTTCTTTTCTTCAGACAAGGTCTCATTATGTAGCTCTGGCTGGTCTAAACCTCAGCGGTCATCTGCCTCTGCTTCCAGAATGCTGAGACTAAAGACATGTGCCACCACATTCAGCTGTTTTCTGAGACAGGGTCTTGTGGAACTAAAGCTGAAGATGACTCTGAAATACTGATCCTCTTTCTTCCACCTCCCAGTGATGGAATTATAGGCATGAGCCACCATGCCCAGAAATATTTCACTTTTCTAAATGAGAAAAACAAATCTCAGCAATGACTATATCACTGTACCCTTTCAACTTCAAAGATCTTGGAGCTTTTACAAAAAAAAGGATAATTGTAAAAATCATGTTATAGAAAATTACAGACATTCCAAAGAGCAGCCCATATGCTGTAATATACAGAATACTCTCTACAGGACACTGGGCCATGATAGGAGACATTCTGAGAGCTTTACCCTTAAGCAAGAAAGATATCAAAGCAAACACGAATGCATTCTCTCAAAACTCTAAGTCAGCCAGGCAATGGTGGCGCACTCCTTTAATCCCAGCATTCAGGAGGCAGGCAGAGGCAGGCGGATCTCTGTGAGTTCAAGGCCCACCTGGGCTGCAGAGTGAGTTCCAGGACAGGCACCAAAACTACACAGAGAAACCCTGCCTTGAAAAACCAAAAAACCAACCAACCAAACAAACAAACAAACAAAAACAAAAAAACCAAAACCAAACAAATAAACAAACAAAAAACTCTAAGTCATACCTGGCTGGCAAGTTCTCGAGTTGGGGATATAACCAGAGCTCGAAAGCCTTTATTTTCGGGTTGTCTCAGCTGCATTAAAATGGGAATGCTAAAAGCCAGAGTCTTCCCAGACCCAGTAGGAGCAGAAGCCAGAAGTTCCCGACCCTAACAACAGAACACAGTTAAGTACAGGATAAGTTCATCAAGTTTTCAGAGCCTGGTTAAACAATGTGAGCAGCCACGGAAACAACAAATAAACTGAATGAAATAAATCCAACTGTTCACACCTTACCCACTTAAAACTGAATGAAATAAATCCAACTGTTCACACTCTACCCACCTCTCTGACTTCCTCATCTCTTGTTTTCTAACACCTCAGCCTTGCCACTGCGGCCCCAACAGTGTTTCTGAGCACAGCCACTAATGTCTATTTGAATGGTAAGCAACATGGACAACTAAAACCCAAAGAGAATCCGAACTACTGTCTCAAGTTTTCTTTCCTATTCAACTCTGTTACCAAAGCACATACACCATTGACCTTTTATCCCAGTATCTGTACTGCTCAATCCCTTTGGGAAGATTTTGTTAAATAACACAAAGAGTTAGAATTTAAAACTGGTAATGACCTAGGTGCCAAGAGTATTTACAAGTGACAATCTTCAAAGGGGTCATTGTAATTCTTAAAGCTTTAAGCTGAAATAATTGTAGAAATAACATAAGAGGAAATTAAGTGCAAATTCAATAAATGTGAGTCAATAATATCATTCAAATATGAGTATATTCTCATTTCAATACACAAAGCAAAGAACCAATATAATAGGTGAAAAGGTAACTCATATCTTTATCTACCTGAACTAATGGTCAGGTTGATTATTTTGTAAATGGGGAGAGGGAAGAAGAGAGAGGAAAAAAAGAAGAACGGAAGGGAGAAAATGAAGGAAGAGAAAAAGGAACGGAAGAAAAGAGGGAAGTAGGGGATTTTCCCCATCTATTATTTGTTTGTTTACTTGGTTGGTTGGTTGGCTTTTCGAGACAGTCTTTCTGTGTTGCTTTGGCTGTCATGGAACTCAATCTGTAGACCAGGCTGGGCTTGAACTCAGAGATCCTCCAAGGGCTGGGATTAAATGTGTGCATCACCACTGCCCAGCTGTATCATTGTTATTTTTTAAAAATCCTTCAGAAAATTTTAGTTTCCAAAAATCTCAGCTAATTTACAGATCTATTAACAAGTGATTTGATAAATACACAGTTAATATAGTCATACAATGGAATGCTATTTAGTAACAGATGTGTTGTAAGTTTCAAAAATGTTATGTAAAAGAAGTCAAGATTAGTGACAACCCTACCTGAAATCCTAGAAGTAAAACATAATATGGTAATCAAAATACTGTTGTTGTTGTTGTTTTTGTTGTTTTTCTGGGCAGGGTAGGGCAAGGAATAAACAGCAGGGCACAACAGAATTTTCTGAGGTGTATAGAAATGTATGCCTCCATTGGAGAACAATTACATTACATAGATTACACACTGTTCAGACTCACTAAACTATGCTTAAAGTCGGTGTGCTTTATTGTATGTAAGGGATAGTTCAATAATAAAGGGTACCGAGGAAAAACTAAGTTGGATTATGTATAAGAACTTTAAAAAAACTAAGAATGAAAAGACAAACACAATGTTCATGCTAAGAGGGTTTAAATGCTTCTTGAAAAAGAATACTTGAGTGTCAGACACAGTGGCACATACCCAAAGTCCCAGCACTCAAGAGGTAAAGGCAGCAAGACTATGGATTCAAGGCTATGTCTACACACACGAGGTACTGATAAAGGAAATCTTCTTGTGATGAGCAGGTTTTATGGGCACAATCACTTGAGACAGACTTTCAAAGCAAATGAAGGATTTAATGGGACCAAAGGTGGAAAGGATTTCAGGGGACACAGAAGAGAATGAGGACACAGGGGAATGTCACAGGCATCCTAGATCTTCACACTCACATGCAGCATAACTGGAATGGCTTGCATCTGAATTGGTGTGGGCACTTGGAAACCTGCGTCTAGAATGTTCTGGAGCAATCGAGAACTGATTTTATATTCTTGGTCAAGTTGCTGAAATGTAGCAATTGGGTCAGGAAGATCAGTTCCTTGTATATGTATCTTGTGTTTGTTCCGGAAGAAGTTGATCTGTAAATTGAGACACAGGAGCCACCATGGATTAGGCCAAACAACAACAACAACCTTAGAGGTTCTAAAACAGCAGAAACAGTTCTGAGATAAGCTATAATGATACATGAAACTTTGTGCTTAAATTCAAGTCCCCAGTCAGCACAGACACTAAGTACATTTTGTGGTATTCACAGCCGGAAGACCCTCACAGATGATGGGACCCACCTGTCTGTGCTTTCAAATCAAAGTTAAGAGATGTATCATGCACTGTAATGTGTTTCCATCACACTTGTAAACTTACATGACTTTTCAGAAACTTTTAGAAGGCAAGCACTGAAATTATGTTTTCAATCTTGGCATACAAATGCCAGTGCTCTTTAATATTTAAAAACAAAAACAAGCCAATCAGCCCTTGTGTTTCCTAAAACGGAGTGACAAGGGTAGAGTTTAGTGATATTGACTGGGCAACTTCTTCATCTTCCAGTCCACAGAGAGCCACATTTTGGCTTCTGGGTTACTGAAGCACAGCACCACAGCCCCTGAAGAAACACTACAATCTCCACCAGCAAAGTGGAAGGGCACAGGAAGTGATGGTGCTAGTCACTGTTTTTTCATGACCTAGACCCTTATCACAAAGTGTCCTCCTTAAGAATTTTAACCCTCCACAGGTACAGTGGCACACACCTGTAATCCTGACAGTTGGGAGGTAGAGGCAGGAGAATCAGGAGATCCATGTAGGCCACATGAGATCCTATCTCAAACAAACAAACAACAAAAGGAATTCTAACCCTGAAATCCTTGCAGGAGAAAATACTTTTAAACCAGTAAGTTTAACACCAAAGAGAAAGGGAGCCAGATTTCATGTTTATCAAAAGGAGTTTAAATATTTGAAATAAAAAATTAATTTATCTTATGTATATGAATGTTTTTGCCTGTATGTATGTATGAGCACTGTGTGCCTGATGCCTACAGAGATGCCTGCAGAGGCCAGAACAGAATCAGATCTCCTGGAGCTGGAGTTACAGATGGTTGTGAGCTGCCATGTGGGGCCTGGGAACTGAACCTGGGTCCTCTGAAAGAGTAGCCAGTGTTCTTAACCATTGAGCCATCTCTCCAGCCCAAGAAACTTGAAAGTTTTAATTCTAAGCACACTATTACTCTTGAAACTTGAGGAGGTCAAGAACTACGTACACACACTATGTACCTATGAACAACTAGAACTAAACTCTTTCCATCTGATCTATTTTTGATCATAAGCGAACACTTCCAGCACCGCACCGATGGCTACAGAAAGACTTCACTACAGTAAAACCTAAACAAATGTAATTAGTCTTCCATCTTAATAAATCCACAAAACGAAGTCCAGGGAAAACTCTATGTATTCTTTTGGGAAGTCAAAATATTTTCGAACCTTTTCCTTCCTGAGATGTTCCAACTTTCCTGAAGTTAGCTTCTTTTCTCCTTTGGCTTTGTTCTCTTCTTGAATCTTTGCTTCCACCGAGGAAGTCCACTGTATAGTAGTGTCAAAGTCTTCTTGAGCAGTAATTTCTGTATTTTTAAAATCAAAAGTTACCAAGGTCAACAGTGTTAGGTGTGCCACACTGGCTACACGGCACACTAAAGCAGAAAAAGTATCAGCAGGTCCCCCTGGGGAAGAAAGGTTCATAGTGCACATAGGGCTAGAAATAGGCAAGCCGTACTGGTGGTACAGTCAGGGCTCTGAAGCTCGCTCGCTTCCTTTTGTTGGTTGTTTCGGTTGTCTTCAAATAAGAGATGAACTGAAAATTACAGAAGTAATACGGCAGCTTGTGTTTACCAAAAAACAAGCTAGAAAGAATTATGATGACAGGAAGATTTCATGTGCAACAGCAATAAAACCAGAATGCACAGGGCTAACCAATATTATAAAGACAGCGATTCTCGCTGTATCTATAAAGAACACTGGCTCAATTAAAAGCAGTCACAATTGTCCTAGAGACCAGATTAGCTATAATGTTTGCATGGCAGAACAAATACGTGAGAATAATCTATGAGTAGTGAGCAAAGATCTTTACTGAATATTTTATGTTTTTTACAGAGTCTCATTTAGCCCAGCCTGGCCTTAAACTTGCTATGTAGGTAAGACTCACCTTGAACTTCTCAACTTTATACCTATACCTAAGTGATGAGATTATAGGCAAGTACCACAATGCCTGGGTTTCTAATTGATATATATATTTTTTAATGTGTATGACTGTTTTGTCTATGTACCATGTATATGCCATGTATCTAGGGAATCCAAAAGAGGGCATCAGATCCCCTGGAACTGGAGTTATAGGCAGTATAAGGTGCCATGTGGGTGCTAGGAATTAAACCTGGATCCTCTAAAAGAGCAGTCAGTGCTTTTAACTGCTAAGCCACCTCTCCAGCTCCTCTATGGAATTTTAAAAACACAATTATTGAGTGTGAGACATAACTCACACTCAAGAAAAATGCATACATTTTAAGGTATAGAGGGGGGATTGGGGATCAGTGTATATGTATATGAGATATAGCTCAGCGGCAGAGAGCTTATCTAGCTTGTATGTGGTCCTAGGTGGTCTCCAGTACACTACATATATGTGTGTGATAATATGCCCTGCCAGTCTGTCTGCTGTTCTGCTTTTTGTTTTGTTTTCAGATATAATGTCACAACAATTCAAACAAGTGATGCTTGTATGAGAACACAGGAACATAAGTCAACCAAATAGAACAGAGTCCACAGACAGTCTTGAATAAAAAGTGGGAAATAAGTTTACAATAAAAGTTATATTTGAGCTGTGTCTGACTGGGCATGCCTATAATCCCAGCGTAAGGGAGGGAGAGACAGGACCTACTAGGCTGAAAAAACAAACACAAAGCTATGGAAAAGGATTTTAGTTCCCTGTTCACTCTTTTTTCTTTTCTTTCTTTCTTTCTTTTTTTAAAGACAGGGTCTCACTATGTAAGCCCTGGCTGACCAGGAACTTGATATATAGACCAGGCTGGCCACCAACTCAGAGATCTGCCTGCCCCTGCCTACTGGGATTAAAGGCATGTGCCACCACACCCATCCCATTCACTCTTTATAACAAATAAACCAACAGAATTGAAGATATCAATGTTACAAAATGAAGCAACAGGTAGGAAAATGTAAGAGGCTCTTTTACTCTGAGCTAATTTTCATAATATACGAAGTTTATTAAACTATGAAGAAATGGATGAATAACCTACTGCAAAAGGAATGTGAAATATGAAGAGAGAAATTCACAGAAAGAGAAAACTCCCTGTATTTCCAGGAGGTATCTCAGGGAAGAATTACGAGAGAGAGAGAGAGAGAGAGAGAGAGAGAGAGAGAGAGAGAGAGAGAGAGAGAGAGAGAGGAATGGGGGAAGGGAGAGAGAGGGAAGACTTCTGCAGGTAGTGGTGCACATCTGCATTCAGCTTGTGGAGGAGAATCACTTGTGCCTAGCAGTCCAAGGTAAAGCCTGGTTAACACAGACAGCAGTACTAATAAACCCCAATCACCAACGAATCCACAAACCTAACATTTCTAATTGAAAATAGATACATATATCATAGATCAACAGCCTACATACATTTATTAATGAATGGTTACAGTACACATCTATGTATTTCTGATTGCACAACATTTGAATCCTTTCTCTAAATTTGTGGCATTTCTTTTTTAACAGTAGGCAAAGGTTTCATCATCTTCCTTGAAGCTAGGGAAAGAGAACACTTCTACAATGTAATAGCAGAAATATGGAAACATAGTAAATGTCCCTGACACAGGCACTAGTCAAACCGGGTATGGACTAGCCCTACAGAGTACCATAGCATACTACATCGTGTTACAAAGAAGACATTCTGCTTCTGAGTGACACAATGTTTCTGGTAGATTATTCTATAATATCTAAATTTAAATCGACTTGACAAGTCTGCAATTCTAAGTATCTGTTGGACAGATACAATCATACAAACAGACAAACAAACAATGATAAGTACACCGATGATTTTTGACACTACAACAGCTGAAGTATGGAAATAAACTAAATGTCAATCACAGATGACCTTATAAAAATCAAACTTTAGGGCTGGTGAGACCGCTCAGAGGTAAAGGTACTAACCCTCAAGCCTGACAACATGAGATTGATCCCCAAAATGTACACAACAGAAGGAGAGACTAGACTCCTGCAGGATGTCCTCTGACCTCCACGTGTACAGCACTGTATGAAAACACCACACACACACACACACACACACACACACACACACACACCATTAAAAAGAAATCAAACTTAAATCAATTGTAGAACATAATGGTATACGATGCTGTGTTAAAGAGAACAATTCAGTGAACTTCCTATTGATTCCAAACAATTCCAAGATACCTGAGAGAGAGAGCGAGAGCAAGAGAGCAAGAGAGAGAGAGAGCGCAGTGACAAGAGGATTGCCCTAAGTTTAAGGCCATCTCGGTCTACAAACCCAGTTCCATGCCAGCCAGGACCATGCAAGACCTTCTCAAAACATGGGAGGAAGTAGGAGTAGAGAGGAGGGGAAAGGTCATAACAGAAAGTATATAGAGAATTTATAAAGTATATAAGCATATGAAAATAACATACCCAGGTTTTTTGAAGAAAGATATAAGGGAGTATGAATACAGTACCTCTAGAAAAATATAACAGAACTAGGGAACAAGAGATAAATATTGGAAAAGAAATTTACTCAGCATCATTGTATAATTTACATATTTATTTTATAAAAAAGGTAAATGGCTAGGAAACTTAACAGACATAACACATAAATGCTCCTATAAAGTATTTTCTATACAGGGGAAAAAAGAAGGAAAGAAAAACTATGGGAAGAAAGAGATAATTCACAAAAGCTGAAATGAAGCATCCATAAAGCATATAAAAAGATGTTTAAAGCCAGGTGGCGGCGCACTGCCTTGGGAGGCAGAGTCAGGTGGATCTCTGTGAGTTTGAGGCTGGCCTGGTCTACAGAGCAATATCCAGGACAGGCACCAAAAATATTCAGAGAAACCCTGTCTCCAAAAACCAAAAAAAAAAAAAAAAAAAAAAGTTCAAAGCCAGATAAAGTGGTGTGGGTCTTCAATCTTAGCACTCAGAAGGCAAATACACGCAAATCTCTGAATTCGAGGGCAGCCTGGTCTACATAGTGAGTTCCAAGACAGTCAGAGCTACAGAGCAACCCTGCCTCAAAACAAACAGATGTTCAACCTCAATTATCAAGAAAACACAAAATTCAAAAGGGGGAGGGCTACAGCTCAGTGTGCATGAAGCCTAGGTTCAATCCCCAGCACAGCATAAAACCAGGTGATGGCGCATATCTAAAAAAATGACAGCACTTGGGAGATGGAGACAAAATGAGCAAGTGTTCAGGGTCACTCTTAACTATAAGATGAAGTTAAAGGGCAGCTGAGGGTACAGACTTGTCTGAAAATTATAATAGTAAGATCTAAATTAATCAAAAGTTTCATTAAGTAGATTAGCAAAAAAGAAAAAAGAAAAATTAAGACCAATAATAATAGTACTAGGTCAGATGTGGTAGCTCGTGTCTGTAATCCCAGAATCTGGTTAACCCCAGCCCTTGGTTTAATGAAATCTATTATTATTGGGGGTGGGAGTGGGGAGACCATGCCACAGCATGTGTGTAGAGGTCAAAGGAAAACATCGTGGAGTCAGTTCTATCCTTCCACCTTTATGTGGGTTCTGGGGATCAAACTCAGGTCCACCGGCTTCTGTGGCAAAACCTTTATCTGCTATCCCACCTCACTGGCCTCCAATCCCAGCCCTTAGGAATCCTTATCTCACATCAAAAACCCAGTACTGACAAAGGTATGGGAAATCATTTTGTGGTACCTATTTAAAGCTATTGTGCATACCCTTTCACAGAGTGCCTCCACTTTGGGACATTATTCTACAGAAATAGCAACCCCTGTACAAAAGGCTATGTGTGAGTATGGCAGCAATTAATAGCGAGTACCTAGATATAATCCAAATGTCATCAACAGAGGAATGGGTATGTGTTATCTGATTTACCAGCTTGCACTTGCAACTGAAAAAAAAAATTAAACAGAAATCCAGCACTAACCTGGAATCATCTTCTTTCTCTTTTTCTTCTTGGGCTCCTTACTCCTTTCCATCAGGCCCTCTTCTGTTTGCTCCTCATTTTGGTGTGTTGGTAATGCTCCAGACTCATCTGAGACAGACTTCTTGTTTCCGAAGAAGTCTAGTCCTTGCAGCACCTCCGAAGAATCGCGATCGTATTTCCTTTTTCCGACCTAAAACCCCCCAAATTTAAATGAGATCTACTGCCAGAATGGTGCTGTTTTCATCCAACCATGACTATCAGGAGGACATGGGGTCGGTAATTCATCATTTTAACCGAAAAGGTTAAAACCAAGAATCTGTTGTGTAGTGTATTTAGGTAAATGGAATACAAAAAACAAACAAAAAACCACACCCCTCTTTGGCCTCCTTACAGTAACAACAGTGACAGCAATGAATAATGAATACTTACATATACTTACTACATGTCAAGCAAGTTTATTAGATATTAAAATTACTTCATCCTCACACCAATTTAACCACAGCACTGCAGTCAGGACAAAGAAACACAGACATCTCCCTTCACAAAGGCTCTGTTCTTTTACAGTAACGTTTATGTCCAAAATGTTCCACAAGTGAGCCCCGACTGGTTTCCCTTCGTGCCCACTACTTCTCTAAGACTCCCCTCCTCGCATCTCAACATCACTCTTCTGGTTGTTTACTTAAAATGTCGCTGGTAGAACGCTGAAAAGAACCATGTCCAATACATGACAGCTATCTGCACACTAAGTCAAACCTGGGTAGGCTTCCGTCAAAGACTGTTTTCGAAATTCCTTTCCTAGTTTCTGAGAGGGGGCCTTTGAATGGATTCTAACTTCATAAGTAAGAAGCCAGGAAACAAAGAGTCCGTGCCAGGCTCAACTGAGTCTACCAGGGCTCAGCAAACAGTCATCGAGCAGTCTGGAGTAGGGCTGAAGTCAAGCTGAACCCTAAAGAAGGGGAAAGCCCGGGGTGGTCGGAGCCAGGCCTCCGGGGATCCAGCGCGCCCGCTACCCCGCTGGCAGCGGTCTCATTCTACGGACCCCGCCCCGTCCCGGGTACTCGGCTCCCCGTGCACAGTAAGCACCTGGAATCGAGCAGCGTCTGCCGAGAACCGCTTCACGTCGAACTTGGCGCCGGCTCCGAGCCGGCGAAACAGATCATAGGCATCCATCTTTACCCAGAATGCCCCGCAGCCTCACAGCGCCTGTGTACACGACTTCCTCTCCGCGACTGCTTCCGGAGAGGCCGTAGGCGGAAGTAGCTCCAGGAGGCGGAGCCTGGCTGTGGCAGGCGTGGTGGAAGTTTGAGTTGTAAATCGTTCACAAAAGAGACCCGTCTTGTGCGCCGGAGTGTTCTAGACTTTTAGGGATAGTTCGGTGAGCAGCACGCTCACCTTCTGCACTTAAGGTTGCAGTCTAGTGGGGACGGAGATACTATTAACCAGTTCCTGTAACTTAGGAAAATGAAAAGTGCTGTGAAGCAAATTAAAAGGTTTGATGGATAGAGAAGGGGTGGAGGCTATTTACGGTTAGATTGGTCTAGTTTAATCAAGTGTTTGAACTGAGAAGGGGCCACTTTTCCAAGACATGGGAACAGCATTCCCAATAAGAGGAAACCCATCTGAAGAAGGGAAAGGGTCTGAGACATTGTTAGAACAGAAGCCAGGATCCGAGTTGCTCTCTGGTACCATAGAAAGAAGGAAAGACAAAAAGAAGAAGAAAGGGAGAGGGGAGGAAGGAAGAAAAGTTCGCTGGAGCCGAGCTTTACAGACAAGCTTGAAGGGGCAAACAAACCAGATCTCAAAGCATTGTAACGGCATGGTGAAGTATTTGGATTTTAACGTAAACATGCTACAAAACCAAAGTATTTATGGAAGGGGCAACTATTTTAGTTGATCACATTTGATTTTTAGTTTCATCCTCACTATGTTTGAACTACCCCCCCCCCTTTTTTTTAAACCTTTGTATTGTTTCACTCCTGGAATGTAAGTCCATGAACATGAAGATCTACTTTGCTTTACTGTTATAACACCGGTTCTTTATGCTCTCAATAAATGTTTGATGAATGAATGTGTGAAAGTGTCATACATGACTACTCTAGTTATTTGAAGAAGGGACATAGAATGGATATGAGTGGAAATGCAGAGTGAAGTAGAAATGGTGTTGCCTTTGGGTTGATATCTATGCAAGTGTGGATAGATTTGGGATATAGTTTGGAGGTGAGTTTAATGTCTCTGAGGGATTTTGTGCTGGGGTGAGGAAAAATAATCAAAGATAATTAAGTACTAGGGCTTGGGCTGGGTTGATGGCATGCCATTTACTGAACTAAGAAAAAGGAAAAACAGCTTTTTTGGTGGGAGACATAAAACATGGAATTGTTATGTTTTATACATATGAAGATTTCTAGTTGACTAAGTGAAGCCATCGAAGTAGGAACTTAGACCTAAGAATCAATGAAGGTGAAGGATGAAGAAACAAAATTGGGAGCCATCAACATATAAATAGTACAGGGCATATACTCAAAGTTCACATATCTGTATCATAGATAGAGATAAACACATTATATATATGATATATATATATCATATCTATAACATATATGACAGGACAGAGAAAAGAAAGTTCTGGTGACACTTTCACACTCAAGTAGAGCAGGTATGGAGTGAGCATGAGATGAGATGGAGATTTCTTCTCTGATTCCTTCTTATAGCTTACAGTGGGGATATCTTGCTGTTTTAGGTATATTACTCCCCCCAAAAAATAGGACTTTGAGGGGACTGGGGAGGTGATCGAACAGGTAAAGACACTAACTCTGTGAACTTGATCATCCTACTTTGGTCCTGGGAACCTATGCAAAAGACCACGTAAAGTATCGAAGAAGTTTGTAGCCTTTGGCTTAGCCAGGGCCAAAGTTTATCCAGGTAAATACAGTGGAGGTTACTATGGCTCCCCCTCCAGTTATAGCCATCTGATACTGATGTTCACTAGAGAGATAACCTCTCAGGAGCTGAGAAGGCAGAGGAAAGTCCTGTGGATGGACTTGATTTCCAGGAAATGTTCAACATTATACCAATGACCCAGCTTGTGTCCCTCCTTCAGAGAATAGAGTTGTATTGCTCATTGAATTTGTGCTCTACATCCATTACTCGAAAAGTGTGGGCTTGGAATTCAGTCTGAATCTCACAGAGATCCATGTGCCTCTACCTCCCAAGTGCTGGAGTCAAAGGCATGCACCACCACATCTGGCTGATGTGCCTCTAAATTTTAGTTCTTTTCTTACTGCACTGTGCTTATAACTCCACATTTGTCCACAGTCTTTGCAGTTTCTGAGGTTGAGGTCGTATGTCATGCCTCTTCTTAATATATTTGCTGACTGTGTAGTCTGCTTCATATTAAGTGATCAATAAAGTTTGTGTGTGTGTGTGTGTGTGTGTGTGTTGTAGTTTGTCTGTTTGGTCTATGTCCAGGTTTGTGTGGGTGTGTACACGCATGTATGTGTGTGCACATAAATGTATGTGGCCAGAGACAGACATCAGGTGTGTCTCCTCAATTGCACTTCACCTTGATTTACCTTTATTTATTTATTTATTTATTTATTTATTTATTTATTTTTATCAGATTAATTTTGTGTGTGTATATGCATGTGCTACAGCACATGTGTGGTGGTCACAAGACAACTTGCAGGAGTTGGTTCTTTCCACCTTGTAGATACCAGAGGTTGAACTCAGGACTTTAGGCTTGGCAGCAAGTACCTTTATTTGCTGAGTCATTTCTCTGACCCTCCACATTCTTTTTTAGATTTATTTATTTTATTTTATTGTTTGAGTGTCTTGCTAGCATGTATGTATGGGCACCATATGTGTGCCTGGTTCCCCCAAGAAGAAGGAACTGAATCCCCTGTAATTGGAGTTATAAGTGGTTGTGAGCTGCTGTGTGGATGCTGGGAACTGAACCCGGGTCCTCTGTAAGAGTAGTAAATCCTCTTAACCATTGAGCCATCTTTCCAGCACCCACATTTATTTTTTTTAAAAAGGTCTCTTACTAAACCTGAAACTCATCCAATTGGCTAGGTTTACTGGCCAATGAGCTTCAGGAATCTATATGTCTCTCACCCCCTCAGTGCTAGGGCTATGGGCACATGCTGCTGTACTTGGCTTTGTATGTAGGTTCTCTGGTTCTGAACTCAGGTCCTCATGCTTTCATGGTGAGCCACTTGCCAACTGAGCCACCTTCCCAGCCCAGTGAATCTTACCGAGCTAATGAAATGGGATCCTTCCCAGCCCAGTGAATCTTACCGAGCTAATGAAATGGGATGAAAAACATAAAGATCTTTATGAACTTAGCAGTGGACCCATTTCATTAGGCTGGTGCTTTGTGTTAATAGATTTTTGGCAGACTAAAGAATGAAATCAAATGGAAGCAGACAAATACCATTGCTTGCCTCAACAATATTCAGCTGACTCATTAAGAGAACACTTCCCCTTGGGGAAAAACAAAACAAAACTATTTGGAAGTATTGTCAATAAAAGTGGAGAGGAAATTGAATCTGTACAACTGAAATTGGCTCTGTACAACTGGAATTTCTCCAAAAACTAGTATGGTGTGATTGTTGGATACACATGGTTTCTCAACTGTAGCCAGCGAACACAAAGTCTGTGCAACACCAAGGTGGCAGCTGCTTGGGACAGCTTGTTGTTATGAACAGAGTGACCACTCCATGGCCCAAAGGTGTGTTTCGGATTTTTTTTTTCTCTTATACTCCCTGCTTATCATTCAACCAGCTTCAGCGTGAGTGTTGTTTTTACAGCGTTCACCTTAGACCATGGCCTAGGCATGCAAGGATGAATTAGACCATCTTTGTTCTCAAGGAGTAGAGTCTTCTAGGGACCTAGAGCTCAAACAGAGTAAGAAAATGTTCCAGGACCAGCAGTAGAGGATATAGGGAGTGGAGGAGTTGTCATTGGGGGTTGGGGGTAATGGCATGGGCATAGTAGAACATTAGGGCAAGTTTGTAGAGAAGATGAAGTTGGCACAGCAGGCTGGGGACATAGCTCAGTTGGTAGAGTGGTTGCCTAGGGTTCATGAAACCCTAGGTTCAGTCCCCGTTAACTAATAAACTAGGCATGGTGGCACATGCCTATAATCCCAGAACATGGGAAGTAGAGGCAGAAGGGTCCAAAGCTCAAGGTCATGGAGCTGGTGAGATGGTTCAGCATGTAAAGACACTTGCTGCCGAACCTGGTGATCTCAGTTCATGCCTGAGAACCCACATGGTGGAAGAAGAGAACAGATTCCCACAAGTTGTCCTCTGACCTCCATCCACACGCATGCTGTGGCGCATACACATTCTCAATAAATACATTTCTAAAAATAAATTCAAGGTCATCCTTAGCTATATAGCCAGTTTAAGGCTAACCTGAACACTACATGAGATGCTGTATTAAAAAATGTTCTCTAAAAGATGTGGTGGGTAAAGGTATTGAAATAGAGCAAACAGCTGCAATGAATGTACAGAGTCATGAAATCAGCCTGGTGTGTTTGAGGCTCTCCTAACAGTTCCAGAAAGCTGCAAGCAAGGATGTAACAAGACTTGGAGCTGGACAGGGAGATGAGTGCTTCCTAGTGAAGAGCCTTACACGTGCTTGGAGGTAGTGAGAGCCATTCAAGGGTGTTAAGCCAATGATAGAAACACTTTGAAAGTTTAAGATCACAGCAATGCAAAAGAGAGGCAGGTCCAGAATCGAGGAAACCAAAGATGGTCCTCAAGGAAAGGAGTGGATTCAGAGCACATTAAATACCAAGCATGGCAGCACATGCCTGTAATCCCAGCACTCAGGATGCCAAGGCCCGAAGATTGCTGTGAGTTCAAGGCCAGCTTAAGCTACAGAGTGAGAGACCACAGCACTTGTATGGAAGTCAGAGGACAACTTTGGTGTCAATCTTTGCCTTCTGCCCTGTTTGACATAGGGTCTCTTGCCTGGCCTGGGAGCTGCCGGAGACTCTCCTGTATCCACCTCTGAGCTCATTAGAGATGCACTGGGATTACAGGTCCACACTACCACACCTGGCTTTATGTGAGTTCTGGGAGTTTCAATGAAGGACGTCATGCTTGCATGGTAAGCACTTTATTTACTAGGCCAACTCCCCAGTCCTGAGTGGAGTTTCTAATGGTCGTTTGGAGAAAGGAATTGTTATATATCTCCAAGGACAATAG